TTTTTAATTATAACTTTTTTTTTCAAAATTACGATTTTTCTTTCTCAAAATTTCGAAATTTTAAAATTATAATTGAAAAAAGATTTTCTTTCTAAAATTCCAATTTTTATTTTTCATTTTCTTCTCCGTTATTTGCGAATTTTAATTTTTTTTCCGAAATTTATAAATTTTTTTTTTCAAAATTTTTGATTTTTCTTTCTCAAAATTTCGAAATTTTAAAATTACAATTGGAAAATGATTTTCTTTCTCAGATTCCAAATTTTATTTTTGATTTTCTTCTCCGTTAATTGCAAATTGAATATTTTTTCCGAAATGTAAAAATTTTTTTTTCAAAATTACGATTTTTCTTTCTCAAAATTTCGAAATTTTAAAATTATAATTGGAAAAGGAGTTTCTTTCTGAAATTCTAATTTTTATTTTTTTTTTTCTTCTCCGTTATTTGCGAATTTAATTTTTTTTTCAATATTTCCCGCAAATTTTTTTCGAAATTTTAAAATTATAATTGGAAAAGAATTTTCTTTCTCAGATTCCAAATTTTATTTTTGATTTTCTTCACCGTTATTTGCGAATTGAATATTTTTTCTCAAATTTATAAATTTTTTTTCAGAATTTCGATTTTTCTTTCTCAAAATTTAGATATCCTAAAATTATAATCGAAAAAAGATTTTCTGAAATTCCAAATGATATTTTCAATTTTCTCCTCTGCGGATTTTTTTTTTCTTCAAATTCCAATTTTTTTTTTCCCAAAAATTGGAGTATAGTTTCTGTTTTCTCTTGAAATTTTATAATTCGTATTCGCATTTCTTTTACAATTTTGAAAATTGTTAACAAAAATTCCAATTTGAAAGTTCCATATATATTTCAAAATTTTTTTTTTTCAAAATCACATTCTTATGCTTCAAAATCAAAAGATAAGAGAAATTCCTCTAGAAAATGAAGCAAAAAAAAAAAAAAAAAAAAAAGACGAATATATAAGATGAAATCTTTAGTCACATAATGCCTTAATAAAACCCTTGAAAAATGAACATAAATTCAAATTCTCGGTGTATATATATAATTTCGGTATGTTTTGCGTGCAAAAAAAAAATATATATTTCGTCGGAATACCTCGCAGAGGAAAAAAAAAATAAGAAAAATATATATTTAATATTTAATCGTAAAACGTGAATTTTTTTTTTTTTTTTGGTTTAAAAATTGTTGAATATAGAGTTTTGTCTGTCGTGAGCGGCGTCGGATTTTGTTAAAAGAGGGGAAAAACCGACACGACGACGACGACGACGACGAAGGTGGAGAGAGGATGAGTTCCGATTTTAGCACGGCCTCAGAAAGCGGCGCTATTATGCACTAGTAGCTTGATGGCGTCACCATCCAACCTTGGCTCGGGTCAGTCCTCTATCATACATATACTGCAAGCCATCCTCTCACCCCGGTTTCTCTTCTTGCATCGTATTTCCCTTCTCCCTATACACACCATTTCACTCCGGTTAACCTCTCCCACCTCCCGATTCTCTTTCTCTCTCTCTCTTTTTCTCTTTTGCAAAACCTCTACTTCTATAGAGACTTCTATATATATATATATATATATGCAACTGACGCACAAGGATTGCATTTGTGTTGTCTTCTTCTTCTTCTTCTTCTTCTCGTTGAATTATAAGCAATTCCTGTTTGTGAAAACGAATACACACTCGTTTTTCAAGACTCGGTCACGTGGTGTGCGACGATGCGACTAAAAACTCCCCCTTTCCTCCACTGCCGCCTAAGAGCGAATAACATTTCCGTCGTTTCAACACACAAATGCGAATTTATGCAAAAGTTGCGTCTTATTTTTTATTTTTTTTTTTTTATCATAATATCTGATTTTTTAATCAATCTCCCAAAAATTTTATGTAAAAAAAAAAAATTTTTCCCATGAAAAAAAACAATTCTATTAAAAAAAAATAAATTAAATAATTTTTTACCTGGGAATGTAAAAATTTATTGGAAGCGCATTTTTTCTAAATTTTTTTTTTTTGCGAAAAGAGGCCTAAGAAGCAAAAAAAAATTATAGGTTATGTTTATATGATTGATGTTTCATGATTTTAATGAATTTTTCTTATTATGATGAAGAAAAATCAGTTTTTTTTTTGGATTAATTAATTCAAATTTATTATTGACTATTTGTGTTGTATTTTCACTCAAAACAATCATAAACATAACCGATAATTTTTTTTTGCCTCCTACATCTATTTTCGTCAGAGCGTCATATATATTTAGAAAAAAAATTCTTTTTTTCTGATTCCAAAGAAAAGGAGCATGAAGCAAAAAATTATAGGTTATGTTTATGATCGTTTCATGCTTTTATTAAATCGTTATGATAAAAAAAAATCAGTTAAAACAATCATAAACATAACCTATACTTATTTTTGCCTCCATTTCTTATCAGAACACGTCACATATGTGATGCTCCACGACAAAAAGTACTCCCACAATTTTTAGGTTATATTTTTGATTTTTGAAATAAAAATACAGATAAAACCTTTATTGAGATAAAACTATCACTAAATATAACCTAAAGGTGGTTCCAGAATAGGTGCAAAAGCCAAGTACAAGTGCAAGTCCAAGTGACAATCTTATGAGTGCGAAAGAGATAGGTAGTCTATCTATCTCTTTTGCATTCATGGGATTTGCATTTGGACTTGCACTTGTACTTGGCTTTTGCACCTATTCTGGAACCGCCTTAAAAATTTTGGGAGCTCAGGTACCTTTTATCGCGGAGCGTCATATTTATATTCAAAAAAATCTAATACTTTCTTTTATTATGATTCTAAAGAAAAGGAGCATAAGAAACAAAAAATTATAGGTTATTTCTATGATCGTTTTACACTTTAATTAATTTTTCCTTATGATTAAAAAGTAGTTTTTATATTGATTAATTAATTCATAGTTTTTATTTATTCTCTTTTTAGTATTTTCGTTATTTTCCCACAAAACAATCATAAACATAACCTATAATTTTGTTTGCCTCCTACATCAATTTTTTATCAAAACGTATTCAGAAAAAAAATTCTAATACTTTCTTCTTTTCTGATTCCAAAGAAAAGGGGGCCTAAGAAGCAAAAAATTGTAGGTTATGTTTATAATTGTTTCTATTAAGTTTTCCTTATGATAAAAAAATCAGTTTTTATTTTGATTTGTTCAATTCAAATTTTTATTTATTTTTCACTTAAAAAAAAAAAGTTATTTCAAAGTATTATCCCTCAAAACAATAATAAAACATAACCTATAATTTTTTTCGCTTCCTACATCGATTTTTTTTATCAGAGCGTCAATATTCAGAAAATAAAATTTTATATTTTCTTTATTTTCTGATTCCAAAGAAAAGGGACCTAAGAAGGAAAAAATTATAGGTTATGTTTATGATAGTTTCTATTAAGTTTTCCTTATGATAAAAAGCAGTTTTTATTTTGATTGGTCAATTCAAAATTTTTATTTATTTTTTTCTCAAAAAAAAAAAAAATGATTTTTCCTCAAAACACTCATAAATCATAACCTATAATTTTTTTTGCCTCCTAAATCGATTTTTTTATCAGAGCGTCACTATTCAGAAAAAATTCTAATACTTCCTTTATTTTCTGATTCCAAAGAAAAGGGGGCCTAAGAAGCAAAAAATTGTAGGTTATGTTTATGATCGTTTCTATTAAGTTTTCTTTATGATAAAAAAATCAGTTTTTCTTTTGATTTTCATAAAAAAATTTATTTTTCACTCAAAAAAAAGTATTTTCAAAGTATTTTCCCTCAAAACAATCATAAAACATAACCTATAATTTTTTTCGCTTCCTACATCGATTTTTTTATCAGAGCGAGATTTATCAGAGATTTTTTTACTATTCAGGCTATTCAGAAAAAAATTCTAATACTTTATTTTCTGATTCCAAAGAAAAGGGGCCTAAGAAGCAAAAAATTGTAGGTTATGTTTATGATCGTTTCTATTAAGTTTCACTTATGATAAAAAAAACAGTTTTTATTTTGATTGATCAATTCAAAATTTTTATTTATTTTTCACTCAAAAAACAGTTTTTCTCTCAAAACAATCATAAAACATAACCTATGATTTTTTTCGCCCCCTACATCGATTTTTTTTATCAGAGCGTCACTATTCAGAAAATAAAATTTAATACTTTCTTTAATTTCTGATTCCAAAGAAAAGGGACCTAAGAAGCAAAAAAATATAGGTTATGTTTATGATCGTTTCTATTAAGTTTTTCTTTATGATAAAAAGCAGTTTTTATTTTGATTGGTCAATTCAAAATTTTTATTTATTTTTCACTCAAAAAAAAAAAGTATTTTCCCTCAAAACAATCATAAAACATAACCTATAATTTTTTTCGCTTCCTACATCGATTTTTTTATCAGAGCGAGATTTATCAGAGATTTTTTTACTATTCAGGCTATTCAGAAAAAAATTCTAATACTTTATTTTCTGATTCCAAAGAAAAGGGGCCTAAGAAGCAAAAAATTGTAGGTTATGTTTATGATCGTTTCTATTAAGTTTCACTTATGATAAAAAAAACAGTTTTTATTTTGATTGATCAATTCAAAATTTTTATTTATTTTTCACTCAAAAAACAGTTTTTCTCTCAAAACAATCATAAAACATAACCTATGATTTTTTTCGCCCCCTACATCGATTTTTTTTATCAGAGCGTCACTATTCAGAAAATAAAATTTAATACTTTCTTTAATTTCTGATTCCAAAGAAAAGGGACCTAAGAAGCAAAAAAATATAGGTTATGTTTATGATCGTTTCTATTAAGTTTTTCTTTATGATAAAAAGCAGTTTTTATTTTGATTGGTCAATTCAAAATTTTTATTTATTTTTCACTCAAAAAAAAAAAGTATTTTCCCTCAAAACATTCATAAAACATAATCTATAATTTTTTTTCTCTTATACATAAATTTTTTTTAAACCGTCATTAAAAAAAAAAAAAATCTAATACTTTCTTTTTTTTGTCTGATTACAGTGTCGGAAAGTTACAGCAGCTATGTGAATTCAATGTACGGCAATAATGGACAATTTACAGCGCCTTGTACACCAAGTCCACCACGAGGACCAGGCGGTGTACCAACAAGTGTAATTCAAGCGGCAACATCATCTGTTTCGGATGATTTATATCTTCTTGAATTAGGTTTTCCACCAAGACCGAAGAAAAATAAATTGAAAAAACCACGACAAGGCGAAGGTGGCGCTGCTGTTAAAAGAAAATCACGTGAAGGTTCAACAACATATTTATGGGAATTTCTACTCAAATTATTGCAGGACAATCAATATTGTCCGCGTTATATTAAATGGACAAATCGTGAACGTGGCGTATTTAAGCTTGTCGATTCAAAGGCAGTCTCAAAATTATGGGGTTTACATAAAAATAAACCCGATATGAATTATGAAACAATGGGACGTGCATTGCGTTATTATTATCAACGTGGAATACTCGCTAAAGTCGATGGTCAAAGGCTCGTCTATCAATTTGTCGATGTACCAAAAGATATCGTTGAAATTGATTGTACGGGTGCGTGAAATAAAATTGTCTATCCGTGTAGATAGTAGCTCCACGCGGATCAATGTCTATATATATATCGAGTTTTGTGAAGAAAAAAAAATCGCCTACGTCGAGCTATAATTCACATCTAAAAAAGCAGAAAAAAAAATGCCAATTTGGCATATATATCCCTCAGGCAATGTGATTACATTACACATACAAACATGATATACAGAAAAGAAAAAAAGAAGTAGAAAAAAAAAACCCTCTCTGGCTCCGTTGTTCCTTTTGTATATGTCGCGACGTTCTTCATTCATCGATTATTATTATAATAAAATCTTGTAATTTTTTACCAATTTGTAAAAAAAAAAAATAATTTTTAAGTTCTAATATAATATTTTGTTTTATCGTTATAGGAAAAATTGTTTTGTGATTGGAAATTTTTATTATTTTGATATTTTTATTATTATTAATTAATTTTATTAATATTAGTATTGTGATTGTAAATTTAAAAAAAAAATTTACAATTTTGGTAAAGAATTACAAATTGTAAGCAAAAAAAAATTATTTAAAAAAAATAAAATTAGTAATTAGTACAATTAATTAGTAATTAGTGTAAAAGAACAATTACCAAAAGAAATATGAATTTTTTGAATTCAAAATTTGAAAAAAAAGTGATTCGCAAGAAAGACGATTTTTGTAAATCTCATTATTTTATAGGAAAATTATTTATTTCATAAAGAAAAGGAAAAACTTTCTTCTAAAATTGCGCAAGATTTCAAATTTATTTGATTCAAATACTCGATTACTTGACTATTATCAAACAAATATTTACTTTAATCAAATAATTTTTGAAACCAAATAATTGAATTGTATTTGAATAATTTTTGTATTTGAAACAAATACCATCTCAAATCATTATTTGAAATGTGACTTGAAAGGGACCTTTATAGAACCAAAAAAATATAGGTTATGTTTAAAAAAATTTTAATTGAAAATACATCAACTCTAAATAAAAATAATTGATATTTAAGTTCAAAATATCTAATAAAAAACTGATTTTAATTTTACAAACGTAAAAAGAGACTTAATTATGGTAAAATTACCGTAAACATAACCTATAATTCATTTGCTTCTAAGGTCCCTTTCTTCAGAACATATTTATTTGCCAATAATCGAGTATTTGAATAAAATAAAATTACTTTTTCATTGTATATTCCTAAAAATTACAATTCATTAAAAAAAAAAAAAATTCAATTTTTATAATATATTAACAATTTTTTAAATTTAATTTTAATTTAAATTAATATAAAAATAAATTACAAAAATTACAAAATTTATTAATTTTGTAAATTTTCCTTTCAACTTATTCTTCATCAAATAAAATGATTCCATAAAAATACACAATATAGTTGAAAAAAAAAATCGATGAATGAAGATCGAACACGAATTTTTCTTTTTTGTTAAAAAGAAAGTGTGACTTCGGACCATTGATAATTTTTTTTTTTTTTTTTTTTTTTTTTGAGAAAGACGTGAGATTGTACGAAAAAAAAAATTTAGTTTTTAGGTGTCGAGAGTAGTGTGTATTTTATATAAAAAAAAAAAAAAAAAATCTCTACGGACAAATTACTTAACTATAAAAAAAACTTATAGACGCGTGTATAGGCAAAATTTGTACATTTTTTTTTAAAAAAACAAAACAATAAATTATTTATTGTATATTATATAAATATATATATATATATATATATATATATATATATATATTGTGACACGAGGACGCGAAAAAAGTGATGCTTTTTTTTGTGTAAAGAAACAAAAAAAGGGGATTTTTTTTAGGGTGGGGGAAGCGCGAAAAAAAGGAATCGAGGGCTGTGAGAATAAAAAAAAAAAATGATTGGGGGATCGCGTATTTTTGTGTATATTTTTTTGGTTTTAATTTAAAAAAAAAAATTGTTTTAATTTTGGAACGAGCTCAGGGAGGGAAAACTTACATTTTTAATATATTTTTTATAAATATAAAAATTGTGAATTTTTTAATGAGCCGAGGGTTAATATTTTGGTGCTGGCTTTATTACATACACACACACATACACGAGGTCCAAGAATGTTATTTAGCATCTTAGCGTTTTACTTGAATTCATACAAAAAAAAAAAAAAAAAATATTATATTCTCTTGTACATACAAAAAAAGTATACCTTTTTAGTATATATATATATATTATTGATTATATAAATATTATATATATATATTATATTAAAAAAAAAAATATATATATATTGTACGTTATGTAGTAAATGGAGTGAATTGTTGTGTTTCTGTGAGATTATGTGTCGCGTTCAAGGGGGGGGAGAAAAAAGATAAATAACGAGGATAATGCTTAATTGTTCTAACGATGTCTCCGTGTTAGGAAATATTTGGCGAAGTGAAAAAAAAAAAAATAACGCACACCGACTAAACTTCCAATGGTTTCTCATTAAATCAATGTTGTCGACGTGAGAATCCTCCTCGAGTCCAGGGTGTAATAAAAAAATTATTAGGAGTAAAATTTTTAACTTATTGTCGCTCTGGGTCGTGATGTGCGAACGTGTGACTTTTTTGACTTTTAAGTTTCTCTTTTTTTGTACATATATATAAAATGAGAACAATCTGCTTGAAAAAAAAACTATTATTATTATTATTATTATTATTATTATTATATTATTACATATGTCGAGAAAAAAAAAGGTTAATAATTACTGGTTAAAATGTTAAATAAGAAAAAAAAAAAAAGAAAAAAAAATAGAGAAAAAGAGAGTTCATTATTATATTATACACAAAGACAGCCAATATCGCTCTCTCAAGATTATATATATATATATATATATATTACATAAATATATATGGCAAAAAAAAAAAAATTTTTAATTTTTACTAGGACGAAGTACAGTTTAAAATATACAGTTTATTGTTCCAGTGCTGCCAATAATGCCTGTAATAGGTCCCGCGAATTTCTCAGTAAGGAATAATAATGTTATTAAAAAAAAAAAAAAGAAAAACGGGACATCAGACATACCGATGATACAAAGCGAATTGCCTTTTCATAATAACAAAGACGTGTTGCCTTCTAACGTAAATTTAAAAAAAAAAAAAAAAAAAAACGGGATAAACCAAATTTTCATCTCACCGTTTTTTATTATATCCAAAAAAAAAAACTTTGTCCTTGTATATCTTCGAAATGTTTATACCTCGTCGAAAAAAAAAAAACCCGTTTAGATTTTTTAACGTGCGACTTTTTCTATAGTAATACAAAAAAACTTTTTGAAAATAATATTGGGAAATGAGAATGGTTTTTTCTTTTTTTGTTATTATTATTATTATTAGAAAGAAAAATAAATGAAAGATGATGGTGAAAAAAAAGTACAATGGACAAAAAAAAAATCGAGTACCTATGCGAAAAAAAAAAAACTACACAATCAATAAAAACACATTATGGCAAAAAAAAAAAATGTTATTTTTAGGTAAATCCAATTTACATATTGCATACATAACAATTTGACTACACAACCCAATATTTTAACAGATAAGACTACTGTAATAGGGATAAATATATGATTATTTACTTGTAAAATATAAATGAAATACGATGGATTGACATTAAGGAACTCGAATGTAACGTTCTGTGATTCGTTGTTTGTAGGTGAAATTAATTAAAAAGAATAATGTACCATAAAAAAAAAATGGAATAATGTTACATTCTATTTCTAATCTCCTTCATCAAATCTTTTTTTATTCCTTCCTTATTTGGATTATTCCTTATTCCTTTCCTTATGTAATTAATTTTCATCTAAAAAAAACTGAATTTTCAAAAATAACTATTTTTAAATTTTCCATGAAAATTATTCAATTTAAATATATTTATTATCATTTAATTACCTAAAGTTTAAAAAATTAATTTCTAATCATTTTTGAATTTTGAATCAATTTTGAAATTTTTTTGACGAATTATCAAGTAAAAAAAACAATTTCATGCTCTCCTGATGCCAATGTGACCAGCAGATGAGAATTCTCCTCGTTATGAAAAAATAATTTACAAATATCTGAAAAATTTAGATAAAATTCAAATTATTAATTTATTTTTTAAAATGCATTTAGATAATATAAAATAAAAAATTACAGCTTTTTTCAAAAAATTATAATTAAATTATATATTATAAGATTCAATTAAAAGATTATAAGATTCAATTTTATTTCTTTAATATTTAAAAAACATTGTGTGATTGTTTTATATTGAATTTTTATTTACTAAATTGACATCGGAAAGAAATTATTGATAACTTTTTGATAATCGGAGTATTCAAATTTTAAAAAATCGCGCGCCACTTTCGGTAAAGTAATACTCAGCCAATAAACACTCGGCTTTCTAACACTGGAAGTGGCGCGCGACTCATTTAAATTTGAATTCTTCAATAACTAAAAATTTCAATTAACACCTGTAGGTTATATATTTTTTTTAAAATAATTAAACTTTTTTTTTATACAAATAATACTTGTAGTTAAACATCCACAATAAAAATATTTATTCTTTTCGATGGTTTTTCCCTAAATTATTAACTCAATTTTAAAATCTAGTATTTTTATTTCTGTTCTTTATTAAGCCAGTGTAACTAAGCGTAAACTTACATTTTTCATGTATACGTTTTCGAAGAATCTAAAATACTAATTTAATTTTTTTTTAAAAAGCCCAAAATATTTTATATATATATATATATATAGAATTTTAATCAAGAACTGTTTATAATTTAATATAAATATAATAAACTACATAACTGTTTAGTATTTATATAGCTGCAATAATTAAATTCTGTAAATGTGAAAAAAATTAAATTATCTCTAATAATGCAATTTGTGTTGTATTCATAGAGGACACTACAATAAGAAAGCTCTAAAATATCTAGATTGTCGATTATTAATTTTGGAAGAGGGTATGAGTAAATTCTATATAATCCAATGCTCCAGTAATTGGTCGTTCTGTTTTTGGATCAACGTAAGATTTCATCCGTGCCACACAATAGTCCGCCATTTCTTTTGTAAGGTTCTGAAAAGAATTTTTTTTTCTTTATTGTTTTGTTCAATTTTTATATTTTTTAAAATTAAATTTTAAGAAAAAATATCAACTTTTTTTTTGTATAATATACTCACAGCATATAATTCTTCCTTGGTGACGTAAGGACGATCTGCCGCTGTAATGGCACGGAATGCATTCTCAATTTCTTCAGAACTTTGAACATTTTCAGTTTCTTTACTAATCATAAACGCCATGTATTCTTGAAGTGAGACAAAACCATCTCTATTTGGATCAACGATATCTAAAAAAAAAAAAAAATTAGAAAATTATAAAAAAAATAAAATAAAAGATAAAGAAATTAAAATAATAATTAAATAATTAAATTACCTAGAATGTTTTCGAATTCAGGATCAGGTTGACCCTCCTCCACCATTGGAAGATCATAACCTAATGCTCTTAAACAAGACTTGAATTCTTGATGATTCAATCGTCCACTCTTATCTTTATCAAAGTGTTTAAACATCATTGAAAATTCCTTGAGAGCATCTTCACTTACACCCGATTGATTGCGCGCTTGTATTTGTTGCTCCAAATTATGTTGCATTCTCATACCAAGCTGATCAAGTTGATCCCATTGTTGCGCTAATCCAACGGTACTATGCTCCGTATATCGATTGTCAAGTATCAAATGCTCCTCCAATATTGCTCCAAGATCTTCAATTTTTTTCAAATCTTGCCGACGCGCACGTACCTCCTGTGTTTTTCTTTTGGTTGCTTCCAATTGTTGTTCCAATGAACCCGAACCTTCCATCATTGATGTACGCGTATCAGCCAACCATAAATGAAAAGCGTTCGCATGTTTTGCAAATTCTTTGCGTAATTTATCATTCTCCTCTTGTCGTTGCGCCTCCTTTGCAAGTTCAACATCCCTTTCCTTAATGATCTTTTGTAAATTTCTCCATGTATCCTCCAATGCCTCCATTGTAAACCAAGTATATGGATTTGGTCCAACGTTAAAACTCTTTATTTGACGATCAAGTGCAGCCAATGCTTGAAAATCGGCTTCAGCCGACGAGAGACTCGCTTGAAATTGTGCATGTGCTTCGCGTAATGCACGAATTTCCTCAATACTATTACAACGAACAGGATCAGTTAAATCCTCCTCGGCATTTTCAAACCATGAATTAAATGCCGATGCTTTTTTCGCAAATGTCAAATAAAGTTCCTCAATTTGTCTAAATTGATCCTGCATTCTCAATAAACGTTGTTTTCTTGCATCAGAATCGGCAAGAAGTTTATTCCAACGTGCAATAACATCGGCGTGACGTTTTTGAATACTTGCCGTTTGATCATGACCAGCGTCAATAAGCATTTCTTTTAAACTTGTAATATTATGAATACCCTCATGTTCAAAAGCAACAAGACCAGCGTCAAATGTCTCCTGTTTAGTCAACAATGTTTGTACTGTTGATAAATCACGACCAAATTCCTCCGAACGTACATGTGTCTCCTTATCAGCAATCCATGATTCCACCACATCTGCCTTCCACATAAATTGCAAATACGCCGAATTATCATTAAGACGTGTCTTTCTTCTATCAGCAAGTGCTCCAAGTTGTTCTAATTTATTTCTCAATTGATTACAACGTTGTTCAATTGATTCGGCACGATGATTTCCATCTTTAATCAATTTCTCACCATCCTTACAAATATCCTTACAACGTTCACCATGAGCAGTGAAATCAGTTTCAAAAGCATCATGTTTCTTTAATAAACCCTGAACAGCAGCCATAGTATCGCCATAATCCTCAACCGAAAGTAATTGTTGTTTCTCAGTAATCCATGCCTCTTCCTCTTCAACTTTAGCCAAAAATTGTTGATAAGTCAATGATTCATCAAGTTTTTGTCCACGATTAGCAGCCAATTGTTTCAATTCAGCCCATGCTTGATTCAATAATTTCAAACGTTGCTCAATTTCCGGTACGCCAAGATTCGAGACATTTATCAATTTTTCACCAGCTTCTTGAACAGCTTGTATTGCTGGCTCATGACTTGCAAGCTCCGCCTCAAGACGTTTATGTTTCTTTTTAAGATTTTGCACACCCGTCAAATCACGTCCATAATCATCTGAACCAACAAGAAGCTTCTTTTCCTTAATCCACGATTCTTCATCGGCAATATCGCGGAAAAATTGATGTAAAGTATTTGCTTCATTGAGTCGCGCCTGCCTATGCGCAGCAAGATTTCTTATTCTCTCATATCTTTCATTAATACTCTGTCGTTTCTCCTGAATACCAGCTGCATCAAATTGTCCACTTTCAATTAATGAATCAGCTTGCGCATTCATATCCTTAATTCTCTCCTCATGCGCTTGTATATCAGCCTCAACAAGTTGATGTTTTTTCATTAAATTCTGCACCGATGCCAAATCCTTACCAGCGTCCTCCGATGTTAATAAACTCTCAACTTCACCAAGCCAAAAATCTAAATCCTTTACAGCGGCAATATAAGTCCTTTGTTTATTCGCCTCTTTCAATTTCATTGATTTCTCCGTGGTTTTTTGTGTCAAATATTCCCATTGATCGGCAATTGATGCAAGTCTCTTTTGTACAGCATCCTCCGAACCAGCGCATTGTCTCTTCTCAATAAGATTACCACCCATTGCCAATACCGATTGTATTCTATCAGCATTTGCTGCCAATTCAGCTTCGAATGCTTGATGTTTTTGATGTTTCGATTGTATATTCGCTGGATCTTTATAATTTTCCTCGGTTGCAAGTTGTAATTTTTCAGCAATCCAATTTTCCATTTCATCAGCGTCACGTGAAAATTGTTGTAATGTTTGTGATTCACCTAATTTCGAACGTTTTTCAATTAGCGCATCTTTCAAATGACGCCAACGATCCAATACTTGACAACGTCTATCGTCAATTGGTTTCGATGCATAATGCTCAGCGGCAATTAATTGATCAGCCAATGTTTGTAGTGCTGCAATTTTCTCCTCATGGGCATTTATTGCCTTATCAAAATCCTCGTGTTTTTTAATTAATGCCTCAACATTATCGCTACTATCAACAGTATCGGCACTACTTAAAAATGCTTCACGTGCGCTCATCCAATTTTCCGCTTGCTCACAATCACGACAAAATAGTTGTAATTCAAGATTTTGATCAAGTTGCATACGACGTTGTATCCATGCTTTTTCCAATTCTTGACGTGCCTCCGCCATTGAATCCAATTTTTCTTGTATCTCCAAACTTGCATAATGACTCGATTGCAATAGTTGCTGTCCAAATAAATCAAATGATTGGAATGTTCCCGCTCTGGCGTCAATTTCCATACGATGTTCCTTGAAAAAAAAAATATATTCCGTTAATTCTAAAATTATATCAAAAAAGTTCCAATTATTCCAAATTATTATTTTCCCAAAGGACATTTTTTCCAAATAAAAAATTTTTCCTTTTGTGCTTTGGAAATGTTGTACTTTAGAAAAATTAATTTCGAATCCTTTGACTTTGGAACTTTTGTCTCCATAAACAAGAAATTCCGGACAATTTTAATTCTTAAAAATATTAATAATTTGATCCTTATTTTTCAAAAAACAAATTTTTAACACTTCGAAGACGCGTTAAGCAGATATAAAGAAAGCACTTTTTTTTTTTTAAAAAAATATTACATTTTTAGAGGCTGATGTTAAAGAAATAAAATTGCGCTAATTAAAAATAAAATAACATGCGTTATTTTCATAAATAAAACGCAATTGACTTTTTTTTGACTCGTTTTGCTGAATATTTAAAATAAAATAAAAAAACATTTGCAAATTAATCGCGAAACAAAACTTTTGTGTGCAAACACCTCGATACCTCTCGAATGATTCCGTAACGAGCGTCTATCTCGGCCCTCTGGTTCTACAATAGACACATTTCCAAAATTTGAAAACTTGATTTATTTTTAAAAGAGCTAAAAATAAAACTAATAATTTTTTTTTTTTAATAAAACTAATCTATTTTTTATTTAGTTTGATTTTAAAAATAAAAAATACTTTCTGAATTAATTGAAGTCTATGTTAATCAAAGTTTGTTTATATAAAAAATTAAAATTTTGAAAAATGACTATTTAAAGAACCCTTTTTTTAATTATTATATAATAACCATCGCGAAATATTTTAAATTAAAGTTTATTGTTAATAAATGAATTTTGAAATATTTATTTTTTAAAATTATCTAATTTGCAGACCTTTGATCGATTTTAAGGCGCAAAAAAAGTTGATTTACATTCCAAAAGAAGCAGAAAAAGTCGATTTTTTTATTCTAATTAAATTTAATTAATAAGTATTTTACTTTAAATAATTATTGTTATTAGATATTAAATCCATTTTATTAATTCCTTAATAATAATAATTCTATAGGAATATTATCAAGGAAATTTATTTCTATTTCCAAATCTTAAAATAAATAAATAAAATTCAGTAAAAATTTTAATTAAGTAGAACAAATATCTAAAAAGAAAAAAAAAATTCTTACAACAAATTCAATTTTAGAGTTTATGAAACTTTTTTAAATAATAGAATTTTTAAAGAAATATTAAAATTATTAAAAATAATTGAACTTTGCAAATTAATTTTTTTTTAGAAATAATTAAATTTCAAAAGATTTTTTTAAATTTCAGACAATAATTAAATTTTACAAAATTGAAAATAATTTATCAAATAATTTTAGATAAGGGTCAGAATTTCTCAAACGGATCACCTAAAATTAAGAAATTTTTTTTTTAATCAAAAATCATTTCTTTTGACTCCTTACATGGTAAAAATAAGTCCCTGAAATTCTTAGGTCAAAAAAAATTTTTTTTGTTAAAGTTATAAACAATTGAAATTTTTTGCAGTCTTATTTTAAAAAATTTTTTTTCACGATTTCCTGTTCACCAATTAAAAAAAAAAAGGGTTTTTCTCGTCTTAAAATGTTGTTTCTAAATATAATTTTTATTTCGAAAAAATTTCATATTTAATAGATTTTTATATTATTTATTTATAAAATGTTATTAAAAAATAGTGTTCTTGACGTCCTACAAAAAATTAAAATTTTTTTTTGAATTCCCCACACAATTTTGTGTAAGAAACCGTTGAGAAAAAAAATGAGACTAAAAAAAAAATTTCTGAATTTTAGGTGATCCGTTTGAGAAATTCTGACACATAATATTTTTTAAAAGTAATTAAATTTTCAAAGATTTTGATTTTTGAAATTGAACTTCAAGTGATTTTTAATTGAAATTTTTTGTGATTTCAGTTGTTGAAGAATTTATTAAAAATTTAAGAAATAAATTAAAATAAAAAATTTTCAAATTAAAAAATCCTTTTAGATAATTGAATTTTCGAAGAATATTATAAAAAAAATCATTAAAAATAATTAAATTTCAGAAGAATTGTAATTGAATTTATTGAATTTTAAATAATTTTAGATGGAAAACTTTAAAAGGGTTTTAAATTGAAATTTTTAATTTTATTTGACATGTTTTTTAAATTGTAAACAATATTATTGAATTTCATAAAATTTATAATTGAAAAATAATTTAAGATAATTGAATTTGTGATGAATTTCATTAAAAGATTTCTTTATTTGATTCTCCACGTTAATCTAACATTAAAACTGAACTAATTAATTAAATTATCATAAAAATTCGTCTAATTCGAAGTCTAAATTTGGAAAAAAATAATGATCTTTTTAAATTTGAATGAATACGATCTAGATTTAAAAAACAATTAAGAATAAATTTAAAAAAAGAAAAAATTAAAATCACATACCTGATGACGTTCAAGCAAAGCCTCAGCGCCAGTGACATCGGATGCAAGTTCCTCAGAAGCAACAAGACCCATCATTGAATTAATCCAAGCCATTAAATCACGATAATCACTCAAAAATCTCTGTAAATCATAAGAGTCCAACAATTTTTCCTTTCGATTATTAGCCTTGGCAGTCAATTGTGTCCATTCTTCATTAATTTCTTTTTGTTTCGCATAAGTTTGCTCAGCAGTGTCAGGATGCGATTGCATTAAACGATTTGCAGTCTCGTCAAGTTGTTTAATTTTATCACCAAGTGCAGCTAAATCTCTCTCAAGTCCCTCATGTTTACGCTGTAATGCCTGAACACTTCGTAAATCTTTACCAAGATCATCATTATTCAATGCAGCATCCTTTTCACGTATCCAATCTTTTGTTTCATCAACATCACGATGAAATCTTTGTACCTCATGCGCTGAGCCAAGTTGACTCGCCTTCTCCGCAGTCAATGTCTGAAGACTTGTCCATTTTTCATTTAAATCTTGAATTTGCGTATGAATTTTCAATGCAGCTTCCGTTTGTCCAAGACTCATTAATTGTACAGCAATTTCATTCATTTCAGCAAGACGCACTTCATTTGCCTTTAAATCAGCTTGAAAATCATCAAATTTCTTTTGCATCACTTCAACTTGTTCAAGATCTTCGCCAACATCTTGTACCTGTGCATGATTCTCTTTATCTTTAATCCAAGTTGCAAGCTCCGCTGCTTCTCTCACAAGAACATATGCCTTTGCAGTTTCATTTAATTTATTCTGCCTCTCCTTTGCCAATTCAATTAAATCATCATATTGCGCTTCAATTTGCGCCTGTCGTGCAGCAATTGAACTCTGTTCACGAGCAAGATTTTGTTGCGACGCTGTCAAACCCGCCTCGGGTTCAACTCGTTTCACATAAGCAGCTGGCACAAATCCTTGACGATCATTAACTTCAACCTTCCACCAATCTTTATTATTTGAATTCAACAATGTTAATGTATCGCCTTTTTTCATTGAAACTTCCCTCGGTGATTTTTCCGCATAATCATAAAGTGCAACAACACATTCTTTACCAGCAATATCAACAGTCGGTGTCTCTTGCTGTCGACACGCGGCTGCTTGTTCTTTAACCGCTTGTATTGTACTGGCAAACGCTTCCAAATCACTAACAAGCGCCTCATGTTTCTTAAGCAACGCCTCCGAACTGTCCTCATCTTTTCCATAATCAGGATTCATGACAATTGGTCGTTTCTCCTTCATCCACGATTCCGCTTCATTTGCATCGGCAAAATATTGATGCGCCTGCAATGAATCATCCAAATCTTGTTTACGTTGACGCGCCTTCTCCTTCAATTGTCCCCAATGTTCATCCAATGCAGTGAGACGTTGTGAAATTTCATCAGCAGCAAAATGTCCATCCTGTAACATTTTATTACCCGCTTGACAAACAGCCGCAACTCTTGGCTCATGATTATTTATTTCAGCTAAAACAGCTTGATGTTTTTTTTGTAAATTTTGAACGCCAATAAGATCACGTCCACGATTTGTACTCGCTGCAACTGGTTCCTTTTCACGTATCCATGCCTCCTCATCTTCAATATCACGGAATAATTGTTGCACCTGAAGGGAATCAAGTAATCTTTGCTTTCTTATACTCATTGGTTTTTGTAATGCCGAATAACGATTTTGCAATTGATCCTGTTTTGTTTTAATATTATCCGCATCAAAATGACCAGAAGTGATAAAATTCTCAGCTGCTTGATTAATTGCCTCAATACGATCTGAATGTGATCCAACGTCAGCTTCAAGTAATGCGTGCTTTTTTTGTAAATTTTGCACACTTGTTAAATCCTTACCATAATCCTCCGACATTAATTGACCCTCAACTTCTGAGAGCCATAATTCAATATCCTCAACGGTGCGATTAAATTGTTGTTGTTGAGATGCTTCTTGTAATTTTGCCCCTTTTTTATCTGAAGCATGTGCCAAACTCTCCCAAAGTGATATAATCTCATCAGTTCTTGAACGAATACGATCACTCGCATAATGTTCACTTTCAATTAATTCCTGTCCAGTTGATACCAATTCATCCATACGTGTTTTATTTGCATTTAATTCTTGTTCGAAATTTTGATGTTTTTGAACTTTACCATTTAAATTCGTTGGATCCAAATAGCTGTCATCGGTGGCGAATTTCAATTTTTCGAAAATCCAACCTTTCGTCTCGTCGCAATCTCTTTCAAATTGTTGCAATCTAAAAAAAATAAATAATAATTTCAAAATTCAATGTCTTACATTATGCTTTTCAAAAAACAATTTATGCTCTCAAAAAAGTTACAATTTTCAAATAGTATCAATTATGCTATATTATAATTTTAAAATACTTAAATTTTTCTGAAGCTCTAAATTATTAAATATATCTAATAAATTTAAATTTCTTAAACGAAAAAGTATCTAAAATTTTAAATATCTAAATAAATTAAAAAGAAAGAATACAGAAATTTAAAAAAAAAATCAAACTCATGTTAAAATTTTAAAAATTAACAATAATTTTTTTCAAGATTCACCTTTAACGAAATAATTCATAATACTTTTAAATTTCAATTTTTTTTAAAAAACAATAAATCATGATTTTCAATATGTAAATCCAATTACACATATTTACATTCTTTGAAAATTTAAAATATTTCAAAAATTTGTAATAAAATTCTTTAAATATTTCCAATTTTTCAAAATCTGCAAATTTAAAAAAATTTCATTTATTTAACATACTTTTAATTGAATATCTTCAAAAATTAAAATATTTTAACAATGCCGACCTCGGAAATTGACTTTGAGGCGCAAAAAAAGTCGTTTTAGCCGATTCACATTCCAAAAAAGTCGATTTTTTTATTTTTAAATTTAATTTGTTAATAAGTATTTAACTAATATTAGATACTAAATCCATTTTATTAATTCCTTAATAAGAATAATTCTACAGAAATATTATTAAAAAAATTTATTTCTATTTTAGAATCAAAGACGTAAATTTTTAAAATTTTAATTAAGTAGAGCAAATTTACGACGCTGAAGTACGCAACGTTTATGATAAATGTTTTTTAAATGAAATAATTTTTTAAAATGAAAAATTCTATAATTTTTCGTCTAAAATATCTTTCTTGTAGTTTTCATTAATCAACAAATTATAAAAAAAAATATTTTTTAGGCAAAAAATTATAGAATTTTTCATTTTAAAAAATTATTTCTTTAAAAATCGTTTATCATAAACGTTGCGTAATTCAGCTTCGTGCAAATTTTCTAAAAAAAAAAAAAGATTCTGACAAATCAAATTTAGAGTTTTTATTTGAAACATTTTTTAATAATTGAATTTTCAAAGAATTGCAATTCAGATTTTTAAAATTAATTGAACTCTAAGTAATTTTTAATTGAAATTTTTAATTATGAAGAATTTATTAAAAATTGTAGGCAAAAAATTTAATTTCAAAAGTTTTCGATTAAAAAATACTTTAAGATAATTAAATTTTTGAAGAATATTATAAAAATTATTTAAAATAATTATATTTCGGAAGAATTGTAATTGAAATTATTAAATTTCAAAAAGTTTTAAATGTAAAATTTTAAAAGGTTTTAAATTGATATTTTTGATTATTTTATTTTATTGTTTTTCAAATTGTAATTGTTGAATTACATAAAATTTTTAATTGAAAAATAATTTAAAATAATTGGAATTTGTAAAGAATTTCATTAAAATTATTAAAAATAATTAATTTAGAGAGGAATTGTAGTTAAAAATTTGTTAAATAATTTAAATAAAGATGATTTGTATTGTATACTAAAACAGACGTAGTTTGTTTAAAAATTTTATTTAAAAAAAAATGTAAAAAAAAGTCGATAAAATCGCATCTCATTTAAATAAATCGGAAAAGTAGTTTTTGAGAAAAAAGTAAAAAAAAGTCGAATATGTAAAATCTGAGGCCTATAACAATTGTAATTTAGAAATAAAATAATTTTAAATAAATTCTTGGAAAATTGAATTAGTTTTGAAATATTTAAATTAAAATTTATTTAATTTAAAATCATTTAAACTAATGTAGAAACTTTTAATTGCAACTGTTTAAAAATTAAATTATTTATATTAAATTGAAATAAGTACACAATTTAGATAAATAAATCAAATCTATTTTAATTTGAAATAATTATATTATTTAAAACATTTTTAACTAAAACTCTGCAAAATATTATTATTTTCAAAAAATTTTAAAGATTTTCTTTGATAATTTACTGATTTTAAAAATTTATATATATTAAAATTTATTTTCTTTTTAAATATTGATTTTAATTAGCAGAGAATTTATCTATTTAAAATAAAAGTTGTATTATACATTTTTTTTAAGTTAATTAATATTAAAAACTTTAATTTGCATCTCTTCGAAATATCAAATCATTATCAAAATAAAAAATTAAATTGTTTTAAAAATCTCTATACAGTTTTTCCGACAATTTAATATTAAAATTCCCAAATGAAAATTGTTGGGAAATTTTATTGCTGTAAAAAAATGAACTGTTAATCTTCTAAAATTTAATTATTTTTAAGTTAGTTATTTTAAAAAAAATGTAATTAAATATTCTCTAAAACTAAATTATTATATATCTTGAAACAGAATTTTTTAGAAATAAATTATTTTTAAAATAAAATATTTACAAAAAATATTTGAATATTATGCTTCAATTTATCAAAATAATGCCGCATTATGCGCAAATTGAATTATGCTGCTTAGAAACCAAAATTATTCTTTTTAGTACATTTGCAAATTGCAAATATTTTTGTTAATTAATAATAATTAAATAATTAATACTTTTTACTATAGATCTTAAAACTATAGAAAATAAAAAATGCATTAAAAAACGAAATGAAAGAATTCTTTTTACCTGTAAGCATCTTCCAAACGTTGTCGACGATGCGCTGATCTATCCAAAAGAATAGATCTACGCTCCAAAAGCATTTGTCGTCTCTGTGCAACATCATCAGCTGCATAATGTTCACCTTCAACCAATTTTCCGGCAAATTCATCGAGAGCCTTAATTTTCTCATCCTGTGCAGCGAGACTCTTGTCAAAATCCTCATGTTTCTTACTCAATGCCTCAACGCTGTCCAATGAATCGCCAAGATCTTCATTAGCAAGAAAAGCCTCCTGTTTCGCCATCCAAGCATCAGCTTGTTCAGTGTCACGATAAAAAAGCTGTAAATCCATACATTGCTCATAAAGAATTCTCCTCTTCTCCCAAAGACTTAACAATTGTGCTTTATCATCGGCCAATGATTCTAATTTTCTCGCCACTTCCTCGGCAGCATAATGCTTCTTCTCAACAAGTTGATTACCAGCCAATGTTGTCGAATCAAAACTATCAGTTCTTGCATCAATTTCCCCTTTATGCTCCTGATGTCTTTCCAAAAGTGATTCAGCGCCTGCAACATCCTTTGCCAATTCATCAGCCGATATTATTGCCTTCATATCATTCATCCACGAGACTAAATCACGATAATCGGCCAAAAAACGATGCAATGCATAGGATTCATCTAATTTTAATCGTCGCTCCTTTGCTTTACCAGTGAGACTCTCCCACGATTGGGAAATTTCAATTTGTTTTGCTTTTATTTGTTGCGCATGATCGGCTTGATGAATTGCAGCCAATCTATTAGCTTCTGTACTTAATGTTGTTACTTTATCATCAAGTGCCGCTAAATCACGTTCAATACCCTCATGTTTACGTTGTAATATTTGTACACTCGCTAAATCACGACCAAAATCATCGGACGATAATACAACATCTTTCTCTGCAATCCATGCCATTGTTTCATCAGCGTCACGATTAAAACGTTGTATTTCATGTGCACCAAATAATTTCTCCTGACGTAATATTGCCAATTGTTTTAATCTCTGCCATGATTCATTGAGTTCTTCTTTATTACGTAAAATTGTATCGCGCTCTGGATGACCATTCAAAAGAAGTTTATCAGCAAGTTCATTAACTTCAGTCACACGATATTCTTGGCTAGCCATGTCTTTTTGAAATTCATCAAATTTTCTTTGTAGCACCTCAACGTGCTCTAAATCCTGACCAAAATCTTCATTCGTCACAAATGCCTCTTTATCTTTAATCCAAAACATCACTTCCTCGCAGTGACGAAGAAATTGTACCAAAACCAAAGCCTGTTGTAGTTTTAGACCTTTATCAGCCAATCGAGACAACAAAAGTTCCCAAAGGCGATGAAGTTCCTCTGTAAAGGTTTTTTTTTTAAAAAAAAATTAAATATATTTCTATATTTAATGAAAAATTTTATTTTATTAAACTAGCAAAATTAAACGAGCGCAAACGCGCCAAATTGAGTATTTAATTGTTTGTTATAAAGAAATTAAAGATTAATATTATCAATAATAATTTAATTTATTATAACATTATTACATATTAAATACGAAGCTGAAGTACGCAACGTTTATATAAACGATTTTTTAAAAAATAATTTTTTAAAATAAAAAATTCGATAATTTTTTGGCTAAAAATTATTTTTTTATAATTTGTTGATTAATAAAAACTACAAGAAATATTTTTTAGACAAAAAATTATAGAATTATTTATTTTAAAAAATTATTTCTTTAAAAATCGTTTATATAAACGTTGCGTACTTCAGCTTCGTTATTAAATGATAATAATGAAAATTATATGTTTACAGGCCTCGGATTATACGACTTTTTCCGACTTTTTTCAAAAATACGACTTTTATCGACTTATTTTAATAAAATGCGACACTTTTTTTACATTTGAAAAAAATGTTAACAAAATACATTTTTTTTAGTATAAAATGTAGATCTTCTTCAGATCTTCTTCAATTCAATTATTTAACAAATTTTGAACTAAAATGATTCTTCACTAAATTAATTATTTTTAATAATTTTAATTAAATACATCACAAATACAATTATATCAAAATTATTTTTTCAATTAAAATTTTTATGAAATTTAATAATTGTTTATAATTAAAAAAAATATATATCCCAATAAAATTGCATTATTTTTTAAACATTTCAATTCAAAATAAACTAAAATTCAATTATTACCCGGAATTTTAATTCAAAATCAATTAAAAATCCAATAATTATCAAAAATTTTTAATTTAAAATTTAATTATTTACCAAGTTTTCAATTTAAAGTGAAATAAAATTCAATTATTTTCTAAAATTTCTATTCAAAATTAATTATCCAAATTTTCAATAAAAAATGAACTTCAATTAAATTATTATCCAAAATTTCAATTAAAATTCAATTATTTCCCAAAATTTTCAATTGAAAATGAACTGAAATTCAATTATTTTCCAAATTTAAAATCAAATAAAATTTAATTATTCTCAAAAATTTGAATTCAAAATTAATTGAATTTTCAATAATTTGAATTTAAAAGCATCTAAAATTTAATTATTTCTAAAATTTTCCATCGAAAAATTTTTTTTTTGAAATTTAATAATTTCAATTATAACCCCAAGGAAATTCAATTATTTTTAACTATTTTAATAATATTCTTTGAAAATTCAACTATCGGAAACCATTTTTCAATTAAAAATGATTTTCAAATTATTGTCTTTTGTCCGCATTTTCTAATAAATTTTTAGTGAAATCATCTAAAATTTTAATTAAAAATCACTTAAAGTTTCAATTAATTTCGAAAATCTCAATTTTAAATCTTTGAAAATTCAATTAAATTTAAAAAATGCTTTCCAAAAATTGTTTGATAAATTATTTTTAGTTCTGTAAAATTTAATAATTGTTTGAAAATTAACAATATCTTTTGAAATTTAATTATTTCTAAAAATTTCATCTTTAACCCTTCGAAAAGGATTATTATTAAAAAAAAATTTTTTTATTTAAAAATCTGTAAAATATTTTTGTTAAAATGAAAAACAAATTCCACTTTTTTTTGGAATATAAATCGACTAAAATTACTTTTTTGGGTCTTTAAGTTGATTCGAGGCCTGTGTTTTTATAATTAATATTTAATAGATATTCGTTGGCCCCTGGTACTTTAAAAATTAATTTTTTAAAATAAATTTTTTTCAAATTACTGTCTTGTACGAAATTTCCTGGCGCATCTTTTTTCTCATCATAAATTTTTTGTATTTGTATACAATTTTTGAATCAATATACAACTTTAAAAAAAAATTCGTTGGTAAACGTTGTGTACTTCAGCTTCGTGAATTGAATTTTCGAATTTGGAATTTTAAAGAAACTTATTCCGAAATTTGGAAACACAATTATACAACTTTGGCAAAAATGAGAAAAAGAATTGTCAAAATTTGACACGTCATAAGATTACTATTCAAAAAAAAAACACGTGAAATCAGAAAAGGCCAACTTCAAGTTAAGACAGAAGGACAGACCAAGCATTTTATTATTATAATAATTACGGGCCTCGAATCGACTTTAAGGCAGAAAAAAAGTTGTTTTAGTCAATTTACATTTCAAAAAAAGTCGATTTTTTATTTTTAAAAAATTTAATTAGTTAACAAATATTTTACTTTAAATAACTAATTTTATTATATATTAAATTCATTTTATTAATTTTGTAATGAGAATAATTCTATAATGAATATTATCAAAAAAAATTTATTTTCAATATTTCCAAATCGAACTAATTGTAAGACAAATTTTCAAAATTTTATTTAAGTAGGACAAATTTCTAAAGGAAATTCTTAAAATCCAATTTTTATAATTTTTTGAAATCTGATTCAAGGAATTTATTCGAATTAAAAATTTTGTCATAGTTTTTAGTTTTAATGTCCCCCCCCCCAAAAAAAAATTTCGGACAATAATTAAGTTTTGCAAATTTTAAAATACAATTTTTTTTAAATAATTGAATTGCACAAAAAAGTTTAAATTTGAAATAAATTTTGTGCAAATTTTAACAAGTGTAGATTTTTAAAAATTTTTGACAATTCAATCTTTGAGTTTTTATTTGAAACTTTTTAAATAATTGAATTTTTAGAAATAATTGAATTTCAAAAGATTTTGTTAAATTTCAGAAAATAATTAACGTAAAAAAATTTTTTGAAACTAATAGTTACTTTAATTTATTTATAAAAAATTCCAAAAAATTAAAGAAATTTCCTGACTTTTCCCTGATAGTTTGACACCCTGGAATTTCATAAATTCGTTAATTTGACAAATAATTAAAAACAATTGAATTTGTGAAGAATTTCATTAAAATTATTTAAAATAATTAATTTAGTGATGAATTTTAGTTAAAAATTGATTAAATAATTGAAATAAAGAAGATGTGCATTGTATACTAAAAAAAAGACGCATTTTATTAAATATTTTGTAAAAAAAAAATGTACCTATCTTTTATGCTTGCAATCATATTAACAATCTATTTTCTCGAATGAATCTGGACTTGGACCTATTCTTTACTACCAGCTTTGCTTAAATTAATTTATAACTAACAACTTTTATTTTCTATTTTTGTTACAAATTATTCTACTTCCTTTTCATCAAGTTTAATTATTTTTCTTTTGTACTTATTTTAGTTACTCATGTTTGGTCCATTTGGACCACGGGAACTGTGTATGTAAATAAATAAATAAATAAAAAAAAAGTCGAAAAAGTCGTATTTTCGAAAAAAAATAAGAAAAAGTAAAAAAAAAGTCATATAATCCGAGGCCTGAAATTATGAAAATAATTTTCAAAAACCTATTTATTACAAACAATAATAGACTATTAATATACAACATTAATAAGCAATTAATTTATCTTTTAAATTTTTTTTAATTTTAAGTTAAAAGTATTTTTAAATTTAGATTTATTACAAATATCACATTTTCTATTACTTTAATTTAATAAATTCAACAAATTCAATTTAATTATATTAACACTATTAAGAATAATTAATCAGAAAAATTAATTTTTCAAAAATCCGAAAATATTTGCTCAAGAATAAAAATTGCATAATTACCGCATCTTTTGCTGATAATATCACTGGAGAAATGATGTTGGGCAATCATCTCTTGACCGGTGTTATCGAGCAGAACAATTGCATTAGAATGTGCAGAAACTTCCGCTTCAAAAGCCTGATGTTTTTGAATTTTTGCTTGCAAATTCGTAGGATCTTTATAGCTTTCATCGGAAGCTGCTTGCAATTTTTCGTAAATCCATCCTTCGAGTTCATCCGCATCTCGCTTAAAATACTACAAAAAAAATAATTTTTCTTTTAAAAAAACATTTTTCCCTAACTTCTAAATTATACTTAAAAATTCTAACCTAAAAAAAACTTTTGTAGTGAAAATTCTTATTTTAATTCATATCATTTAACATCAATGAAATTAAGAAACCTCATTGCGTAACACAATTATATTTCCCTTTGTCAATCAATCAATAAAAAAAAGGCACAATGACACTTAATTAAATAACGGAAATTATATACCTGAAAGCGACGGGAGTCCTCGAGTTTATCTCGTTTACTACGTGCTTCGGATTTAAAATTCGAATAACGTCCAAGAACTTGATCTCGTCTTTCTTGAATATCCTCAGGATTCTCAAGGATTTTCACCTCCTTGGGTGTAATTTGATCCATGATGATTTAAATCAAATTTTTATCACCGCACACAAATATCTCTCTTCTTACCAAAAGATGATCAAAATGGCTGTGGGGTGTGGCAAAAGTTATATACTTGCACGACAATCAATAATCCTGTTTATCAATTTAATCCAATTGTTATTTCAATAAACAAACACTATCAATATATTATTGACAATTTACACTTTAATTATTGACAAATGAATATTTAAAAAATGCACATAATAATGGTTTTTTTTTCAATTAAATACGAAGACGAAACAATGTTTGTCTGCACCGGTCCCGTTCATTTTTCCTTCACTGACTTTTCTTATTGCGCACGCGCAACGAGTACCACTTTAGTCAATAAATAGCGCGAATATTTAAATATTAAAATTGAAATTTTTTATTTCTAAAAAATTTAAATTTTCCTTTTTAAAAAATGATTGAAAAATAGTATCAATATTAATTTACAAATATTATGAATTAAATAAATTTTTAAAAATAGTAAAAATATAAAAATATGCGGTGAATAAAGTTTAAAGACACTGCGGTATTTGTATTCTATTTTTAGCTGTGACTAAAGTAATCCCACACAATTACGAAAGTATTATTATATTATTAAATAAATACGTCATTTTAACAGCACCAAATTCCTCTTAATTAGTGTCTAACTTTATCTATGAAACATATATGATATTTTTTTAAAAACAATTTTCAATTTTTTTAAATTTAATAAATTCAAAATAATATTATTAATTTTCTATTTATTATAATTATTATTTTTATCCACAATTAATTATTTTCTTCATTTCATTAGTTTTAAAAAATTATTTTTTATTTATGTAATTTAATATTTTCTTGTTTGGCAATTTTAATAAAAAAAAAATTGCTTATAAGTTTTAATTAATCTTTTAATTAGAAATTTTAGTGTATCAACTAACTATTTTTTACTTAAGATTTTTAAAATATAAAAATCAAATAATTTAAACTGTGTTTTTAACTATAACTATGTAATAAATAATTTTTTTTAAATTAAATTAATTTAAATTAATTTTAAAAAAAAGGAAATTTAGTTTTGAATAATCTAAAGTAAATGAATTTAATTTGAAAAATTAATGTCGATGTAAAACTTTTTTAAGTGATCGACTCATGAAATAAGGCTTTTCATAAGAACCATCATTGCGCTCGGAATCTTCGAGAAAGCAAAGAAAAAGTGTATCAATCGCAGCGGTTTGAACGTGAAAAAATGATGTTGTAAGCATATAAGCACCAATTCCAACTATAATAACTGGAACGGCCCAATAATTAAGAGTAGTCTCCCTATGCGTATAATACCACCATGTAGAAAATATGCTAAGAGCTATTATAAATATTTTACCTACTGTTAAAATCCAATCTGAAATCTGAAAGATTTAATATTTAGATTTTTTTTCGAAATTAAAAAGAAAAAATTATTATTTAATAAAATTAATTAATTTAATATTGGAAATAATTCAAAAATTAAAAAAAAAATATGTAAATTAAATATAAATTAAAATAGAAGTTAAATTCGAATTAAATTTATATAAAAATTAATAATATAAATTAACTTACCTTAGTGAGTAAAAAAACTCTAATCATATTTCTCATTAAAAGATGAAATGATTCCTTTGCCGAGTGATAAAATCCTTTACCATGAACTGCACACATAATATAGGCATTGGAATTGATAAATTTAAAAAATTTCTCCAATAGCCAAAAATTCCATTTACAACACATTATTGCAATATTTGCAAATTCATTATTATATGTATTCAATTTTTTGCTCATAGCTTCCAAAATTTCACGAATCAAATTACAAATTGTTATTATCAATGAACCAAATGCTAATGTTCCTAAATGATATCTAAAATAATAAAAATATTTATTTATTATTAATTTTTTCATAAAGAAAAAATGTATTTTCAAAAAAATTTTTAAATTTATTAAATTATACCTAAAAGTTCGCCAAATACTAATGGTGACAGTGAAAAATGGAACATCTTCTTTTTTAAATGTCCAATACCATGTTGCAAATGTAGCAGATAAAATCATTTTTCCCAAATCAGTGATAAAAAAAGTCATCCAAATAAAGCCAATACCATTATAAATTAATAAATAAATTGCAAGTTTTGGTATATGATTCCCTTCAAAGTGACATCCACCGCTAATGCAAGTTTTATTATTTTCTCGACATTTTTCATTAAATATATCCGGATTACAATCAGAATTATTTTTATAGTTCAATTCACTTGGACAAATACAATTTTCTTTATTCATTTTTAATTTAAATGTTGGTTCATTAAAAGACGCCAAATGAAAAGCAACAACAATTGCAAATATCAAAGTGAGAATTTTCAAAATCCAGGGAAATATTGGAAACAAAAGACTTGAGAGAACAGAAACAACAGCTCTAGAAAAAAAAAGAAAAATGTAAAAAAAAATAAAATAATACAATAAAATATAATAATGTGTAAAAACAAATAATTTTTTACTTGCTTGATTCCTCAATGAGTTGACAGGCCAAATAAATTCTTTTACGAAGAACAAATGTTATTAAAATAACAATTCCCAATGCAATACCACAAATTATTGTAAGCGTAAGCCACCATTTTTTCACACTATCACTCGCCGAAAAATATAATTGACAAAAAATATAAATTCCAGCAGCGAGTGATGCACAAATTCCAATAATTGCCAACCAAACAAAAGGTGTTGTAAACCATCTCAAAAGAATAATGTAAATTATTGTCACTATTCCACTGCCAAGAATGAATAATGGAATTTGATATCTAAAATGAAAAGAATTATTTCAAAAATACTTTTCAAATTAATTTTTGTAATATAAAAAATCATTTTAACTTACTTAATTTTTTCAAGATCATTGTAAATATTTCTCAAAACTCGTTCAATTTCAGCAAACACTTCAATTGCTTTTTTTGCTAAATTTAATTTATCCTCATTAATTGTAACATTAACAAATCCCTCTAATGGTTTTAAAGGAATACAACGTCCAGTTATTGCTTTACTATTCAAATACCATCGTGCACATTTTTCATTTAAAATAAGTGTATCCAAATCATTCCAATTATCAATTTGCGTTAAATTAACATTCATTTCACAAATAAGTTTCAATTTCATTTCATTAATTGGCATACTCATTGATTTATAAATAAAATTATCCGTTGGACATTTATTTCGACAAACTTGAGGAGTATTGCATGATGTTGAAATGGAAATACATTTTGTTAAATCAAAAAATACTAAATACGGCATATTTTTCACTTCAGCGTCAATACCACATTTTCTTCCTTCACTGTCAGTTGGCATCATTAAACGCTCAATATCACCATGTGTCAATGCTATTGAATTTGAAAACATTAATATTTTTTTTTTAAAAAAATGTAAATTAAAAATTTCTTACCATAATATCCAATGCCAGCCCAACAGAAAAGAAAAATAATAAAAATAAAAAGACATGGTAGATCGGTGCAAGAACGTTTTTTCAAAGGACCCCGCCATTCTGGATCAAATGCCAATTTTTCCCCTGTTAAAAATTTAAAAAAAAAAAACGAAAACAATAAAAAAATATTAATTTAATATAATTGTTAATGTAACTTACCAAATTTTTCGTCCATTATAATTGTCACTTGATAAATGATTGCAACATTTATGGTATAACTTAACTTAGCTTTAGATTTAAAAAAAAATACCTTAATCAATGAATACAAAAAAAGTAAATGATAATGACTCTAGGAAACATTTGATAAGAATCAAAAAATAAATAATTCTAGATAAACTCTTTATCAGATGAAATCATTTTGAAAGGATAAAAATCGACAATTCTGTAAAAAAAAAAGATAAATTACTGTGTTATGATTAACTACTGAATTAAGTTTAACAAGAAAAAATTAATTTTCCTTTATAAAAAAACATTAATTCACATATTGAATATAAAATTCAATTTAATAAACACTTTATGTACACTTGTTTTTTCAATCCTTTTAAGATTTTGGTAAAAATCTATCCAAAACACCGTAATTCTTTTTCTTCATTGTTGGTTTCTTCATGTCAATCAAAACCTCAGCTTCACGCATAGCTTTAATAGCTTCCTAAAATTGATATTTAAATTTTTTTATTTATTTCTATTTACTCAATTAATTTAAAAGAAATTTAATAATTAATAATAGTTAGTTAATAATTATTAATTTAAATAAAATTTAAAATACCCAAAAAGTTACGAACCTGTTTAGCCAATTGTTTAAGAATTTTTCTCGATTTAATAATTTTGGCGGTGCCTCCTTTACCCTTTGCTTTCGTCTTTCTTGGAGTGAAGTCTATTTTCTTCGGCTTAATAAACTAAAAAGAATTTTTCACTTATTTAATATTTTTATTATACTTTTTTTTGTTCAATTAAATAAAAATAAAGAAAAGAAAATTTAAATAAATTATTTCTGAAACAAAACATTTACCAGTAATTTTTTCTTCGCCTCATTTTGCTCCTTCAATGTGGGAACATCAATTTCATTAATAACACCCGTATCTAATGTAATCAAATCAGGTTGAATTTTATCCAAAAGTGCCTTAACTTCAGATTCTTTTCTTTGTGATTTCGTTTGGAATGGATTAATTTCAAGAGCATCGAAATTCGCCTCAGCACTGCCAGGAATTAAAACCGAGGTAAATCCCTTGTCAGTTGTAACGCCCAAAACATCTTCAAACGGACAAAATTGCATTCTCGAAATATTCCAATTTTCTTTATGACGCATATAACACTTAATATCTGTCGTAGTATCTCTAAAATGGTTTTTTTTTTGTTTTTAATTAAATATTCCTTTTTCTACAATAATAATAAAAAATATAAACAAAAAAAAATACCTGTAGACTTCAATAACATTTCCCATTCCAACACTCAATAATCCACGTTGACTGTATGACAATTGAGTTGCAGGATGTCGTAATTTTGCATTTTCCAATGGTCCAGATAATTGTCTAATATCCCAAATTTTTAACGATCGATCAGGAGAACTTGTCGCCATATAAAGACCATAGGGATGAATAGCAATACTGTTAATTGATTGTGCATGACAGAGCATTTTTGCCAAAGGTTGTTGAGAATTTGGCGACCACATTGACACAACACCTTTTCCATTTCCAACGCACAATAATGCATTACTGGGATTTTGAGTCATTACCTTCAAAAATTAAAATTGCCACCAATTTTTTTTTATTAATTCAATTTAAAAAAAAGAGTCTCAGGATGTCTAGCGCTTTTGCCAAATAAAATTCCAGGACTTTTTCAGATTAAAAAATTTTTTTCTTACTATTTGAATAATTAATGACAAAAAATACATGAAATTATTTTCAGTCTCTCTTTATAATAAACATAGTAATAAATAAATTTAATTTTCGTCATTCTCAGGCTTCGGATTGAATTTAGAGAAAGAAAAAAGTTATAAATACAATTAGTTAGTCAATATTTTATTATTAATATCAAAAAATTGTAATTTAAAATTAAATAATGTTTTTTAATTCTGCTTTAATATTATTGTAAAAAATTGAATTTAGTAAAAATTCCAAGGACTTTTCCAGGTTTTCAAGGAATTCCAGGTCACGCTAGACACCCTGATTAATTTAAATTTTTTGATGATTTCTGTTACTAAAAAATTTATTAGAAATTTCAGACAAAAATACAATAATTTAAAAACTTTTTAAGTGAAAAATAATTTCAGATAGTTAAATTTTCGAAAAATATTATAAAAAGCCTTAAAAATAATTGAAATTCAGGACAATTATAATTGAAATTATTAAATTTCAAACAATAATTATAATAAGAGAAATTTTTTGTGATTTTTGTTGATAAAGAATTTATTAGAAATCACATACAAAGATTGATTTTCAAAAGTTTTTAATTGAAAAATGCTTTCAGATAATTGAATTTTAGAAGAATATTATAAAAATCATTAAAAATTATTGAATTTCAGGAGACTTACAGTTAAAATTATTAAAATTCTGAAAATATTAGAAATAATTACATTTTAGAAGTGATTTTTAATTGAAAATTTTTGATAATGTTATTTGCTTATTTTTTAAAAATTATAACAATTTAATTATTTAATTTCATTAAAATTATTGAAAACAATTGAATTTTGGAAGAGTTTTAGAAATACATTGAATTTTCAAAAAATATAAAAATCATTTAAAAAATAATTAAATTTGTAAAGAATTTCATTAAAATTATTAAAAATAATTAATTTAGTGACGAATTTTGGGTAAAAAAATTTGTTAAATAATTGAAATAAAGAAGATCTGAAGAAGATCTGTATTGTATACTAAAAAAACTCATATTATTTAAAAATTAAAAAAAAAGTCGAAAAAGTCGTATCCTATTAAAATAAGTCTAAAAAAATCGGAAAAAGTTATTAGACATTAAGTCCATTTTATTAATTTTGTAATGAAAATAAGAAAAATATAATCAAGAAAATTTAATTCTATTTCAGAATCGAAGTAAGGAAAATTTTCAAAATTTTTATTAAGTAGGACAAATTAACAAAAAATAAAATTCTAACAACAATTCAATTTTAGAGTTTTTATGTGAAACGTTTTTAAATAATTGAATTTCTAAATAAATATTAAAATTATTAAAAATAATTTATCAATTTATTTTAGATAAAATTTTTAAAGTAACTGAATTTTCAAAGATTTATCATTCAGATTTCTGAATTTATTTGAACTTCAAGTGATTTTTAAATAATTATTTTTTTTAAATGAATACCTATTTTAAATAAATAATAAAATAATTAAATTTTGGAAGAGTTAAAGTTGAAATTTTTAGAAATAATTGAATTTCAAAAGATTTTGTTAATTTTAAGACAAATAATTAAGATTTACCTAACTAAAAATAATTTATCAAATAATTTTAGATAACATTTTTTAAAAGTAATTGAATTTTCAAAGATTTACAATTAAAATTTTTGAAATCATTGAACTTCAAGTGATTTTTAATTAAAAATTTTTTTTTTTGATGATTTCAGTTACTAAAAACTTTATTAGAAATCCAGACAGAAATACAATAATTTAAAAACTTTTCAAGTGAAAAATAGTTTCAGATAGTTAAATTATCGAAGTATATTATAAAAATCATTAAAAATAATTTAATTTCAGGAGATTTTTGAAAAAATTTTAATTGAAATTATGAAATTTCAAAAAATTTTAGATTCAGAATTTTAGAAACTTTTGAATTGAAATTTTTGAAAATAAGTAATTGAATTTCAGAAGAGTTTCTTAAATTTCAAACAATAATTTTAATAAGAGAAATTTTTAGTAATTTCTGTTGATGAAGAATTCATTAGAAATTACAGACAAAGATTGAATTTCAAAAGTTTTCAATTGAAAAATACTTTCAGATAATTAAATTTTAGAAGAATATTATAAAAATCATTAAAAATTATTGAATTTCAGGAGAGTTACAGTTGAAATTATTAAATTTCAAAAAATTTTAGTAATAATTAAATTTTAGAGGTAATTTTGAATTGAAAATTTTTGATACTGATATTTGTTGATTTTTTTAAAATTATAACAATTTAATTATTTAATTTCATAAATTCTTTAATTTAATAAATTTCATTTAAAATTATCGAAAATAATTGAATTTTGGAAGAATTTTAGAAATACATTGAATTTTTAAAAAAATATAAAAATCATTTAAAAAATATTTATATTTCGGAAGAGTTATAATAAAAATTTTTAAATTACTGAAAGTTTTAGATGAAAAATATTAGAAATAATTAAATTTTAAAAGCTGTTATATTGAAATATTTGAAAATAATTGAATTTCAAGTAATTTTTAATTGAAATTTCTGCAAATTTCCGTTGCTGATATATATTTTTTTTAATTTCAAACAATTATTGAATTTTACAAGTTCATTAATTCGACAAATAGTTTAAGATAATTAAATTTGTAAAGAATTTCATTAAAATTATTAAAAATAATTAATTTAGTGAAGAATTTTGATTAAAATGCGAAGAATATTATAAAAATAATTAAAAACAATTATATTCCGGAAGAGTTACAGTTGAAATTATTAAATTTACAACAGTTGTAGATTTACATTATAAACAATTGTTGAATTTCATAAAATTGTAATTGAAAAATAATTTAAGATAATTAAATTTGTGAAGAATTTCATTAAAATTTATTAAAATTAATTAATTTAGAGAAAAATGTTTAGTTAAAAATATGTTAAATAATTGTAAGAAAGTAGATATGAATTATATACTAAAAAAAGATGCATTTTAATTAAAAATTTCGTAAAAAAAGTCGATAATGTCGTATCCTATTAAAATAAGTCGAAAAAAATCGGAAAAAGTCGTATAATCCGAGACCTGTAAATTATTTATTAATTCAATTCAAAAAGAAAAAAAGAAAGAGTCGAAAAATGTTTAAAAAAGCGTTTTTTAAAAATTAAATAAAAATTGTTTACCGAAATTCTCCCCAATCGAGACTGATAACTGGAAATCATCTCTCCAATAGAAACATCCAACCAACTGAGAAATCCACTTTTCGATCCACTTGCAAGTAAAAAATGATAGGGCAAAAATTCCAAACGATTAATTTCATGCATTCTTTTTAAACAATGAATTTCAATTCCCTGATTATCATAAATGTGTACCCAATTTTTTTGCGCTACAGCAAACATTGTTTCAACATGTAACCAAACAACATCATGAACTGATTCCATAACATTTAATTCGCATGATAATTTTTTTGTAATCCAATCAAATGCAGCGACATGTCCTTTTTTTCCACCTATCAATAAATGTCTTCCATTTCTTGTATAACGCATACAATATGGACCAAATTCAAGATTAAGTTTAAATTGTTTTGATGCACTTGTTATATCAACATTTGCAGTTAATTGTGATTGTTTAAATTGTGTTGTTGTTTCATCATTATCGGCCTCTAAAAAACCATAATCTTCAGTCAATAACATTTCAGTACGCGCTGTATCTTCAGCGACACGATTTATTATTTGTTCTTTATTTCTTATTCTTTGTCGATGATATTTATTTTTTATTCTTGTTGTTTTTGGATTTAAATCCACACCATCGCCATGTGAATATTTCATTAGTCTTTTTTCACTAACAGGAGCTTTTCCTGGATATTTTGACGAATTATCAGCTGTAAAAATTAAAATAATAATTTTTCTTTTTTATATAATTAAATTAATTAATTATTATGCAAAAATACGATTATTCATATATTTATTTCTAAAAGAAACTTTATAAAACCTAACCTATAAATTTGAAAATTGACAAATACAATATAAAAATGTAAACAAAAACAAAACTTAAATATAATAAACTAAAATATTTAAATTAAATTATATTCGATTATTGAATGATATGTGAAATAAAAGAATACATAAACCAGGAAAAAACATTTGAAAAATATAGAAAATAGATCTATAAGACATAGTGGAAACAGATTTAAATATTCATTTATTATTTCAAATAAATTGTCTCATATATAAATAAAATACTTACGCGTTCGCTTCATTTTTTTTTTTTTGATCCTTGTATCACAATTATAATAAAAAAAGAAAATAGTTTATAAAACTATTTACTCGTCCAAATGTCAACACGTGTTAACTGTTACCAAAAACAGCCATCTTGAATTTTTACTACGTTATCAAAGCAATGCCTATTGTAAAACAAAAAAAAATTAATATAAATAAAAACTATCAATTAGAAATTTATTTGCAAATAATATAATTACATTAAAAACACTTATTTAAATATAAAAACTATTTTCTTAAATGTATTTTTAACTTTTTTCAAAATAATCGTAATTCGTAAAAATACTTTACTTGACACACATTGTCAAGGTCAACAATGTCGTCTGCTACAAGACAACGACGCACGTGTTTACAAGTGATTTATTATTAAATAAATAAAAAATTGACACTAACTTAAGTAATTATTTTTATTAACCTAATAATATTAACCTCTTTAAATAATTATGTGTTTCAGTAATGTTTTTATAATATTTTTAAAATTACATACTTATTTACAAGTATACCGGTAAAATTTTAATGTTTTGTTATTTAATTTTATATTTTTAAAAAAGGATATCGTTTTTAAAAAATTACACAAAGTGTACAATTAAATATATTATGAAATAAGAAAAAAAAACTGAATGAAAAATAATAATTTTCATTACTAAGATGAAAGTATGATAATGTGGATATATAACCTAAAAAATCAAATGATCTAGAATGTTTGGAGTTTTCTGGTTATTTATTTCCATATTTTAATAACCTTTGGCACTGATATTAGAAGACAAACAATGTGACGTTGCTTACTATAATATCAAACTGGTTTGAAATGATCTGCTTAGTTAAGAGAATGACTCAGAGTGTGATTGGAGTGAGAACAATGTGCTCCTCAGAAAGTTATGAGGTAAATTTTTTCTCATTATCTTATTAACCTATCTAAATAGAAACTGAATATTTTTTTTACTAACTTCTTAATTTTATTATAAAGTTTTTATTTATTTTTAAGTAATACAAATTTTAAAAAAATAACTTTAATTCTATATATTTATTTTAATGAGATAAGTTTAAGAAACTGAATTTTCGACTCTTAAAACTAAATTATTTTATTCATTTAAATTTACACGTTCTTCAGTTAATTAATATTATTCAATTATTAAATTATTTATTTATTCCATGTACATATTTTAGTACATTATGCAATTTGACACAAAAAAAGTAACACATCACGCGTATATTATTTTAATAAAATTCATAGAAAACCGATAAGAAAATTGTTTATTCAGCTATAAACTTTTTCATAAAAATTTTATCCTACAATTTTCTTTAGAAAATTATTAAATTAATTTTATAAATCTATAATCAATTTATTAATTATATTTTATTTATTATTTATAATAATTAAAGCGCAAATAATAAATTAAAGCCACAAAAAAATCTACATCAAAGCAAATAAATAAAATTATATTTTTTTTTCTTTACATTTCTTTCTTACATTTCATTAAATTTAAATCTTTTTAAAAACAGGAAGCAATAAGGACTTTAAATCAATTACAAAGTAATGCTGCGTATATTCGTTCTGTGAGAAAACATAATTCTTCAAATAATACAACTCTCGAGGATACGAGAAAATATCTTCTGAGGTAAAATAGAAGAATTTTTTTTTTTTTTATAATTTATACATTAAATTATTTATTTTTGTTTTTAATTTTTTCAGCCCTCGGATTATACGACTTTTTCTGATTTTTTTTTGACTTATTTAAATAAAATGCGACTTTTTAGACTTTTTTTAAAAATATTTTTTTACAAAATTTTTTAAACAAAATACATCTTTTTTAGTATATAATTCATATCTACTTTCTTTCAATTATTTAACAAATTTTTAACTAAAAATTTTTCTCTAAATTAATTAATTTTAATAAATTTTAATGAAATTCTTCACAAATTTAATTATCTTAAATTATTTTTCAATTACAATTTTATGAAATTCAACAATTATTTAAAATGTAAATCTAAAACTGTTGTAAATTTAATAATTTCAACTGTAACTCTTCCGGAATATAATTGTTTTTAATTATTTTTATAATATTCTTCGCATTTTAACAAAAATTCTTCACTAAATTAATTATTTTTAATAATTTTAATGAAATTCTTTACAAATTAATTATCTTAAACTATTTGTCGAATTAATGAATTTGTAAAATTCAATAATTGTTTGAAATTAAAAAAAATATATATCAGCAACGGAAATTTACAGAAATTTCAATTAAAAATTACTTGAAATTCAATTATTTTCAAATATTTCAATTTAACAGCTTTTAAAATTTAATTATTTCGAATATTTTCCATCTAAAACTTTCGGTAATTTAATAATTTTTATTATAACTCTTCCGAAATATAAATATTTTTTAAATGATTTTTATATTTTTTTAAAAATTCAATGTATTTCTAAAATTCTTCCAAAATTCAATTATTTTCGATAATTTTAAATGAAATTTATCAAATTAAAGAATTTATGAAATTAAATAATTAAATTGTTATAATTTTAAAAAAATCATCAAATATCATTATCAAAAATTTTCAATTCAAAATCACCTCTAAAATTTAATTATTACTAAAATTTTTTGAAATTTAATAATTTCAACTGTAACTCTCCTGAAATTCAATAATTTTTAATGATTTTTATAATATTCTTCTAAAATTTAATTATCTGAAAGTATTTTTCAATTGAAAACTTTTGAAATTCAATCTTTGTCTGTAATTTCTAATGAATTCTTCATCAACAGAAATTACTAAAAATTTCTCTTATTATAATTATTGTTTGAAATTTAAGAAAATCTTTTGAAATTCAATTATTTTCAAAAATTTCAATTCAAAAGCTTCTAAAATTCTGAATCTAAAATTTTTTGAATTTTCATAATTTCAATTAAAATTTTTTCAAAAATCTCCTGAAATTAAATTATTTTTTTTTAATGATTTTTATAATATTCTTCGATAATTTAACTGTCTGAAACTATTTTTCACATAAAAAGTTTTTAAATTACTGTATTTCTGTCTGGATTTCTAATAAAGTTTTTAGTAACTGAAATCATCAAAAAAAAAAATTTTTAATTAAAAATCACTTGAAGTTCAATGATTTCAAAAATTTTAATTGTAAATCTTTGAAAATTCAATTACTTTTAAAAAATGTTATCTAAAATTATTTGATAAATTATTTTTAGTTCTGTAAAACTTAATCATTTATCTGAAAATTAACAAAATCTTTTGAAATTCAATTATTTCTAAAAATTTCAACTTTAACTCTTCCAAAATTTAATTATTTTATTATTTATTTAAAATATTCATTTAAAAAAAATTATTATTTAAAAATCACTTGAAGTTCAAATAATTTCAAAAATCTGAATGATAAATCTTTGAAAATTCAGTTACTTTTAAAAATGTTATCTACAATTAATTGATAAATTATTTTCAATAATTTTAATATTTATTTAGAAATTCAATTATTTAAAAACATTTTACAATAAAAACTCTTAAATTTGAATTGTTGTTAGAATTTTATTTTTTTGAAAATTTGTTCTACTTAATTAAAATTTTGAAAATTTTCCTTACTTCGATTCTGAAATAGAATTAAATTTTCTTGATAATATTTTTATTCTCATTACATAATTAATAAAATGGATTTAATATCTAATAACTTTAATTATTTAAAGTAATATAATTATTAATTAATTGAATTTAATTAAAATAAAAAAATCAATTTTTTTGCCCGTTAAAGTCGATCCGAGGCCTGTTTTTTAAACATTTAATTTTTTTTATATCGTTAATTTTTATTGTGTTTTGAACACTTTTATAAAATATTAATAATTATTAAAATATCTTAAATATTTTTTACAGATCAGGTTTATCGTTAGATGAATTAGATTCCCTGCGAATAATTCACGTCGCCGGAACTAAAGGAAAAGGCTCAACATGTGCATTTACAGAATCAATTCTTCGTCATCATGGTTTTTTAACGGGATTCTATAGTTCACCGCATTTAATTTCAGTTCGCGAACGATTTCGAATTAATGGCCAACCAATAAATGAATCAACATTTACACGTTATTTTTGGAAATGTTACGATTCTCTAAATAAAATGAAAGATCACGATAAAGATATGCCGCAATATTTTAAATTTTTAACAATAATGATGTTTCATGTATTTTTAGAGGCAAAAATAGACGTTGCAATAATTGAAGTTGGAATTGGTGGCGAATATGATTGTACAAATATAATAAAAAATCCAATTTGCACTGGAATAACAAGTCTTGGTCTCGATCATACATCTCTATTAGGTGAAACAATCGAGGAAATTGCATTTCAAAAATCGGGAATATTTAAATTAAATATACCTGCATTTACAGTGCCACAATCAATTATTGCAATGAATATTTTAGAAAAACGTGCAATTGAAAAGAATTGTTCATTAAATATTGTGCCAAGTGTGGAAAATTATAAATGGCCCAATGGAATGCCAAAATGGAAAATATCACAAAATATACATAATTATAATCTTTCAATGGCAATAAAATTATCAACAACTTGGATGAAATCAATGGAAAGAGAAAAAATTAATCATAATTTATTTGGAAAATCTTTATATTTGAAAAAATTAAAGGAAAAAAGATTTTCACTTAATAAAACTGAATTGGCATTATCAAATTGTAAATGGCCAGGAAGAACACAAATTTTACATGGTAAAAATATGAATTTTTATATTGATGGCGCACACACAATGGAAAGTATGGAATATTGTGTTTCATGGTTTCAAAAATCAACAAAGGGAATAAATGGAAAGAAATTTTTAATTTTTAACGCAACTGGTGATCGTGATCCAGAAAAATTGTTAAATCTCTTAAAACCATTGAATTTTGATAAATGTTTATTCACGCCAAATATCGCTGGTATAATAAATATTGTTGATCAAGAAAATTTTACAATAGGAAATGTTGAACAAAAAAAACGTTGTCAAAAACATCTTGATATTTGGCAAACAAATGGAATTATTGTTGATAATGTAAATGAGGCATTTCAATTGATAGGAAAAATAATTTTCCAACATGAGGGAAATATGAAAAATCAAGAAAAAGCTCAAGTTCTCATTACTGGATCATTACATCTTGTGGGAGCTGCACTTTATATTCTTGATCCAAATTTTGAAATGGTGACGAGCTTTTAAAAATTTCCCATATAGAATTTGTAATATAATTATTTTAAAATCATTATCGAATTAATTTCTTATTTAAAATTTAGTTTATAAGAATATTTTTTTTTATACAGAGTATAAATATTAATGAAAAATTAGTATTTTTAGAAATTTAAGAAACTTATTTTTATAAACAAAAACGAATATTTTTAAAAAAAGTTTCGAGAATTTGTTATAATTGAAGATAGTTTAAATTTGACATCAAATATAGAGAATCTAATCTAATTTTTATATTTTAAAATTTAACAAAATTAGTTTTATTTATTGATTATTGAATAAAATTTATTTTTAAAGTTAATGGTAGTTTATTTTATTTCAAAAGTATTTAATTTTTTTTTTGTCAATATTAATTTATTCTAGTTAATTTTTGTATTTTGGATTATTTGAAATAAATATTTTAATTTTTCCAATTTTGTTGTGGTTTTTTTTGGTTTTACTTATTTTTCCTTTAGTTTAAATTTTTAAAAAATTTGTTTACATATTTTATTTACAGTAAAAAAAAACAACGCCTCTAAGCGTGTGTGAATGCGCAGACAATTTACTTTCCATTCAGAGTAATCAGGTTTTCAATTTATCTGTCAGTGAGAAAAATGACGCAGTCTCGAGTTATTGCATTGGAACGCATAACTTCCGAAACAACATTTGAGGTAATTTTATTAATTGATTAATGATAAGTTTATTTATAATTTTATTTAAATTCATTCAATTGTAAACATTACTCATACAATTGATATTTTCAATTTTTTTTATTTACGTTTTTTTTATCTTTGTTTTATGCAATACGATATCCTTGATAGTAATTAAAAAAAAATACAAGACGAAAATGTTTATAATTTAAATATTTGAAATGGGAAAAAATATTTTATAAATTTTTGCTTCTCTTTCTTTTAAATTCTATTTTTAGTTCAAGGATCGATTGTTTTATGTAAAATCAATTTTTGTTTGTAAATTATAAAAAAAATATTTTTTAAAATATCTTGCTTATTATGAATGTTTTTAGTAGTTAATGAACGTAACTTCTACTAGAGATTAGTGTTTTTTTTTTATATTTATTAATTAGACTTCTTTTAACATTTTTTACTTACTTTTTTACTAGTTTTTATATTTTTTTATTTTCAAAAATTATTAATTTCCGAATTCATTCGATTTTTTTGTTAGTAGTATTTTTATTACATTGGTTATTTATTTTATATTTTATTATCAATTTTATTATAAAAATTTTTTTTAATTTTATTAATAAATTTTTATCTACAGAATGCAATCGCTGTTTTAAATACTTTCCAAACGAGAAAAGGTGATAAGAAAGATGATCTTAATGGAGATATTACGAGCTACAGTATTAATAAATTAGAGGATACTAAGAAATATTTGTTACGGTAAAATTAATTATTTCAAAAAACTGAAAGGGACTTTTTTTTAATCGTAATTAATTAATTAATCGTAATTTAAAAATCTAACATTTGATTCAAATACTTATTAAATTAATTAATTAATAAGGAAAAATAAGGAAAAAAAATTCTAATTACCCAAAATTTAACAATTTTTAAAATTTAGAATTGATGAAATTTAAACTATCTTCAAAATTAATATTGCAATTGAAAATTTCCAGATTTAAATTTATAGGAAAATGCCAATCAAATTTAAAGTAAATTAAAAAAAAAAATTCAATTTTACCGTTTACAGATCGGGATTAACAATGGACCAAGTGAGGAGCCTCCGCGTAATTCACATAGCCGGTACCAAAGGTAAAGGTTCAACTTGCGCATTCACCGAATCAATTCTCCGTAATCATGGCTATTCCACAGGTTTTTATAGTTCACCACATTTAATCTCAGTTTGTGAACGATTTCGTTTAAATGGTGAGCCAATAAGTGAATCAAAATTTTCACATCATTTTTGGAAATTATATAAAATTCTCTATTCAACAAGACAATACGATAATGATATGCCGCAATATTTTAAATTTCTCACTATTATGATGTTTCATATTTTTCTTGATTATAACATTGATGTTGCAATAGTTGAAGTTGGAATTGGTGGCGAGAATGATTGTACAAATATTATTGAAAATCCAATATGCACAGGTATCACGAGTCTTGCTCTTGATCATATAAAAATTCTTGGCAATAGTATTGATAAAATTGCATTTCATAAATCGGGAATATTTAAAATAAATGCGCCAGCATTTACTGTACCGCAGACAATTGAGGCAATGATTGTTTTAGAGAAACGTGCATTGGAAAAAAATTGTACACTCAAAATTGTTCCAAATTTAGAAAATTATTCATGGTCAACAATTCCCACATTGGGAATTCCAGCTGAGATACAAAAATATAATGCATCATTGGCAATTCAACTTTCTCTTGCATTCATTAATTCTGTAGAGAAAATAAATCAACAAATTAATTACAATAAAATTACAAATAATAATGATTTATCATTAAAAATATTTTCATTGGATAAAACAAAATTGGCAATTTCCTCATGTAAATGGCCGGGAAGAACGCAAATTTTAAGAGGTGAAAAAATTGATTTTTTCGTTGATGGCGCACATACATTGGAAAGTATTAATTGTTGCGCTGCCTGGTTTAAAGATTGTATTAAAAATGAATCGGGCAAAAGATATTTAATTTTTAATACAACTGGACATAGAGATTCGGAAATATTAATGAGACCATTGAAGAAATTAGAATTTTCAAAAGCATTTTTCTCCCCTAATATTTCGGGAATAAATAATATTAGTGAACAAGATTGTCGACATGTACACGATGAAATTATTAAAAAATGTCAAAATAATTGCAATTTTTGGGGTGATGGTGGAATTTACGTTGATAATGTTAATCAGGCAATTAATGAAATTTTTAATTTAGAAAATTTTCAACAAAATAAAATAAAACCCAAAATTCTTGTCACTGGTTCACTTCATTTAGTTGGAGCTGTACTTTCAATTATTGATTATAATCTCACAATGATTAGTAAATTTTAAAAATAAAAAAAAAAAAAATGTATTATAAAAAAGAAAAATGTTTGAGATTTGCGTGTGACTAAAAAATATGTTTAAATATAATATATTTTTGTAAATAGAAAAAAAAAATGGAAAAAATAATAAAGTTTGTCTTACAGTGAAATTCATTTGCGATTATCGTTTCTTTTGATCTGATGATGGTGGAGGAAAACAGTAATATGGCGTTATTTTAATTGCAGGAATGCAAGAATAAATTTTAGCTACTCCAGATGAGCATGATGCTTGATCTAAATTTGTCACCAAATTGCTTAAAAGAAGAAAAAAACAATCACAATTTTTCAATTAGTATACATTCTTACAACCAAAAAAATAAAAAAATCTCTTAAATTTGTTTCTTACTAATATTGTCCTTTAATTGGTTTCGGAAATAAACCTATCATTCCTGTTTTTTGTTTAATTTTTATATTTTTTTCTTTTTTCTCAGTTTTTTGGTTTTTTCCCATTTTTTTTTTTGTAATTTAAAAACAATTTTGAATTAGTTTCATTTTTGGTAAAACTTGGATAAATTTTTCATTTTGAAAGAACTAAATTTTTGTTTCCAATATTTGATCTTCATTTTTTTTTATCGTCTTTTATCTTTAACCTCGAAAATTTTTTTATTCGTCATTGTACCTAATATCGCAATTATCAAATTAAAAAAATTAGTTTCAAATAAATAAAATTTAATTTAAATAGAATTAAAAATGAAATAAAAAATTAAGATAAAATGCACAATGAGCATAAATACTGAATGTACAAATTATATAATAGTTTTTTTTTTTTATTTTGCTACAACAGTGATAGTAATGGTAACAGAAATTATTTTTTCTTTTTTTTTTTTACTGAATACACTGTAAACGATATTAAAAGCATTTTTAAATGAAATAGAAATGACAGTTTTTTTTGTATTTGAAAAAATACGAATACTCACACGCTTCTTCATTTTTTTTTACATTCCTATACATATTTACATTTTTTTTTTGGTTTGTTGTAAAAAAATTACAATCCAGTCATTTATTTTTAAAAAATGTACAAAGAGGCGAGGCTCAAAATAATTTTGAGTGATAATCAATTTCCGACTCAGCCTCTGTATCGGATAAACTTAAAGATGTTCCCGTTCTTCTTCGTAAACGATTGTCATCGGGACTCTGCATTAAAAATAAAATTTAAAATTTATAAAAACTATAATGATCATTTTAATTATTATTAAATAGATAAATTTTCTCACAAGAAAAATAATTTCTAGAAAAATTAAATTTCAAATATTAAACAAATTAATTAACAGAAAATAATAATTTTAAGTGAACAAAATTTATAGAGAGAATTAAAAAATAATATAATTAGTGAAAATTGAGAAAAAAGGTTAATAAAAATTAAAAGACTGTAAATTTAAATATAAAAATAAAATATTTTAGAATTTAGAATTTAAAAACAAAAATTACCTGATCCAAAATTCCAACCGATGGTTCGGATGCATATCCAACTTCATGTGCATCTTCCTCTAAATCGGCTTCATATTCCTCAATTTCGGAATCAGAATCTAAATCTGCATTCATGTAACGACTTCCTCGTGACACTTTGCAAACCATTTGTGCGAGATCAGTAAAAGTATAGGAAGATGTTTGCTGACATGCAGCTTGAGTCTTTGCTCTTAAAATTTTTGCATTTTCTCTATCGGCATTAAATCGTGGCAATATTCCAACTTTTTGCTGTCCTTCAAAATAAGTTTTACCTAAAACCAGAAACAATATTTTTTTAAAAATAAAATCAAATTAAATTAAAATTAATAATTTCTTATTTATAACGAATTTAATTTCAAAGTAAAGAAGAAAAGAATTTTTTTTAATTAGAAAGAAAAATAAATGAAATTACCATGATGATATCCAACATCTTTGATTTCATCGAAATTAGCGAATTGCAATGTTTTAAATTTATCAATAGGCGGTCTTATATATTCGCAATAATCAGAATTTTTAACTTCTTCTAATTGTCGAACACAACTGACATAAGCCAATCGCGATTGAATATCAGGTAAATTAGGAACTTTCACAGGCTCTGCAAATGGATTCCATCTTTTCCAAAGTAACCACCATCCTGACAATGAATCACCATAATTCGTTAAATCAGTATCATCTTGCGATCCAACGTCAATAGCCAAAATATGATGTGCTCCCTGTCTTAACATCTCGTCAGCTTAAACAAAAATTAAATCAGAAGTGTGAAATAATACCTATTTTTTATTATTAATTAATAAGTTTTAAAATAAAAATTGTTTAATAAAAACTACAATTTTATATATTTAAAACTAAATGATTTTTTGTCTAGTGCTAAATAAAATATGAAAAAAAAGATAAATTTAATTTGAACATGCTCTTAATTAAAGCACAAATAATGGGAAATTTTCTTATTTTTTTTGGGGGGGGGGGGAAAAAAGCAGGTTTTTTAATTTAATTTTTATATATGGTCAAAACAATTAATGCAAAAAAGCTTATACCTGGGACATTATTAACATAACACCCGTCGACTAAAAGATGCCCATCGACTGGATCGCAAACAGGTGGAAAGACTCCGGCAAATGTCATACTCGCCCGACTATACTTCCAGAGAATACCTGGTTCAGAGAAACTGAACCGTTCAAAAAAAATGGTTTTTCTTTTTTTTTTCAAAAATTCAAGCATCTTTTTAATCAACGGGAGCGAGCCTTAATAATAATTTATAAAATAGATACTTGCAATTTTCTTTTCCAACAATTTTTTTTTTTTTTTTCGTTATTTTGTATTCTTTTTATAATATTGAAAATTCTCAAGTTTATTTAAATCCAAAAAATCTAATTGCAAAAAGCTTGCAAATATTTTGTAATTAATAAATTCAAAAGGATACATCTAGCAATAGTACTAACAAATTATATTTAAAAAAAAATCACATAAATAATTTCCCTTATTATTGATTATATTTAATACATTTATATATAGTAAAAAGAAAACAATTTCAAAAACTAACGATCACAACAAAAAATTGTGCAAACTTGTACCATCCCACAATAGGTATAATAAAAAAAAAATTTTTAAATAAAATATTCTTTTTCAAAAATTAATAACGGTAATGTGATTCGTACAATCGTGCGATTTTTGCATAGCCATTTACAAATATACATATATATAGAAAATAAATCCCTCAATCATGCAAACACCGCAATCTCAATTTTTTTTTTAGAAAATTTTAATAATTCATTAAATTTTTCTTAATTTTTGACTATTAACAGCAAAAAAATATATATAAAAAGCGAGTTGATTGGGGAATTTGCATAAATCGGAATTAAAAATATATATAGTTGCCTAATTAAATAAAATATTGAAAAAAAAGAATACTTTTGTTTGTACAATTCAAATTACCTGGAAGGTTATTGACGTACCCGCCGTCGAGGAGCAGGTGACCATCGGCGGGATCGCACATGGGAGGCATATAACCAGACAATGACATCGAACCACGAATATATCGCCACATCGATCCTAAACACGATACACGTTTATTATCAATTTCTTAATTATCTTAATTACAAAATTCATTTTTCATTTAAATATTTAGCATCTTTCTGCACTCGTTTTTTGAGAGAAAATAAAAACTTATTTTTAATAATAAAAATACTATATAAATATATAAAAATATTGTTTTCTTTATTTTCAAATGAAAATAATGGAAAAATTAGCTAAATATAATATCTAATCCCTTTGGTAAACTTTAACAAATTAAAGAAAAAATAATTAACAAAAATAAAATTATGCGATTTAAATGAGCATTTTTTATGCGATATTAATGAAAAATCAATTTTAACGAGAAAAAAATTAAAAACAAAAGGTAAAAAAATTTCTATTCAAAAAAAAGAAATTGAAAAATTCTCAACAAAGAGTGGAGAAAGATAATTAAAAGTGACGAGAATTAATTATTATTATTATTATATACTAAATTCTATCGCGAAATAAAAATCACGAAAGTCTTTTTTTGCCGCCTTCCCACTTTGTGAGACTGTATTTCAAAACGGAGAGTACGTCAACAACGAGTTTCCAAAACTCAGCTCACTCCCGCTAATTTGAAGCATTAATTCTAATGTCAGTAAAAAAAAAAAAAATGCATCTACAGTGCAAATGCTAATTTTCATTTGAAAACAAAGAAGAAAAAATAAACCAAAAAAAAAAGAAAAAAAACTTTGGAAATCACACTCTTTAAAAAATAATTTACGCACAAAAATTCTCTTTTTTTTCACAAAACTCTGCGTAAAAAATTTTTTTTTCAAAACTTATATAAAAATAAAAAAAAAAAAATGAAATGCGTGTACAGACCGTGTCTATGAATTCTCATGCATGATGCTGTTATATCAGTCGTTAATGTAAAATAAGGAAGCCAAAGATCCTCGATGTATGTATCGCCAAACGTTGCTTGTATTGTTTTATTGAAATCCTTCCCCGAGAACATTGACGTCATTGGATAAGTCAAGTCTAAAATTTGTCGCCACCATTGTGTCATTTTCTAGAAAAAGAGATTTATAATTAAATTTTTTTTTTTTTTCAATTTAAATAAGTTTCAATAAAATAATAATCCTGATTCTAAAGTAATAATAAATAAATTTTTGTTATTAAAATTTTAATTAATATACCGTGGACCATTCTCGAGCCTTTTGCGTGACAGTGACGATATTTTTCTCCATACACCAAAGTGCACCCATAAAAGCACCAATACTAACACCACCGACCATATCAATTGGAATTCCAGCTTCTAAAATTGCTTTCAACATTCCAATATGTGCCGCTCCTCTAGCTCCACCGCCTCCAAGTACCAAACCAACTGAAGTTCCCGTTAACCATCGCGCAAGTCTACTAAAATCACTATGAACATTTGGCTCCGACAACAAAACTTTTGAGTACAATTCATTCTGTTTAAAAAAAAAATAAGAAAATCATTATTATTTTTAAGAAAAATATTAATTCTAATTTTAAAATCTGGTCGAGATTTAATTTTTTAAGTAAAAAAAAAGAAAATTTCATACATACAATTCGATATTGCGATTTTCTTGTAAACATTCGTTTTGGACATTGTATGTGATGATGACAAGAGACCCACGATCTCATATTGAGCCATTGTACAGTATTTGTTGGCCGTTGACCACTTTGTTCTTTGTGCAATAGTACCAATTCTTTTTGTGTTCTCATTGCTAATCGTTCAACTTCACGTTCCGTTCTTCCCAATGTTGGTGGCCGATCACCCAATCCAACTATTAAAATACAATCCGCCTGTCGTACGCATCTTTGTGTCCATAAAGTGTACGTTGTATCGCATTGATACAAAGAAATACGATGTTGATCCTCTTGTTGCGCCAGCCACGATGTTAATCGATATTCATTCATTGGCTCCATTATTGCACTTCCCAAAGTCTGCAATCAAAAAATTAAAAAAGAAAAAATTATTTCTAATATATAATTACTAATTAGTATAAAATTTGTTTGAATTCTTTAAAATTATATTATAATTGTAAATAAAAATTCGTGTACCTTTCGAATAACATCGGAAGTGAGTCTTAGACAAGGTCCAATTGCGCAAAGAGAATGATAAAGTTCATATGTAAACGCAGTTAATGGAACATCATCGGAGACTGGAACAATGGCAACTGTGGAAAAATTAATTTGCGATGGTCTTGCGTCCACTGTCGCTCTTCTACTAAAAGAACAAACATTGACAATTAATTAATTATTAATTAATAATAATACTAAATTTTAAATTAAAAAAAAAAAACAAAAATTATCAATAATTTATAAAATACATACTGAGTTCCACTTGCTCCGGTTTTTGGTGCCTGTTTCCATGTTCCAAGAATTCGATGACCCAATAAATTAATTAATCTCGTGACAACAATTGGATAACGCAATTTAATAACATTAAAAAGTCCTTCGGGCAATTTTGCAAGTTCCGAATCACGTACAGCCATTACTGTTGTCGATCTTGGCGTTTGCGTTACCATTTCCACAATTCCAACTAAATCACCTTTACCATATTCAGCGACACATTCTTTTTTTCCATTCTCATAAGTTATCACCGAACGTAATCGTCCACTCAATACAATAAAAGTCGAATCTGATTCATCGCCTTGACGATAAACGGCTCTTCCACTTTCCAGGAATAACCAATCAAGTGCAAAATCAACCTGAAAAAATTGAAAACAATTTCAATTCAAATTCTTTGGAAAAATTAAATTAATTAAAAATAAATTGTAATTTTTTTTAAAAAAATACAATTTGAAAACTTACTTGTCTAACGAAAGGACTCAGTCTTTGAACAACTGTATTTGCAACATGCAAAACAACAGTAGGTCTTTCTCTCATAATAGCAAAAAATGTTTGTTTACTCAATAATGCAATGCGGCTCAAATGTTTTGCTCTTATTGTGTAAAATGAGGGTTCTCCTGTTAAAACCGCAAGACCGCCAACAATTTCCCCTTGATGTGCACTAAACATATGGACTTCCTCTCCCGAATCAGCACCTTCCATTACACGTTGACTGATAACAAGAGATCCCGTCACGACATAAACTAAAGCAACGTCCTATAAAAAAAAAATCATTAAACAAATGATCCATTAAATTTAACTGAGTTTTTAAAATTAGTAAACAATTTAATTTGTTCCATTTTACCTTGTGAGATTCCTCCTTCATGAGATAAGTGCCAGCTGGAACATCGCGAATTTGCACTTTACCATCGCGAAGCACTGAATCATCCTCCAAACCAAGTTCCCGAACAAAAGCTTCAATTGCAATTTGAATAACTTGCGCTTCATCGAGATGAAAAAGTCCTTCATTTCTCGATGCTTTTCTACTAGCTCCACTTGGTAATTGTTGATCTGAAGAGGATGTTGTTTGTTGCGATTGAACATTAGACGATCCTTTCGACCAATGTGTATCACATTCATGAACCGTTTCCGATGTATGACTAAACTGTGGACTCGTAAACGAATTCTTCAAATCCAAATTATTTCTCGATCTTGAAGAGAAAATAAATTTTTTTTATTTATAAAAAAAAAAAATATTTTTTTAAATAAAACAAAATTCCTCACCTTCTACTAACAATAATAGGAATAGGTTGTGAACTGGAAATACTGTTCAATTCTTTTTGCAATGTCTCAATATTATCCGCTAATTCCGAACCAAATGAAGCGATATTTGGATCCACAGTTGGATTAGCAAAATTTTCCCTCGTTCTTGATCTAACCGGCGATCCAGAAAAAGGACTATGCTTCTTTTTATAACTTCCTTGATTAACTAATTCAGCTGATAAGCCGAGATACTGATGCAATGCAGTGAATGTCACCCGTTGCAATCGGACCATAATAACTTGTATCACACGAATAAACGCATCCGGATGATCCTGAAAAACCTGAAAAAAAGAAAAATTCTAAATAGTGTTCTTCATTAATAATTTCGAAAAAAAAACCAGCAAAAAGAAAGTTACCTCCTGAAAGGCGCTCATTGGCAATTTAACAACAATTGAATTCTCAACAGCACGTGCCGAAACTGTTTTATAAGTACTCGTATGTCCAGTGAGCACATCCGTAAAACTAAGTAAACTCGTCACTGATTCTCCAGTTTTAACTAATTTTAATGAAATTTGCGATCCATCGGATCCAGTAATATAAACATTGACTAAACCTTGCTGAACAATGAACACATTTTCATCGGGATCACCAATTTTAAAAAGTGATGTCCCAGCAGGGAGATTCATAATTTCCGTATGTTTGCACAATTTAAGAAAAACCGGCTTCTCAAAATGTCCAAATACACGAATACTTTGAAGAATATATAATGCATCAGGCGGAACTCTTTCACCTGGACCTAAATCTTCTTCAAGATATTCAGCAGGTGGTTCCAGTACCTAGCAGCAAAATAAAAAACAAAATTATTATTATTATTATTATATAATAATAAAATGCTTGGTCTGTCCTTCTGTCCTAACTAATTCAAAAATTCAATTCACGAAGCTGAAGTACACAACGTTTATTAACGAAATTTTTGTTTAAAGTTATATATTGACCCTAAATTACATATATTTATTGTAGGCGGAATATTTAAAGCATTTTTCAGATAAATATTCCGCCTATGTTAAATATGAGCCGCCGGATATTATTAATTAATAAATTTTTTCAAATTACTATATATATATCTTGTAGGAAATTTTCTGGCGCATATTTATTCTTATCATAAATTTTTTTTGTATTTGTAACAATTTTTGAGAAAAAATGCAAAAAACTGAATTTTCCTAAAAATCACTTTTAATTAAAATTTTTACTTTAATTCGTTCTAAAATGAAAAGTTCTAAATATTTTTCCATATAATTTACAGGAGTTATAGTTTAAACCATTCTTTAAATGATTCTTTCTTAATAATAATTCTTCATTTTTTAATTAGAAAAAAAGTTATTAATTCCACTGAATAAAATGTTTCATTTAATACTTTCTACATTCTTTTAATTTAATAACAATAAAGATTACTGTAAAGTTTTATTTTAATACACTTTTTTTTTTATTATCAATGAACATTTTATTCAAAGGAAGTTTATCCTCAGAGAAAATTCCCTAGATAAACGAAGCATTTTGAATAATATTAAGCCTTGCAGCACTGAGCAACAAAAAAATTAATAATTTTTTTTCAAAATTAAAAATGAATTATTATTAAGGATCATTCAAAGGATAGTTTAAACTATAAATCTTGTAAATTGTATGTAAAAAAGTATTAAGAACTTTACATTTTATAACGAATTAAAATGAAAATTTTAATTAAAAGTGATTTTTAGGAAAATTTAGTTTTTTTTTTTTGCATTTTTCTCAAAAACTGTTACAAATACAAAAAAATTTAATGAAAAGAAAAAATATGCGCCAGGAAATTTCGAACAAGATAGTAATTTTTTTTAAAAATGTTTTTGTTGATAAACGTTGCGTACTTCAGCTTCGTTTTAATTCTATTAAAATATTAATTATATAAACATATAAATTTTATTATTATCATTTAATATGTAAAATTATTACATTCTAAATGATAATAATGATAATAATTTAAATTATTATTGATAATATTAATTTTAATTTCTTTATAACAAACAATTACATATTCCATTTTGGCGGGCGTTTAACTTTGCTAGTTATTATTTAAAATAAAAAATTCTCTTCAACTGAAAAATTTATTTACCTTCAATTGCTGTGGAACTGTTTCTTTTTTTAATTGCAATAATCTTCTAGCAAATCTCATAACAGCTCTTCTTTTTTTCCCCTGTCCACCAGCCTGTCCGCTTATAGATTTTACTTTTCTTAACATTTTTCTCCCATAAAATAATACTTTGTCTCGTTTTCGAAAACGTGGCCTGCCACTTCCAACACCGACAAATTCTTTTACTTCGGGAAGAAATTCTTTGTTCTTCCATTTTTTTACAACAAACATTCCAATTAGAACAATTATTAATATAAAAACAATTAAATATACTATATGGGAATATGAAAATTGATATTCTCCTATTAGATGACCAATCCATTGTGACAATGTACAAGTTATAAAATAATCACAAATATTCTTAATCACATCTAACATCTGAAAAAAAACACGAATTATTTTTAAAAAATTAGAAAAAATTTTATGCGAAAATAAAAAAATTTAATAATAAAAAAATAATTAATAATAAAAAATTTAATAATTTAATATCTATTTTTATTGTAAGAGAATTTGAAATGAATAATAAATCAATACGATTGAATTTCAAGAGCTCGTATATGCAAATGAGAAAAAATGAAGAATTTTCGAGTAACATGATTGAATAATCTAGAAAACAAATTCTAATTCCCTTTTCAAAATTCATTAAACGTCATTAATATTACACAAAATTGATAATTATTCATATTTTCTCGAATAATACATATAATATTGGAAATAAATGTATAATTGTCAAAACATACATTAGAAAAAGTGGAAAAAAAAATTACAAAAAAAATATCTTTATTAAATAACAGTTATAAATAATGATAAACAAACAAAATTTATATATATATATACTATTAAAAATTTATAACAAAAGTACATAACAAGGTCATAATAATTTCAAAACTTTTCCACTTGTTTGAAAATTAATAAAAATGATGAAATTCAATGACATTGTTCCATATAAACAACATATAGTATAAAAAATCAAAATTTCATTTTTAGACAATTATAATTAAAAAAAAAAGAATATAAAAACTTATTTAAAAAAATATATAAACACTTACAAACTCCATGATGGGCGTTCATTTCTTCTTTAGAAGATTCTTTTTCTAGTTTACAGTCTTACAAGAAGGTTCAGGATTAAACAAGAAATGTGAGATAATTGCTATTTGGCATATGAACCACGATAATCTGACACTTCTTATCTACGCGTTATTAAAATAAGAAAAAAAACAGACGACCTTTGATACATCATCGCAGTCGCCATTTTTCAACAAGTCCCTTGAAGTTGGCACCGTATAAAAAAAAAATATCGATATACTTTCTTTAAATTTTCCCCATCATCAAATTAATTAATTTCCTGTTAATAACAAAAAAATAAATATAATAAAATCAAAAATAAAAAATTATTCTAATTGATATAATTACAATAAATGTAAATAAACTTTAATTTTAAAAGAGTTACTTTTAAATTTACGCGGGAATAAACGGACATTTTTTGAAAATGCGCCATCTACTTCTGTCAGAAAAATCATAGAACTAATTTAAAATTAGTTTAATTTAAAAATTTGTATAAAAAAATAAAGGAAAAGGAGACATTAAATCAAAAGATATTATTATTATTCGTAATATTATATTTACAACATTCATTCCATCGATTTTTTTTTTAAACAAAATGTGAAACTGTTTAACAAAACAGTCAAGGATTTGAAATTATCCACTTTTTGTACGTGAAATGTGTATATGAAAGGTAAATAATCTTTTTTTTTTTTTTTTTTTTTTTTTTTAATTCTGCTAATATTACACGATACTCTATTAATTCTCTTAATCGGACTATTTGATATCTATCGATGAAATGTTTTACACAAGAAATATTAAAAGAAGTGACTAATATTTCAATGTTCACTATATAGAGATATTAAAAATTTCATCGCTTTAAGAGTGTTCGATCCACTTTTGAAATTCAACCTCAAAGAGAATAAATTACATAATAATAATAATAATAATAATAATAATATATATATATAAATAACAAAAAAGTACTTTTTACAAAAGAACATCAATTCAATTTTTTTAAAAAACAAAAAATTTCTTCAGTCAAAAGTATTTAATTTGAGGTTAAAACAATGGTTCAAACATACTTAATTGCTCAATATTTGAAAATGTGCGCGCAAAATAAAAAGTCTTCTCCCACAAAGGCTCTCCGAAATTTTCTTATTATAATAAAAATTTATTAATATAATCTGTCTATTAAACGAAAAACAAACAAAAAAAAATAAAATAATTGAGCTACCTAAAAGTTGTAATTTTTCCTTTTTAAAATTAAATTAAAATTTATCTAAAATTCTAAAAATAGTAGTGATTTAAAAAACGAATTTGAAAAGAAAAATAGAGATATATAGAGAGAGAGAGAGAGAGAGCACTAATGCAAAAATATACATATTCAAAAACTCAAGATATAAAACATTTTTAAATTGTTTTATAATCTAGTGTTACATTTTTTTTTAAAAAAAGCTATCTATCAAAGAGCCTTGGAAGATCTTTTTTCCTGATACAGGAAATTATAAATTGAATCTGAGGAGCCAAGTGCAAATAGAACGAGTCACATTTTTTTTTTTTTTTTATTCATTTTCTCATATAATTTAAAACGATTCATTTCATTAAATAAATAACAATCTAATTATCTAGATTAAAGAAAAGATATTTAAAATTTATTTAGCGACCACGGTAAATTTTTTTTTTTTTGTTTACCTTTTACAAAATAATTAACATAAACTTCATTTTAACAACACTTATGTTATATTTACAATTAGTCGCTAATTTAATATTTTGTTTAATTTTAGTTTTTAATATTATTTCTTTTTTATATTTAATTTCATCAAAAATTTTTTTATTTTTCCAATTGTTTACATTCCATTTTTTTTACTATTAATTTATTCTAATTGAATAAAGTAATAGTAAAAAAATGGAATGTAAACTATATTTCATTTTATTTTATTCAATTTTTTTTCTTTTTTTTTTTTTAATTAATTAATGTTGAAAAGCTCTTTTTGCACAGGACATCCCTTTCAAATCGAAAAGGCTCAACATTGAGAGATAGAATTACAACTCTCGGTAAAACTCTCTCAGCCTTATAAATGCGCTTTAGACGAAAATATTTTTTTCACCTCGATTTTGCGCCTGATATTCATTAAAAAAAAAAAAAAAAAAAAAAAAAACACATTTCTACCCTTAAATGCATTTATTGAATTTGTAAACTCACATTTTTCAAAATAAAATAATTATTGCAAAGTTTATATTGCAAAATAAACAAAAATTAATCACAAAAAAAAAAAATTGTCTATCGACTTAGAAAATTAATTTATTTTTTTTTTTTCTAAAAGAAACGTATCTTTTTTCTTGAGTAGAGAAAATAATTTTTCTTTCCTTTTTTTTTTATCGACCACATTTTGGCACTTTTTTTTGCATTTAAGGGTGTTTCTCTAATTCGACATTGATTTTTAAACTTATTTTTTCCCCCTATTTTTTTTTATAACTATAAGTATATCTACAAACCTGATTCTATAGGGATTGGGATTACTTATCTAAGCTGACACGAGACCATTGATGATGATGATGATTGACGATGATGATGATAATGATAATAATAATAATAATAATAATAATAATAATAATAGTAATAGATAAAAGTTCGCTCAATTATTAAATCCTAGGCGTTTGCACAAATCACATGGTTACCATTATTCAAATGCTGGAAGTTGTTCTGTACATAAATTGTTTCCTGAGACGCCCATGGCTCGGTTCTCATCACGAACACGCTTGTTGCATTTCTGCTTTGGCTGCTTTGATTGCTAAAAAAAAATTAATTAAAATTAAAAAATTTAATTTAATTACATTTTTTAAAAATATAAATTAAATTAATTTCATTTTTTAAAAATATAAATTAAGTTAATTTCATTTAATAACAGAAATATCATTATTTCGATTTATATTCCAAAAAAAGTCGAAAAAGTCAATGTTATTAGATATTAAATTCATTTTATTAATTCTGTAATAAAAATAATTTTATAACCGAATATTATTAAGAAAATTTATTTCGAATATTTCAGAATCGAAATACAGTGGGACCTCGATTATTCGAAATAACCAAAGTAGGGTTCGGATAATCGAAAATTCGGATAATATAAATTTCAATTGTTTTTATGTAATTAAAGTAAAACACTGGAACAGCTGAACTGTATTTATATATTTTAAATAAATAAATAAATATAAAAACATGAAATTTTAAAAATGAAAAAAAAAAATAAAAAATAAATTTTAAGATTCGGAAAGGCAAAAAAAAAGTTCGGATAAAATATTTTTCGATTCGAATAACAGAGGGTTCGGTTAACAGGGGTTCTAATAATCGAGGTTCCACTGGAATTGTAAGATAAATTTTCAAAATTTTATTTAAGTAGGACAAATTTCTAAAAAAAATTCTTAAAGTTCCATTGTTTGAAATTAAAAAATTTTGATAATGTTATTTGCTGATTTTTTTTTTTTAATTTTAAACAATTATTGAATTTCATAAATTCTTTAATTTGACAAATTTCATTAAAATTATTAAAAATAATTGAATTTTTGAAAGAGTTAAAATTGAAATTTTTAGAAATAATTGAATTTTCAAAAAGTATTATAAAAATTCATTTAAAAAAAAAAATAATTATATTTCGGAAGAATTACATATTCAATTGCCGAAAGTTTTAGTTGAAAAATTTTATAAGATGTTAAATTAAAATATTTGAAAAGAATTGAAATCCAAGTGATTTTGAATTAAAATTTTTGATAATTTTCGTTGCTAATTTTTTTAAAATTTCGAACAATTATTGAATTTCATAAATTCTTTAATTTGACAAATTTCATTAAAATTATTAAAAATAATTGAATTTTTGAAAGAGTTAAAATTGAAATTTTTAGAAATAATTGAATTTTCAAAAAGTATTATAAAAATTCATTTAAAAAAAAAAATAATTATATTTCGGAAGAATTACATATTCAATTTCCGAAAGTTTTAGTTGAAAATTTTTATAAGATTTGAAATTAAAATATTTGAAAAAAATTGAAATCCAAGTGACTTTGAATTAAAATTTTTGATAATTTTCGTTGCTAATTTTTTTAAAATTTCGAACAATTATTGAATTTCATAAATTCTTTAATTCAACAAATAGTTGAAGATATTTGAATTTGTGAAGAATTTAATTAAAATTATTCAAAATAATTAATTAAGTGAAGAATTTTAGTTAAAAAATTTGTTTAATAATTGAAATAAAGAAGATTTGCATTGTATAGATACTAAAAAAACGTATTTTGTTTAAAAATTTTGTTAAAAAATGAAAAAAAATCGTATTTCCGGAAAAAAGTCGGTAAAAATCATTATAATCCAAGGCCTGAAAAACTGTCGAATAGAACTTGAAAATTATTTTCTCCAATTAATCAACAACAATAAATACCTTCTCGTTCTCGTCTTTTAAGCTTTTTTCGACGTCTCTCAATTGTTGCCAATTCCACTTTTACTGCATTATAAGTTTTTCGTAATTCACTAAGTTTTTGTTGAAGAACAGCTATTCTTTGACTTCCATCCCATTCAGGATCTGTCGAAAAAAAAATTAATTAATTAAAAATTCAAAAAAAAAAAAAATTATCTACTAATATAATAAATAAACTACTCACCTAATTCTACAAAGAAATTGTACTTGGTAGGCCTGGGCGACCTCGATGAATAACTATTAAGCTCCGTCAATGTGACATTATTATGATTCGTTGAAATAGAATTAGCACTGCCACATTGATTTGATTCTTCGCTGGTATCATCGCTATCACTTCCAGCACCATGTCTATGTCTACCCGATTGTCTCGGTGATTTTTTACCTGAATTATTACCCATCTCCGTTTGACTTCGATTTCGTTTTCTCTTCTTTGTTGTTGTTGTTGTTGTTGTTGTCGTCGTCGTTGTTGTCGATTCATCCATTTTCTTCATTATTTGCTTTAAAGGTCTTTCCGGTTGTGTTGTTGTATTACCACTTTCCACATTCATCAACGATCCATCATCTTCACTTAATCCGGCAATTTTTCCATTATCATTCTCCATTTCCGAACTATCACGATGATGATGATGATGTTGCTTTAAATTATTATCATCCGACATTGGACTTGAACCCGCGGTTCCTTCTTCTCTTGGCGATTCGCACATATTCGAGATACTTGAATCAGGTGTCGTTGGTGGTGTATTATCCATTACCGGTGCAGCTTCATTGCTCTCTTGTCTTTGAATTGGAATTGGTATTGGTACCTGTTGTTGAACTGGAATCATTGAAGAGGAATTATTCTGACTCTGTGGTAATGAAATGTTAATATTGCTTAATGTTGATATTCCGCAAGTTGTTGTTGGACTCGAAGTTGGAGCGCTCGCGAATGGCATTTCCATTAGGACAATCGAATTGTCGGGAATTTTTGCTTTTGGAATTGTGTGCGATGTACCCGGAACTTCATGATCAATGATATCAATTCCAGGTGTTGGTGAACCTGGAATTTCCTCCTCGCACAATAATGAATTTAAATTTTCGCCTTCTTCATCGGCGCGTATAAATTTACACTGTAGTCCCGCTTGTTGTAAACGTAATACTTGATTTTGAATCGGTATTTTTGAATCATCAATTTCAATATTCTTTTGCGGTATTTTTTCATAATTTCTCTCTTGATTTAATTTTAATCCTACTCTTTCTTGATTTAATTTCAAACTCGATCCTCGTTCATGATTCTTCATCATTAATGGTCTCTCTGGATTTTTTACCACCGATACCTGATTTTTGACAATTATATCTTTTGATTCATTTTTGATTTCTTGATTTTTTGCATCATTTTTCAATTCTTGTGTTTCGTTTCTAATTTTTGGGACTAATTGATTTTTAATAAGGGGTCTTTCAGGATTTTTTACAATTGATCGTTCGGGATTTTTTACTCTCTCTTGATTTTTCACAATATTACGATCTTGATTTTTTAATTGAGTTTTAACAATTTTTGGTTCTTGATTTTTTACAAGTGGATTTTTAATTTGATTTTTAACAATTGGACGATCTGATGATGATTTTACATTTGTTGTGGTGATAATTTTCTCTTGATTTTTAATAATTGTTGTTGTTCTTTCTTGTTGTGGATTTTTTACAATTGCTCCACGTTCTTTAATTCCTCGTGGCTGTTCGGTATTAATTTTTATTTCGAATTTTGGCTCCTCATTAAATTCAACATCATTGTCGATTATTAAACGTCTTTCTGAATCGCTACTATCTGTTGAATCTGTAAATTCAATATTTAATCCTTTTTGTTCCTCATCATGGAATAATTTTTCTTTTTTCCATTTTTCTTCTATTTTTTCTGGATTTTTTTGCTCGACAAATTTTCTTAAATCCAATTTTTGTGCTGCTGCATTTTCACTCTCAATTCTTCTCTCAATTTTATCTATAGCCTCCTTTACTTTTGAGACGGGTTTTTCCTCAGGAATTTCAGTTTCTGTTTTGATGTCATCGATTTTTTTCTCATCAATTTTTTTCTCTTCTTTTCGTCTAAGTTCGGATTTGCGATTTAAAATTTCTTTTTCTTTAAAGTGTAACGTTTTTTTGGAAGATTCTTGATCATCATCTTTTTTGAGTTCCTTGACTTTATTTCTAAAAGCGGCGGCTGCGGATAATTTTTCTTCAATTGACGATGTAACAGGTAATCGTGCGCTTATTGGTATGGGAACAATTGGTAAATTTGATGGTAAAGATGGAAAATCGAGGGGTTTTGTTTCCAGCGGTGGTTTTACTTCAATTTTCGGTGATGAGGGTTTTATAATTGTTTTCAATTCCGGAGTAATTGGTTTTGATTCAACAACAATTGGTAATTGTATTGGTGGTGGTGGTGTTTTTGGTTTTTCTTCCTTAATTACCATTTCATTATTGGGAGGGAAAATTTCCTGTTGATACGAGAAGAGATTTTCTTCGGTTTCAGTTTCGGAGATAATTAAACGATCCTCGGGATCATCAATAGCAGAATCATCATCACCTGGTAAATCAGTGAAGAGAAGATCGAGATTTTTAGTCTCTTCGACAATTGATGTTTTTGTTGTTGTTGTTGTTGATGATGATGATGATTGATTATAGGAACTTTCGCAAAGTTTATCGAAAGCTTCCTCACATTTCCATGATGATTGAAGAATTGTTCGACTTTCCTCAGGTGGTTCATCCAATTTTTTCATAAATGGTTTTCTAATTTTCTTTCGATTCTCAATTTCGTGATCAGTTTTTATCTCTTTTGGTGACGATGAAGTTTTTTGCTTTTTCTTTGGACTACTTTTAATACTTTCATCAAAAACACGTCGCTTTTTATCCTTATCACCGGATTTATTTCTAACTTCAAATTCAAATGGTTCTGGTTCTTTAAATTCATAAATATCTTCTGTATTCTCTATTGATTTTGTCTCAATTTCTTGTTTAATTGCCTCTTTTTTATCATCTTCGATTTTTTTTAATTTCTCCATTTTTTCCTCTTCGATTTTTTTCAATTTTTCCTCCTCAATTCTCTTTTGTTTTTCTTCTTCAATTTTCTTTATTTTTTCCAATTTCTCCTCTTCGATTCTTTTTAATTTTTCCTCTTCAATTTTTTTCATTTTCTCTTCCTCTTGTTTCTTTATTTTCTCTTTTTCCTCCTCGATTTTTTTTAATTTCTCCTGTTTTTCATCCTCGAGTTTCTTAAGTTTGTCAATTTTTTCGATTTTTTCTACTTTCTCGACTTTATCTATTTTTTCAACTTTTTCTGGACTTGGAATGTTTGGTTTTTCTTGTTCTAGAGGCGGTTTAACATCCTCGATTTCAGGTTCAACGCGCATTATTTCCATTTTAACGGCCTTATCAAAACCTTTTAATTCAGAGCGTATTTGATTTAAATCAAAATCACGACCCTTTGGTTGTTCTTCATCGCTCTCGGGTTCGGATTTTACTTCGGTGACTTTATTTAAATTTCTCCTCAGTCTTCGTCCACGTCGTGGCTCTTCAATTGGTAATAATTCCTTTTCTTCCTCACCTTCACTGGCATCCATTTTTATTTTTGTTTCAGCTCTTCGTTTTGCTTCACGTCGATTGCCTTCTTCTTTTTCCTTAGAAGGCGGTCTTAATTGTTCCGGTTCTGTTGCATCCGATTCATAAGAATCTGTATCATCACTCTCGGATGCAGCAGTAACGTCAGTATGACCGGAAGTTCTTCTTGTTCGTCGTCTTAGTTCAATACCACTTTCGGCATTGCGTGTAGCTCGACTCAATCTTCCAGTAGCTGGTGTTGTCGCTGGACTCTTGACACTTGGACCAAAAATTGGAGTTGTCGATCTCTCTTTATTCTCGTCTTTTTTCATTGATGTTCCAGGTGATGGTGCAACACTTTGGGCACGTCGTCGAGTTAATGAAACTGGCGTTACAGCTGTTTTTGTTGATTTCCCATTGCCTGAAGATGGTCCAGGTGTTGCTGGACGTGGAAAGGCTTTTTTCCTCTTCACACGACCTTGTGCTTTAAAATAATCATCGAAACCTGTGTTCCAACCGCTGTAATCGACAAGATAATCTGACTCGGTATCGTCTTTGTCAATTGAGTCAGTGGTTTTTGAATCCTTTAACATTGTTGGTGTACCTGGTGTCGTTGGTGCAACACTTTGTGCACGTCTTCGTGTTTGTGAAACTGGTGTAACGGCTGTTTTTATTGATTTATTATTACCATTATTACCCGATGCGCTCGGTGTTGGTGGACGTGATACTGTTTTTGTTCGTTTTACTCTTCCTTGACTTTGAGTGAAATTTTGAGCTATTCGAGAACTTTTGATCCATTCGTCATATCTTGTATTCCAACCTGTATAATGAACAAGATAAAGTGGTTCTGTGTCATCGTTCTCAAGGTCAATGACTTTTGCCTCGTATGTGACTTTTGACTCGTGATTTGGTCCATAGTAGACTTTTAATTTATCGCCCAATACAACGGGACCTTTATAAGAAGGTGCATAATCGACGGATTGTTCTTCGGTGCTACGTGTTTTTTCGCCATCCGTATCTTTACGTTTACGTCCTCGTTTTTTCATTTCCTCCTCGGTAAAACGTCTTTGCTTTGTAAATGATTGTTTCTTTTCTGTTTCACGAGAAGGAGTTCTCGATTCTCGTGTTTCAATAATTGTTTTCCCTTTTGTTATTTCATCCTTCGCTTTTGTTCTCGTTTTTGTTGTGTCTTCCTCTTTTTTCTCTGGTTTCTCTTCCTTTTTCTCTTGTTTCTTTTCTACTTTCTTCTTTTCGAGAATTTTCTTTTTCTCCTCCTTTGGTGGCTTTTTTTCCTCCTTTGCTTTACCTCTATTTAAAGAATTGTATCGTGATGCTTTTTTAGAATTTTCACTACTTGACGATTCCTCTTCTTCAACATTAACATCACTTTCCTGTCCACTCAAACTTTCTGATTCTTCCTTCTCTTGAATTACTTTCTGATTGTCTTTTTCCTTTTCTTTCTCCTTTTCCTTCTCTTTTTCTTTCTCTTTCTCTTTTTCCTTTTCCTTCTTTTTCACCGGTTTCGGCGGTGGTTCCTCTTCTTTTATTTCTTTCTTCACTTCACGTTTCTCTTTCTTTTCTTCTTCAACTTTCTTCTCATCTTCTTCTTTTTCAGTCTTAACTTGAGGTGGAATTGGTGTATTTCTATCTTTATCGCGTATCAAACTACGACCAGGACGTTGTTTTCTCACACTACCACGCGGATGATTAACCATTGTGCAACCTAACTTCCTATAAAAATCTTCAAATGAATGCAAAAATTTTTTATAAGCTTGCTTAACAAGATTGTGCGTCGCAGGATTGCTTTGCATTGAAAAACTTAAACGACGTGTTATTATTTTCCATTGATTTTGATTAGTTACACGATTATAGCCACCTAATTTATAAACAGCGCGAAATAAACGATAAAGATCAATATCCTCATCACCAATCATTGGACAATTATTAATTGGTGTACCACGATCGTCCATAAATTTATAAAGTTGTGCAACAAAATGATCTTTTTCTTCGCGTGGCTCATCATCGGAACTATCTGAATCAATATCACCATCAGAATCGCTATTACCACTTGAAACAGAATTTCCAAATAATGAATCTTTATCCCAATGTGGTGGTAATTCATTTTTTTCAAGAAATAAAAGTGCTTTTTCAACAGCAACTTTTAATCCACTATTTTCAACTTTATTACCTAAATCTTTTGTAAATTCCGTTGCTTCTTTTTTCGGTACTGTATAATATCTTGCATCTTTAAATGAGCGTACAAGATAATCATCTTTAACGCGAATTCTCACTGTATCTTGTGCTGTTGGCGCTACAACCAGTCCTGGAAACCAATTATCCTTTTTTTTCTTATCACCAAGTTCCACGCAAACAACACGACCAATTTCTGGCTCAATTTCCAAACCCTCTTTTTCTTCACCACCTGTTCCTGAATCATGTGAACCTCGCGGTGGACTTCCTTCGTCTTCGCTGCTGTCATCTCTGGCAAAAAAAAATATATATTAATTTTCTTTTCTTAAAGTAAAATAAATATGATACTAACTGTGTTTGTCGGGAACGACGTCCTCGTCTACCGCCAATAACGGGATTTCCAAAGTGCTCAGGATGCGTCAAGGGAAGTTGATCCAATGTTTCACTTTCAGCAAAATGACGTCCACTTTTCAAACAAAGAGCAGTTCTTCTTAATGTTGTTATATCGCCATCATCAAAAACAACTGTGTACTGGCTACAATCTTGAATTTTTGTTATTGTAGCTTCAATAAAATCTTTTCGATCATTATGTCGTGCCTCCACGGATGCGCCAACTCGTAATGTTCCCTTTATTTGTTCATCCGTTACTGTTGCAGTACCCAATCCTTGCTTGTAGGTTACACGACATTTTACCGATCTCACAACTTTTCTGATCTTTGCTTCACAAAATGCACCCTTGTACTTGGCACTAACCTCCGTTCCCACGGATAGATAAGGTGGATCGTCTCCCTATTTTCAAAAAAAAAAAAATTATTATCACAGAATAATTTTTCATTACAAAAAAGTAAAATTAAACGTAAAAAAAATGACAAAAATTTTATTTTACTTATATTTATACAATTATGTGATAAAAATATTATTTTCTTTATATATATTTAAATTTTCGTACTCATTTACAAAAACTACTTCTCATTATTTAGAATAATTAATAAAAATTCCTATTTATTAAATTACTGAAAATTGTAATAAATTTTTTAAACTACTTCTCATTATTGAGAATAATTAATAAAAATAAATAATTAATAAAAATTCCTATTTATTAAATTACTGAAAAATTGTAATAAATTTTTACATAAAAAACAATTTTCCAAAACGAGAAATTTAATTCCTACTTTCCTGAAAAAAAAGTAACACTCGAATAAACATGTAATAACTAAAATTTTAGAAAGTTCCCACACGAAGAAAACGAAAGTAATTAACTTTAAATAATATCGATTTTAAAATACACCTTAAAAATTACTAAAAATAATTATCAAATCAATAATATTAAAAAAAACGTTACAAAAAAAAGTTAATTTCATTATTATCATCATTTACTGAAATTTCACATCAATGATTGCACAATGACAAGTTCGAACGTGTATAGAGAGCATTATATGCACTTGACAAAAATTGAGAAAGTGACAGGGGAAATAAAAATAATGCAACGTCTCGTGTGTCTCCTTTTCCAGAAGTGCCAGTAGCATCAAAAAAAATTCTTAAAATAAAATCCCAAAAAAAAATCCCTCTTTAATATAGACATCTGGTGATATCAAAAACATGAAAATCCTTAAATTTTTACATTCTTCAAAAAACTAACCTATTTCACAACTCAAAAGAGACAAAATAATCAACTATTAATTAAACCACCTTTTTTTGGATGATAAATCACACTTTCAATGAAATTATAATCCCTCGACCTTCATTTATTCAAAAATGTTTAATTTCAAAAAAAAAAAAATTCCTTATCAATTAATTGACAAGGTGAAAAATTATTCTAGTTGATAAACAATAGATTATGAGACCTTTTGTTTTCTTCAAAGCTCTTTCTCTCTCTTTTTTTTTTCTTTGGACACAAAGTTTTTGTTGCTGTTTACTCACCAACATCCTTCTAACGATTTACAAGCTCCATAATACAAGATGTCTTAAATCCAAGCCTCAAACGAGACATCAACCTTCAATGATAATTTACTTTCCGCAAAATTAATTTTACACAATTCTCATAGAGGAATTCACTTAAAAATCAGGAACTATTTTTCCTCTTTTTTTTTCTCGATAAACTTGTACACTTCGCAGCAACACGAATGCGTAAACTCTCGACTCCGTCGCCCGTCTGGTTCCCACCACGTCCCGATACGGCGGAATTTACATTCGAGAAAGAGACAGTGATGTAACCGTCATGAACCGTTAATTTTAATTTATTTAATTTTTCACCATTGGAAAATTAACTTTTTCACTATTATAACGGCGTCAAGTTAATATTAAACCAATAACAATTGTTTTCCATGATATTCGACGTTTACCGCTCAAAAATCTATCTGACATTTTTTTTTCTTTTTAACACAAATAAATTGTCTAGTCACGTCACTGCTTTTGACAGTAACAAACTGGAATTCTGGTTGGTCGATTTTCCTACAACTTGAATTTTTTTCAAAATTACTAAAAATGTAATAATTATTAGAAACTAAATTAATATTGAAAAATTAAGAAAAATTAATCCCCCACAGTGGTAATTAGATGATAAATTAATTTACAAGAAAAAAGAAAAATAATTTTGAAAAGTAAGTCACGACGCAAATGATCAGGAGCGTATCAAGCGTGTGTAGGCGCAATCGTCAGAATATACGCAGAAAATTTTCTTTTATTTTCCCACATGAAATCCACGAAAGTGGAACAGAGGACAAGAATTTTTACAAGAAATTAGTGACATTTGGCATTGTTTTTAAGATTGTAAAGTGTTAAATTAGTTTAAATTTATCACAAATTAAAATATATAATCAATTTGTGATGATACGAAATGAATTAAAAGTGATTAGATAAATTTTGTACAAAAAACAAAAAAGGTTATAATTCGATACACATTGATGTGATTTTAAATTATAAGTTGATAATTTTTAATTCGTTTTATTGTAATTAAAAAAAGGTGAAAACTTAAAATTTGAAAATTACCAATTTTTGATAAATTGTTAATTGATTCGTCCCTGATAACCGCGAGTCGCCGTCTGCTTCAAAATGGCGGCGACGGATGGTGTGCCGGTAGAAGTCAAGGAGAGTGAGACTTGTGCAACAGAGAACAACGCGGTAAGACATTTGCAAAAAAAAGCCTAAATCAAATTTCAAGAATTCTACCTGAAAAAATGCGATCTGTGAGTTTGTTTAGTGAAAAATTAAATTGTCCGTTACATTTTTAAGTGACGTAGTTTCCAATATCTAAAAGTGTGTGACCTCAATGGGGAAAATGGACCTTTGCTTTGGAGATTTTCAAGCTCTTTGTCTAGTAAATCATTTCCTATCCATTCTTTTATTTTATCCACGTAAATTAAGTTTTTGTGTTCTATTGTGGTTTTTTTTCTATAATAGCTATTAAGTTTGTTCGTTAAATTACAATAAATGGGCATTAATAAATATAGATTATAGAGATTCTTAATATATAAAAAAAAAAAAGATGTGAGACGCCGATCTTTTGGCGGGCACGTGGTCCATCTTTTCTGAAAATTTTTCTCCTTTTTCAAGTAGCGTCCTTTTGATTATAAATTAAGTGCAATTACTGCTTTAGATATATTTTTTTTTCTTTTTCAAGTGAAAATTTTTTTCTTAATTCTATAAAAGAAAAATTTCAATTATAATTTTAACAATGGTTATGATAAATTTTCAGTTAATACAGTCTATGCAAAAAGTTTGCGTATTTGTAAATTAAAATGGATTTAATTTCTTTAGATGTAAAGACTAATTTATTATAAAATATTTTCAAGTTTCGATTTTTTTTTTTTGACATAACCCCAAAAGTAAATTTTTTTTCGCTAAATCGTTATTGAAATTTTTTTTTACCTCCTAGATTTTGTTTTAATATTAAAAAGTGAATTTTACTTAAAAAGAGATATGTAAAAAGAAAAAACTAATTTAAACTTACATTTCGCTGAAATTTAACTTTAATTATTCAAATTTTTCGTAAAGACTAATTTATTGGTAAAGTATTTTCAAATTTTGTTTTTCTGACATAACCCCAAAAGTAAATTTTTTTTCGCAAATTTGTTATTGAAATTTTTTTTACCTCCTAGATTTTGTTTTAATATATTAAAAAGTAAATTTTACTTAAAAAGGGATATTTAAAATGAAAAAACTAATTTAAACTTAAATTTTGTTAAAATTTAACTAAGATTTATTAGTAAATAATTATTCAAATGTAAAGACTAATTTATTAAATATTTTTAAGTTTCGTTTTTTTTTTTTGACATAACTCCCAAAAGTAAATTTTTTTTCGCAAAATTGTTATTGGAATTTTTTTTTACCCCCTAGATTTAGTTTTTTATATTAAAAAGTGAATTTTACTTAAAAAGAGCATTTTAAAAAGAAAAAACTAAAACTTAAATTTCGCTGACATTTAACTTTAATTATCAAATAATAAAATTTGCAAATTTGAATAATTTACCTAACTTTGCAGTGATCACACTTTAGAAATTTTAAAAATTAATTTTTTGAGAAAGGGAATTATTTTCCCCTGGCATTATAATCGTTTTTTTTTTTTTAATCAAATTAATTTCTTTGTTAAATATTTATTTTACTTTCTTTTTTTTTTTGCAGGAACAAAAAATGGAGAATATGGAAGTTGCCGAGTCAATAATCCTGCCAAATAAAGAGACTGCATTGCAAAATGCAAACAATAAGGATTCAGTTTCCGTTGATGATATGACATCGCGGGATTATTATTTTGATTCCTATGCTCATTATGGAATTCATGAGGAAATGTTAAAGGACGAAGTGCGTACAGTGACTTATAGAAATTCAATGTATCACAATAAACATCTATTTAAGGGGAAAATTGTCCTTGACATTGGCTGTGGAACAGGAATTCTTTCAATGTTTGCAGCAAAAGCAGGTGCAGCGCGTGTCATTGGAATTGAATGCTCAAATATTGTTGAGTATGCGCAAAAAATTGTCGAAGCCAATAATCTTTCAAAAACAATTTCCATATTAAAAGGTAAAGTTGAAGAGGTCATTTTACCCGATGGTATTGAAAAAGTTGACATCATTATCTCCGAATGGATGGGTTATTGTCTTTTTTATGAATCAATGCTTGACACTGTTTTATTTGCACGTGATAAATGGCTACAAAAAGATGGAATGCTCTTTCCCGATAAAGCAACACTTTATATTTGTGGTATTGAAGATCGACAATATAAAGATGAAAAAATCAATTGGTGGGATGATGTTTATGGTTTTGATATGAGTAGCATAAGAAAAGTTGCAATTAGTGAACCACTCGTTGATATTGTTGATCCAAAACAAGTTGTAACGAATGCATGTCTTATTAAAGAAGTTGATCTTTATACAGTGACAAAAGCTGATCTTGAATTTGCATCACCATTTAATCTTCAAGTACGTCGTAATGATTATGTTCAAGCACTTGTGACATATTTCACTATTGAATTCACCAAGTGCCATAAAAGAACTGGTTTTAGTACCGCACCCGAATTACCCTATACACATTGGAAGCAAACGGTATTTTATTTCGACGAATATATGACAGTGAAAAAAGGCGAGGAAATTTATGGTACATTCTCAATGAAACCAAATGCAAGAAATAATCGTGATCTTGACTTTAATGTGGAAATTGATTTTAAAGGAGAATTGTGTACGGTCAATGAAACTAATAATTATCGTATGCGCTGATATCGTATTGATATGATTGATTCCACGTCGTCAGTCACCTAAAAACTTTCTTCGAGTCAAAAAAAAAAAAAAAAAAAAAAAAAAAACAAGCGGCCAATTACAAACAGCAACGACAACAAAAACTGTATAAAAAAATGAACTATAATCGACGAAAATATTATCAAAAATGCGGTATTCGAAGAGCAATACCGTTAGTTTCATGTATAAATAACGATTATATCCGAAAAATATGTATTTTGCGAAACAAAAATACTTGTAAATAATTTCCGTATTAAAAAAAAAATCCTCGGAAATAATTTACAATTATTTTTTCAAGTTAATATGAAGCTTTTCGAAGAACGTGAATATGTATTGAAACGCTTTCAATATCAAGTGTTTTTCTTGAGTTTTCGATTTTTAAGTGTACAACTCAAGTCTCAAAAAAAAAAAAAGTTCTCGCAACTTTTTTCTTCCTAGAGATGATAATAATAATAATGACGACTTTTTGATTTTGAATTGTGGAGGGTAAAATGTCAATTCAGTATTGAGAGCAGAGAGATTGCCTTCCAAACAAAATACGGATGTAAATTAATATCGGAGATTTTTTGTTTGTTTTTGTTTTTAGCGTGTATTGTAAGACAAAAAAAAAAAAAAAAAAAAACCAATTTGTAAAGTGTTTTTCATAAGCACTCGAGTAATTATTGACGAAAAAAAAGTCATTTCTCATTGTATTGTCAAAATTAAATTCCCCCACGAAAATTAACACCATTTTCTCGTCCTTGGTTCACTGATTAATTATAAACGAAATAATAAATTCCAATTTTTTGACGAATATTGTTTTCTGTTTAGTTTACAAAAAAAAAATGCTCTCAACGATTGAAATGTTCCATAGAAAATAATTTTTATTTTATATACACATGTCACATTTAAAATGCTTGACATTTTTTTTTAAACAAAATTATTTTATATGAAAATTCGTTTCATGTAGAAAAAAAAAGAAATCGATCAAAAACTACAGATCGAGAAAGTACAAATTGATGATAGAATAAACTTTTATTCCCCTTACTAGTTCTTTTTTTGAACTTGATGGGGAGAGAAAAAAAAAATAATCCCCTCGAAAAAAAAATCAGATTTGCACTGGTCTCGCAGCAAAAATTTTCGCAAATTGCTGTCCTTTAGACGTTTTAATTAAGCGAATATGACATTTACGCGTAGAAATACTATAAGTTATTACATCGATGGTTTTTTACGTTTCCTACGTGTAGATTATGATAAATATAGAATTTTGATTCCAAAACGAAAAATTTGTCTTTGAAATTTAGTCACTTTTTTTTTAAGACCTTCGCAATTTTATTAATAATTAAAAAAAAATAAAACATTTACAAAATCTTTGTGAATTTTTGGTTCTTAATAAAATTAATTTTATTTTAACATTTATAATTTTCTACTTTAATTAAAAAAAATTTTTTTTAATAAAACAAAATTTCCAAACTTTTACAAATCTAATGGAAATTAAAATGAAAAAATTTTGATTATTAATAAAAATAATATGAATTATGAATTTTTATTAATAATTATAATTTTTATAACAAAATTGAAGTTAATCGAATAAATTCAAAATAAATAGAAATTTAGTTGCACAATAATTGTGCAATTAATTAATAATTATTAATGAGTACAAAAAAAATTAATTTTGCAAAGTAATTATTAATATTAAAAATGAAACATTAATTAAAAATGTTTTCTGTAAATAAGTTAAATAATTCTTTATTTATAATTTATTAACTTCGGTTTTTTTTTTTATCATCACTATGCGGTGTTTATTATTTCCTAAAATTTATTTTTCTCAAGTTTCAGCGAATATCTAAATTACAAATGACTAATTAACAACTTCAATTTTTTTTTCTTATTAAATTTATTTAATTGAAAAATCTTATTTCGTTTCTTCGAAAAAAAAAACGCTAGACAAATAATTGATTCGAAAAGATAAAAATTAAATTGTAAAATATTTAACAAGTTGTTAATCTATCAATTGAATTCAATTATTCTAAACAATTTGGAAAAATAGAATTACGAAAAAAAAATTACCTTTTTAAATAAAAACTTCTGAAAAATATATAAACAACTACGTGGCAAGTCCTTTAAGTGAATTTGCCAATTTTTGCGTCTTATAATCAGTCCTCAATTGAATAAACGAAACCAATACAGATCTATCCAACATTGCCTGCAAAAAAAACAAATTAAAAAATTTTTCTTGTATTTTGTTTCCTAAAAATTAATATAAAATACAACAAACCAATTGATCTCCTGAGCAAACTTGCATCAAATTTTCCGGTTTAACAAGAAGAAGATTACATAGTGCATGTAGCGTATCAAATAATATCACAACAGTACTAATTTTAAGTTCCTTAACGCATTTTCGATATTCATTCATATCGCAAATTGCACACATTGCACCAGCTGAATTAAATTGAAATTGTTGCAAATGCTCATAAATAACACGATGAAATCGTATTCCCAATTCAGTCAAGACATTCTCAAGACTCTTACCATCGAGACTATCGTGAATATGTCTTATCATTCCCGTGACATATTGAACAACATTCAAACATGCCGGTGTATTTAATGTATCAACATCAGTCTCTGGTTTAAAATCTAATTTACGTTGTTCCGTTTGTAAATAAACCTTCACCCATCCAACAATTGCATTTATTGAACGATCCAAGCCCAAATCTAATTTCATTTCAATTTGTTCTAAAATTTTCTTCTTCTTTGTTACACATTCCACATTCTTTGGCGTTGATCTGAAAAATTTTATTTTAATTACACATGAAAAAATAAAATTAAATTAAATAATTTTCTACTCACATAACAAGAGGCACTAAACTATCATTAAATTGTTCCTCCAATAGACGAATAATTGCATTACAACGGCGAACAATTTTAAAGAAATGAATTTCCGGTTGTGTACGACTTTCAGGTATTGGAACACATTGTAATCCTAATTCAAGTGCATAATCCACATGCTCATCAATAAGTGATTTTAATAAAATATCCAATATTTGTGTTGCATTACCAGGCAAATCTTGTGGTTGTGATAAAAGTGAACAACGTTGAAATGCTAATTTACTTCGTTGCAATAAATTAATTGCCAATTCTTCCGAGAGAAATGTTTCACCGCCATAATCTTCAATTTGTGCAATATTTATATTTGTTCTTGTTCCAAGCACAGCTTGTAAATCACGTCTTAATTCTTGAAAACCACCAGTTTGTAAGACTTTTTTTTGATGATTTTTCACCTCATAATATTCCGATAATTGTGCTGCTGCTTTGTCTCTCAGCGATTTTGTTTCCACTCTGTCAAAAAATAAAAAAAAATAATTATAATTTATCAAAAAAAAAAAAAAAAAAAAATTCAATACTTACGTAATATAACCATCGACGTGTTTATGAAAAATATTCCTCGTCAATTTAATTAAATAACCTTCATCGTTACACATGTTAAATTTTTTTAAATCCGCCGATAATTTCGCTGTTTTTAAATATAATTCATAGAGATTTGTTAAATATTTTTCTGAATCAGAACGATCGGCTAATTTTGCAACAATATATTTTTGTAAACGTAAATGATAAATATTTAATACAAATTTTGCCATTACTTGCTCATGATTTGTAAATACTTGTTGCATGAGTTTATAATTTTTTGTACACATTGGTATGACTTCTTGAAATACATCCTTACCAAATGAACTCATTTGACTTTGTTCAATAAATGCATCAACACATTGTGAATAACCTTTAAAATGTGAGAGTATTGATGCAAGTTTTTTCATTCGATTTGCATCGTCACCATTTTGTGCTCTCACAAATTCTTCAATTAAATTTCTTTCAATTTCATGATATTTTGTGCTTATTTTCTTTTTTGCATGCTCAAATTTTTCCGCTGGTAATTCTTGTGCTATTAAATGAAGTTTTAATATCACATCAGCTGCCTCGTCTAACTGAAATAAATTTTTTTAAATAAAATTTTCATTCTTAAATTTGATATAAACTATAATATATTAATAAACATACAGATGATTTATCAGTAAAAATATGTCCAGTTAGAGGACCAGGACTGAGAAATTCAGAGAAATGTTTCATTAATTTTTGAGCCTCAACAGCTCTCGCACGGGGAGTATTAACATTTTCAAGTTGATCGCCTAAATGAAGAACTTTTGTTGCAACAAGATTAATTCTTTCATCTAGCTGATGAAAAAGATCCATTGCATTTTTATTTCTCTCTTGTAAATCCAATGTTTCGAGTGCATGTCTCGATTCTTCTTCTTTTAATGCAATTTCCAATTTTTCACATTTCTTTTGTTGTCTCTCTTGCAAAATTTGCATATCCTTGATAGCTTGCAAAAATGTTTCATGAATTAATAATGGATCAAAAACACTTTTTCCACTTTCGCTAATTGTATCATTAACTGTTCTCCAAGCTAAGCGTTCAACAAATTCCTCAGGATCAAAAGGCTCCTGTAAAAAAATAAATTAAACTTTAATTTTTTTTTTGAAATTTCTATATAAAAAAGTAAGAATTTTATTAAAAGTTCAAAATAAATAAACTTTAATCAAGTTTGATAATTTGTATTTGCCACATACAAAACTAAAAGTTTCTCGAACAATGAAAAATCTAATTACAAATAAAACATTGTTGACAATTATTAGATTAAAACTTAGATAATTGTTTTTAGGTTGGTAAGAAAGAAAATTATCTAAAAAATAACAAAAAATGAATGTAATAATCAATTTTAATAACAATTATATTGTTGTAAATTATAACTAACTTGTTCAAGTTCCTTCATATATTGTTGCATCATTTTGAAGCATTACTTTTTTAAAGACCGGTTTTAAAGGGGGAAAAAAAAAGTTTATTTCAAAAGAACTTTCACATATATCAATTTATTGTACTGAAAGAAAGTATATTTAATCATACAAATTTCAGAAATTGCATAATAATGTCAAATGTCAAAATCGTCAAAACAATAAAAACTGTCAAATGTCAAAATAACAATATATTTTATGGTTATGTTACAGTCTCGAACAACTTAACCAATGATAATACTGGAAAAATTTAATTATATAAATGTCTACCAATAGAATTTGAAAATTAAGAAGAATTGTATGTGACAAATTTCTGATTGGTTCTTACACAACCTTACTATTTTGGCGGAGAATTTAAAATTATATTTTTAATATTTCTGAAAAATACAAAAATAATGAATAAATTATAAAAAATATATAGTCAATTTAAAATTAATTTATACTTCATATATTTGTATTTTTTAGAAATATTAAAAATCCAACTTTTAATTTTCCGCCCAAAAAAAATTGCATTTATCCAAAATAAATAATAAATTTAATAACACAAAAATTGTACTTGCCCGAAATATTAATAACACTCACAGTAAAAAAAAAATAAATAAAACAGCCGCAATTTAAACGATTGCAATGCTGAATAATAAAAATTTACAAAAAAAATACGCGAAAAATTTGCAATAGCAAAAAAATAAAGAAATTTGTAATTAAAATTCAATTAATTAATTATTGATCAAATTAATTAAATATTAATTAAATTAATTAAAGAAATTCAGTTAATTTCCTTTCAAATTCAAAATATTCTCTAAATTCTCAAATAATTAACATTTTATGTACAATTTAAATATTGAAAAAAAGTGCCAAAAAAAATTAATTAAATTAATTAAAATGTTAACTAATTTGAGTAGAGAAAAATATAATTTAATTTTTTGTAAAAGCAATAAAATTTTTATATATGATAAATAAAATATATAATAAATACACATATATTAAAATATATATATATATATATATATATATATATATAGACAAGAAAAAATTGTATTGTTAAAAGAATAAATAATATACTAATATTAATAGATTAAAAAATATAAGAATTAAAAATTAATTAAAATTAAACATTCCTGAAAAAATAAATGATTATTAAAATTAATAAGAAATATTATTGCTCACCACGATGATTCAACTGAAAATAATAATTAATTAAACAAACCATTTACAAAACACTTAGAAAACTTTCACAAAACATTAAAATAAAAGACAACATAGTGACAAAAAAAAAAATTAAAAATTAAAAAGAAAATTTTCACTGGTACTCCAGTTACTTGTTTTTTACTTACATTTTTTTTTACCCGATTTCCCTACCTACAGCTATATTTAAAACGAAAAAAAAAAATTTTCCTACTTTTCACGATTTTCCTGCCTATAGCTATATTTAAAACGAAAAATTTCCTTTACTTCTTTTTCCAAATTCCCTAATATATTTGAAAAGAATCTAATACCGCCCAGGTGCAAAATTACCTACACTAGAGTTAACGTCCCGGGACGCAACCGTCACCTGAGCGATCATTTTCTGAAAAGAAAACATTAAATTAGTTCATAATTCAAAAATTACTTTTTAATTCCACATGCATTAACTTTTAACTTTTGAGAATTAAACAAAAAATTTACTATATATGAAAAATTGCGTTAACAAATTATTTAAAGTTAATAAAATTTTACAAATTACTATTTTTTTAATCGAAAAGAAAATTATTTTGACTCAATAAAAAAAAATTATAAAACATTAGAAATATTGAACATACAGTAAATAAATAACATATATGTACAGGATGATTTTTATGTTCCGGATCCCCTAAAAATTTTATTTTAATTACCCTTTTTTTTTGTTTAAAAAACGAAAAAATGAGATTTAAAAAAAAATTTAGGGGCTCCGGAACATAAAAATTACCCAGTATAAACAATGAAAAAAAAACATTGACAAAAATATCAATTTATGTAGTATTAAGGTAATAATTTACAAAACATGTAATATTTTAGGATATTGGGAGAGTTACAAATTTTAAGGGGCTAAATTTCCGAAAATATCACACGCTTTTTTTTAGATTACTCCAAAATACTAAAAAATAATACATTTTGTCAATGGTGTCACTATGTTGTCAGAATTCCTTCCCTGTTTTTTTTTTTTAATTTTTAATATTTTATTTCGATCAATAATATCTACTTTTTTCAAACGTTTCTAAATAAATTAAACTTTTTAAAAAAAAAAAAAAGTCAAGGAAATTTCAAAATTAAGAATATATAAAAAAAATTAATTTTCCATTTATGAAACTAGTTTAATTGAATTTATGAAAAAAATAGCTTTAAACAGGGAAGGGGTTAAATAAAAAACGACTCATCGATCGGCGAATCATCCCACGTCGGGGCAATAACGTCATTGCCACTCTCGAGCGTTTCTGGACCAGTTCCCGAAGATCCCTCTTTCTTGCACGCACTTCTGCGTGAGGTCGGGAGCTCAAAAAAAAATTTTACAAAAAAAAAAAAAATAAGAAAAAAAGAAAAAAAAATTTTATAAAAAAAAAATGTTGCAGGGGCCACTTTTCTTCTTCCACATCCTTCCTAGTCATCTTCAGATATTTGGAAAATTGGAATGGAGCTGAAATAAAAAAATTATTAAAAATTAAATTAAACAATTATTTTCTCAAAACACTATTAAATGTTGAGTTATTATTTTGTAAGCAAATTAATTTGGAATTAATTAAAAAATAATTAAACCCAATTAAAAATTTTTAAGTCAATTATAATTTTTAAATTTGTATATAAAATTAATTTAATTAAAAAATACTTACCTATATGAGGGGATTTCTGCATAGTGTCAGAGATACGATGACAGCATATCCTTTTTATAAAAGGACTTCCTTCTTCTGGACCTAAAAAAAAATAATAATTCATCATGTTATATTTGTAAAATAAAATATTGAAAATGCTCAATATTATCAATTATTTTCAAATACATTAATATTTATAAATATTACAATAATTTTTTTAACTTCTTTTTATTCGATTTATTGATATTCCAGGAAAAATATTGTAAAAAAATCACCTATAAGAGAAAATTTCTGCGTTGTGTAAAAAATACGATGACAGCATAGCTTCTCTTTAAATTTTTCTTCTACTGGACCAACTGCCTGAAAAAAAAATTTATTCTGTTATATGTGTAAAATAAAATATTTTAAATCATAAATATTATCAATTATAATATTGTTTCAATAAAAAATAATTAAAGGAAAAAAAAATAATGATTCAACTTACATTGAACTGCGACTCAGCAATGCAAGATCTCCTCCAGGAGCAGCTCCGCAACAAACACCCATCCTTCACGTATTGGAATCTATAAATTAGAAAAAGAAAATTTTATTTAAAAAAATGTAAAATAAAATTAATTTAATTATTTCTCAAGTTAATTTTATAGAAATTAAACCTTTTTTTATTCTGTTTTTTTTTATAAATGTGAATTAATTAACAATATTTAAAAATAAATTCAATTTCATTGAAAATTATTTAAATTGTAAACTTTGCAATTAATTAATAATTAAAATTATATTTTCTGTATCAATAGAAGAAAATCCCTGATCTAATAAATATGTAAAAAAAAAAAAAAACAGAAAAGACTCACTTATTCGAAGATTTAATAGAATTTATCGTCATTCTCATCTCATCAATGGATAAAAATTTCATCCAATTCTCCTTCGTGGCTGAATTCTAGATAAATAATAAACAAAAATTTGTCTAAATAAAAATTCAGAAAACTTTTTCTTTGAAAAGAATTTTCAATTATTACATAATATGTAGATAAAAAATTAAGATAAAATATTTACATTTACAAATATAAAATTAATATTAAAAATTTTATAATTTAAAAATTTCTATTAAAATGCAAAATAGAGTTTTTAGAGAAAAATTTTGTAAACTAATAGTTTTTTTAAACAAATATTTACCTCATTTGAGAAGAATTGATAATGCCGAAAGGAAATACAGATTTTTTTTTTCTTCTTTTGAGATGATTTTATTCCTATCTTTCAGCTCTGTAAATAAATAATAAAAAAAGTTAATTTAATAAACGATACGAATTTCAATAAATTAAATTTTACTTTTAAATTTGGTCTCAAAAATACAGCGGACAAATATCTGAATTGATGTATAAAATTTAGTGAAATTGCGGTTGAATTGTAATTTTTAGGTTAAACGTAAGTCTCATTAAATTTGACAAAATATAAAAAATTATGATATTTATCAACAAAAGTTATTTAAAATCTTCAATTTTAAGATCAAACTGAACTCAATTTAAATATATTTATTTATATTACCATATTACAATAATAAGATCTTTCTTATTATTCACAAAATACTGTGTAACTTTCAACCGCGCTTTCGAAAATGTCCACTGTAGTGAGCAGTGATACCAATCAAAGCAAAAAAAATACCAACTACTTACATTACTACCAACATAAATAGAAATTCTTACAAACCACTTTTTTATAATTGTAATAACCTTTTTTTTAATATTTTCAATTTAATTAATTATTTTATTTGTATAAAACAGTACTTAATTATTTTAAAAAATACTTTGCGATTAAAAAAATACAAGATTCAAAAAAAAAAACAAAATGGATCTCCATAAAACTTTCAGTTTTACCAACATGAAAATAATTCCCTTTTAATAAGAATAATTTTTTATTTATTCGTTTTTTTTGTAATTTTTATATTTATTATTCATAAAATAAAAATATATTTATTACGATTTGAATTATACATTACCTCTATTTTTTTTGTTTAACATTTCGATGCTAAATTTTTTAGGTTAGATTCCCGTGTCAAAAAAATATCGAAATTTACTAATTTTTTTTTTGTCTGCCATGAAACTTATAATAATTATCGATAATTTAAACAAGTGAGATCTTAATTACTATAAAATGTAAACAATTAACGTTATGATTCGACTAATATTAAAAGATTAAATTTTCCCAAACGAAAAATGGTTCTTCTCTCTCTCTCTCTCTCGATGCCATTTGCAATGAGCCCCAATGCCAACCCAAGATAACAAAAACTGAACTTTCACACTTCTACCAACATAACAATAAATATTTCGAATTTTGTCCATATTCTGTGTTTTATTTTTAAATTAATAAATAAATCTTTATAAATTTAAGTTAAATTTAATTAAACAAATTACTAAAAGAATTTTATTTTATTAAAAAGTAACTCTCTATGAAATATGTATGTATTTTTTTTTAATTATTTTAAATTAACGCGCTTCATGTTATTTTTTTAAAAACAACATGGCTGTTAATATTAAAACGTCATAGCAAGCTGTCAAAAGTGTTGATTGTTTTTAATTATATTTCTGCTGTTATATTAATTACTGAAAAAGAAGTATTAATTATATATTGGTAAAAGTAAATATTTATTAATTTATTATGGGTTGTGATGGTGGTACTATACCGCGTAGAGATGAATTAGTTCGAGTGAAAAAGAAGCCAGAACAGGTTAGGAAACGAAAAAAAAAGACTTCAAAGAATTTGTTGTATAAATTTTTTATTTTAATTTTTGTTTTTATTTCATTGAACTCTTTTTGTATATTTTTTTTCGCCTTAATTTTTAATTAATTTTAATATAAAATATATTTTTTTTATCTACAGAAAGATAAGGAGGCGGAATTAGCATTTAGATGGAAACATTGTTCAATTAGGCAATCACCATTGCAAACACCAATTGTTTCATGTGGATTAGGACGTCTTTATTCAAAAGAATCAGTTTTGGAAGGACTTCTCGATCGTTCTCTACTTCCCGAGACAGCATCTCATATAAAAAATTTAAAAGATGTTAAAACATTAAATCTTACATCGAATACAGCATCGTCAAGTAAAAAGGTAGATCAAGGCGATGGTTGCGTTGATGGTGTACACAATCCTTATATTTGTCCAATTATTGGCTTGGAAATGAGTGGAAAATTTAAATTTTGCTTTCTTTGGTCCTGCGGTTGTGTAATGAGCGAAAGAGCTCTTAAAGAAATTAAAACAAACGTAATTATCAATAATTTACATTTTTATTATTAAAAAAAAAAAAAAAAGATCTTATAATATAATCAAAAATGTATAATTTTATAGAAAATTATTTATTAATTATAGATTTGTCACAAGTGTCAACAACCATTTACGGAAAATGATGTTGTCATCATGAATGCCGAGGATGATGATCTTAGAAAAATGGAAGAAAAATTATTGCTTCGTAAAGCTGAACGGAAAGCGTCAAAGAAAAAAATTAAAAAAGAACAGGAACAAGAAGAAGAAGAAGAAGTAAAATCAGATGAATCTGAAGCACCAAAGAAGAAAATTAAAAAAGAAGAACAACCAACTTGTTCGAAAATTCCAAATCAAGTGCAAGATTCGGCATATAATAAAACAAAAGAAGATTATAGTGTTGCAAAAGATCCTAAAGCATCCGAAGTGTTTAAAAGTATTTTTACATCACATAAATCGGCGTCTGATCAAACACGAGCACATTGGGTTACATACAATCCATTTTACAATTAAATTTAATTTTGAATAAATTAATAATATTTTTCTTAAATTAGAATTTTCTTCATTAAACAATTATTTAAAAATTATTAAATTAGCCATATTTAATAAAATACATTCAAATTTATTTATATATAATATTACAAATTTCACAGCTAACAATAGATTTAGCAATAATACAATTTATTGTAAAAAAAAATAGTAAAATTCTATATAAATTATTTAAAATTTCTTTCAATGATTAGTAATTAAAAATAATCACTGTAATTTTGTTATCTAAAATGTGAATAAAAAAAAAAGATATTTATGATTAAAGGATACAATCATATTTTATTTAATCGACATAAAATGAATTTTTCTTTTTTATGTGTGAATATTGCATCAAAGATTGAAAAAATTAAAACTATAATTTTTCCTAATTTATTTATATATTAAACAATAATTGAAAAATATTTTCGTAAAAAGAAAGCAAATTCAAAATTAAAAATCGTAAAATAAAAAAAATTTGTTCTTGTGCAGAGTATTAAAAAATAAAAAAAAAAACTTCATTTTGATAATATTAATTTTCTATATCAGTCTATATGTCAAATATATATTATTATTATTATATTATTATAATAAACCTACATCTGAGGCACTTTACGTATAGTGATCACTTGAATAATTCTACGCAATCGTCCAATTGTTCTCTTTCGACGAGATCGTTTAACTCCACAAATACCCCAACGATTGAATGCATAAATTAAAATTCCACAAATAATCATTGTTACGGCAGCATAACTTGGTAATTTGATATTTAACCATTTTTTTGTTTCATCATTATTTGATGATGTTTCTTCAATTATACTCAAGGAATCAATTTGATTTAATGTATCGCTAATAACACCACCACCACGTCTTCTTATCCATGATTTTGAATTTTGTGGCAATGGAACTATTGCCACCACTGATTCCTTTAATGATTTCAATGTTTGTGATTTATGAGAATTTCTGTAATGATAAAATATTTTTTTTTAGATTTATAACAAAATATAGTTGTTTTTTTAAAATAAAAACTGGAAATCATACATTGGAATTGTTTCATTGATTGGATATGGTGTTGCAGGAAGTAAAATTGGACATGGCGTTAGAGGACGAAATCTTTCTTTTCCCATTGTATCATTATTCACAACTTTACTGTGACGACTCAAGTGACTACTTTCAATTCGCTTTGGCAATTCATCTAATTTTGATAAATCGTCATTAATTCCCTTATGACGAGCTTCTTCTTCTTCGAAAATTAATGGTATATGTCCTGTATTTGCGTATTCTAATAAAGCGTCCAGCATCCAGAAGCAAGCTAAAAAAAAGGGAATGTTTTAAATTATTAGAAATCTGAAATAAATAATTTTAAATCATAAAATTATAATAAAGAAATATTAAATTAATTAATTTAAAAAAAACATACGTTTTTGTGAATGAATATCGTCAATACAATTTGAATCACCATAAACAACAATTCTACCAGGAATGGTTGTTGATTTTTCATTATCATCAGTTTCTGTTTCTTTAATTTCACTTTTTTTATTATTTAATTTCTCACTGTTTGTTTGAAATAAGCCTAATACTGGTGTCAATGATGATGTTTTAACATCTGTTTCTAAAAGCAATTCTTCGCCTAAATCATGTAACGAAGCATGCAAAAGAAAACCCTCTTTTGGAAAACTGAAAACAAAAGGAATAAATTATTTTTATTAATTATAATATTATTTAATTAATAACAGTCTTCGAAGTGTAGTTGATTACTAAAAAACCTTTTTTTTAAATTTAAAAGTCTATATTAATTTTTAATTTACTAAACTAAAAGAATTATTAATACAAATATTCAAAAAACAATAAATTAATTTTATTTCGACCTTCTGATTATTCTTTATGATGGTTTAAATAAAAATATTGGAAATAATTGAATTTTCGAAGAATTGAAATTTTTAAAAAAAAATAATTTAATTTTTGAAGAATTATAAAATTAGAATTAAAAAAGTAGTTCTACCGAAAAAAGTATCAAAAGCGTATTATTCCGAGACCTGTAATAATAATAATAATAAAATTGAAATAAATACCGAGCGATGGTTGTTCCAGAAGCATATGTCACTGGCGAATGTTGTCCTAAGACGAATTGACCCTCTCGAACGTTACTACTAAATGCTATACCCCAATTGGAATAAAGTAAATCATTTAAAGCTGGAACATTTGCACCACCAGTATCTGGTATCCACCATTGTCGAGTATTTTCATCATAAAATTTCACTTTCTCCATTACAGTAACATTATACCAATCGGCAAATACAACGACTGACAGGCCCTTTTCTTCCACGTCTTTCTTCAATTTCGTTATCTAATAAAAATATATTAAATTAATTATACAAATTAAATAATAAATTTCAAAAAGGGCTCGTCATTTTCATTATCAATTGTTATTAGTTATTTTATTATTAGAATTGAGCCCTTTTCAAAATTCACGATTCAGTAAAATTATTATTTTTTTTATTCCGAATTATTATTTTTATTATTCCTAATAATTATAATTAATAAAAATGAAACTAATAGCAATAGATGGAAAAAATAATAAACATAAGAAAAATGAGAAATAATTTTTTAAAAAGAATTTTAAACTTTATACCTCTTCGGGAAAGAATTCTTCCTCGCTGTCAACAATAAGTAAGGTACCATAATTTTTTGCATTAAAACAAATAAACGGCGAACCCAATACTTCAAGATAGTAACCACCATTTCGTAAATGTTGATACATTTCTTTAAAATTCGTATGAATATGATCGCCATTCCAATCGAGAGGATCGTTTTTAGCTCTTAAATCATCTCTTGGAAAATAACCAGGTGGATATCGTAAATTGTGATATTGATCCCACAAAATTCTTTTACTAAAAAGAAAAATTAACAACTGAATAATTTAAAACATAAATTAATTTTTAAATTACTTAAAGAATTATTAATACTAATATTTAAAAATAGTAAATTAATTTTTAATTAACATTTTTCTAAACTTACTGTCGAGGTGGAGTTGGTATTATTTTTGCCGTTAGAGATAATTCAACAGTAGATCGTCTTGGTTCTGTTTCACCTGCATTTGATGGCGATTCAATTGTCAGAGAAATATGACCTAAAAATTAATTTCCATATCAAAAATTATTATTTTTTTAATTTTAATTTATTATTAACAACTTAAATTATATAATTTAAATTCTCTCTTCAAATCATGGAAAATTTTTTCAATAAAAAAAAATGATAAATTCAATAATTGTAAATTAATTAATAATTTATTTAAATATTTAATCGAAAAATTGAATTAAAATTACCACGAGCGATTCCACGCCAATCGCTAGCCGATTCTGGTACAGTAATTGAAACGGCAAGCCATCCAGACCAGGGCCAAAGAACATCGCAATGACTCAATGAAACATCAAGTTTTTCTCCATTTCCATCGAGAGTATAGGGATGCCATTTTAAATCCGCCACATAACCAGATACACCCAAACCATTTAAAATTGTTACATTAACAATTGTTGGCATTCCCGTGTGATAAATTGCTTGTGTGCAATAAGGCCACATATACTGACATTCCGTTAGGTCCACGTAACTAGAAAAATAGAAAAAATTAGATATTTCATTTATTAATATTATTTTCATTTTACTGTTATTATTTTGTAATATTTTTATTTTACTATTAATATTTCTAAATACTATTTTTATTTTGCTGTAATATTCAAAATACCTGGGACTTAATGTAACTGTAGGTGTGTAAGAGCGTAAATAAAGAAAAGCACTTAATAAATCTAATCTTCCAGCACCTTGCTCAAACATTCCAACTCCCGGTAATCTGCGAGCGGATTCTAAAAGAGCTTGTTTCATACTTGCCGGTGTTATCTGGATTCAAAAATAAATTAAAAAATTAATTAAAAAAATAATTTAATTGCAGTACGTGATAAAATTGTTTTTATTTCTTAAAATTTTATTTTCAATATTTATTTATTTTTAGAATAAAATCCAGAAATGGTGTTTTAATTAAAAATTTGAAACGAAATAAAATTATTTTAATTTCATTTTTTTGTAATTGTCACCTTTTCGTCTAGTGAGCCATCGGAACAAAGAAAACCACTTGCTAAAAGTGCAACAGCACCAGCAACAACGGGACTAGCGACAGATGTACCAGAAAGTTTTCTACATCCATTTTGCAATGCTGAACCCTGCACTCCTGAGCCGTACATCACTAAATCTGGTTTTACACGACCATAACCAAAGGGCAATTCCCATGTTGTCATTCCACGTGATGAAAAACCGGCAATTTGATCGTCCCAATTAATTCCACCGACTCCAATCACGTCCATTTGATCAGCAGGATTATTCAACGTGCTAGAAAAATAAATTACAACACAATTTTCCATTGTAATTAAATTATTATTTTTTTTTTGACATTTTTCTCCATTGTGTAGTTATTACAAAGTTTAATTAAATTATTTTTATATACTCTTAAATTATTGCAAAGAGGAGAGAGTAAATAAATTATTAATTACGTTATTATTTAATCAAATTATTAAGTTATTTTAAATAAAATAACAAATTTAAAAATAGAATTTTAATTTTTTGAGAAATTTTTATTTTTTTTCTTACCCATATAGAGGACCATCATTACCAATCGCTGATACCATAATAACACCATTGGCAGTAAGTTCCCAAACCTTATCAACAAATGGATGATCCATAAAGTCTGGACCTCCAATACTAAGATTTAATACAGTCACTTTGGTCAATATTGCATAGTTGAATGCATCAAGGAACCACGATGTATAGGAGACCTAAAAATACAATTTTTAATTCAACAAAATACAAATCTGAAAGAATACATACAAAGAAATAAATACAAAAAAAATTAATATATAATATAAAAAGAAATTTATAATACAATACTAAAAAAAAAATAAATTTCTTACCATTCATTACAATAAATAATGGTAATTAATGAACTTAAAAGTAATTAAAAAAAAAAAAAATTTTCCTTAGGAATTTTTTTCTTTTTACCTGAGAATTGGTAAAGACGCGAAAAATATGAAGTTCCGCATCTGGTGCAAGGCCAAAGCATTCTTTCGAAGACGATGCAATAACTCCAGCGACAAATGTCCCATGACCAAGACCATCTTCGACGGTTTTTTCATTAGTCCAATCAGTGCGCTCCTCAATTTTCTTAAAATGAGGATGACTAGCCGCGAGGCCAGTATCAAAAACTGCCACCTTTTTTGAAAGAAAAAAATATATATTTACCAACTAAAAAATTATTTTATTACATTAATAAATTAATCTATTCGAGCTTTTGTAAATTTGTTAAATTAAATTAATATTTTCCTTCGACAATATTTTGTATTCCATTTATGGTCTCTTATAAACGCGGAAGGATGTTGTAATAAATAAATAAAAAAATTAAATTATTAAATTATAGGTCTTATATCGACTTTAAGTCGCAAAAAAAATTCGTTTTAATCAATTTACATACGAAAAAAAGTTTATTTTTTCATTTTAATTAAATTTAATTAAAATAAATATTTAAAAAATATTTTACTTTAAATAACTAATGTTATTAGATACTAAATTCACTTTATTAATTCCTTAATAAAAATAATTGTATAAGAATATTATAAAGAAAATTTATTTCTATTAATTCTGAATCAAACTAAGACAAATTTTCAAATTTTTTATTAAGTAGGACAAATTTCTGCAAAAAAATTCTTAAAGTTCCATTTTTTCAATCATTTTGAAGTCTGATTTAAGCAATTTATTTGAATTTAAAATTTTCGCATAATCAAATCTTTTTTTAGCAATTGAATTGCAGATTTTAAATATGAAATATAAATTTAGGTACTGCAAATTTAAATTGCTGTAGTTTTTTTTAAATTTCTGACAACAATTTAATTTTAGAGTTTTTAGTTAAAACTTTTTTTCACAATTGAATTTTTAAAGAAATATTAAAATTATTAAACATAATTCAATTTTGAAAAAGTTAAAGTTGGAATTTTTAGAATTGAATTTCAAACGTTTTTTTTTATTAATTAAGACTTTCAGATAATTGAATTTTTGAAGAAAATAAAAAAATCATTGAAAATATTGAATTTCAAAAGATTTTGAAAATTTCAGACAATAATTTTTAAAACTTTACAGAATTTATTTATTTATTTAAACAGGCGAAACAAATTATGAATTGAAAATAATATATCAAATAATTTTAGATAATCTCTTTTTTAAAGTAATTGAATTTTAAAAGATTAACAATTTATATTTTTGTAAATAATTAAACTTCAAGTGATTTTTAATTGAAATTTTTCGCTAATTTATGTTGCTAAAGAATTTATTCGAAGTTACAGACAAAAATTGAACTTTAAAAGCTATTAATTAAAAAAATATTTTTAGATAATTTAATTTTCGAATAATATTATAAAAATTATTAAAAAAAAATAATTGAAATTCGGAAGAAGTTTGAAAAAAAAATTGATAGAAATAATTAAATTTTAGGTTTAAAATTGCAATTTTTCAAATTAATTGATTTTCTAAGTGATTTTGAAATGAAATTTTTTGTTAATTTTATTTGCCGTCTTTTTAAAAATTTGTAATTATTGAATTTCATAAAATTTTTAATTGAAAAATAATTTAAGATAATTGAATTTGTAAAGAATTTCATTAAAATTATTGAAAATAATTAATTTAAAAAAGAATTTTAATTAGAAATTTGTTAAATAATTTAAATAAATAATATCTAAAGAAGATTTGCATTGTATTTTAAAAAAAAGACGTATATATTTGAAAAAATTGGTAAAAAATCGAAAAAGTAGGAATTTGAGATTTGAAATTATTTAAAAAAATATATATATTTTTTTTTAACAATAAAAATACCTTTATACCGCGACCAGTCACCCCCATTCCCCACAAAACATCCGCTTGAAGAATACTCGTAATTTGTCGTGGAATTGCACGTAGTAATCTTCTCGATGCATGACGAGAGGGAGTGTGTCCTGTATTTGAATTTGATGTTTTCTGTAAATCAAACAAATTTTTTAATAAACAAAATTCTTCTTCAATTTCTACAAAAAAAAAAAAAAAAAAAAAAAAAGAAAAACTCACAAAACTGTTGATTTTTCGTTTAAAATTCTTATACTCTGGATAACCATCCTCATTAGTTTCAGTGAATTTTAATGTTCTTTTCACAAGTCTTTGTGGTGTAACTCGTTTCACAAGTGGATGATCAATTAAACCACTGAGTCCTGAATATTTATTATCAATTTCTTCTTCAATTAAAACAACATCAAAATCACTTGGAAAACCACTTGCCGGATTAGAACGATTTAAAATTTTCCAATTTTTCACATTTGATGAATTTAAAGCGGCGCGAATATAATTTTCACGTGTTCTTGGCTTATAATAACCTTTAAATACAACAATATATTCATTTTTAATAATACTTGTTGAAAATTGTACTTTGATCTCTTGTGAATTATGTGATGAATTACATAAAATAGAATTGAAATTATTATTTAATTGATAAAATTGGACATTTTCTTTTATTTCATCATTATTATTATTTATTTTTTTGTTGTCACATTCAGTGATAATGATAATATTCATCAATAGAAGAAATATTTCTCTATAAAGTATATGCGGTTTCATACTATATATACTTTTTAACCTGTAAAATATACAAAATGTTAAAAAAAAAAATAGAGAATAAAATAATTATCTAATTTACTATTTATCGAAATAAAAATTGTTTTATATATACGTACTTCGTAAATTTACTCTCATCATTGTTTCATAACCTTCATTATTCCTTCTGTTAGCTCAAATTAATAAAATTGTGATATTTATTTAAAATTATTAATGTACACATCATATTTTCACAACAGAAATTAATTAAATTTTATTTATTGTTACTTTAATGTTAAACAAAGTCGGAAAAAACAAACTTTTCCTGGGTAATTGGTTTGAATATATATGAAAATGTGACGTTTCATTCGAAATTGAAAACAACGAACATAACCAAAAAAAAGTATATACATATATGTATATGCCTTATCTATGACATATATATAATTAAATTAATTCACGTAAATATGTATCATAATAAATAAATTTTTAATAATACTTTTCAGTAAAAATATTCTATTTTAAAAATTAGAAAAATTATTTAAATTCTTAGATAAATATTTACAAAATAAGAATTATTTAATAAAGAGAAAATAAATATATAAAATTCATTAAAAAAAATAATTATTATTATTTAATTATATTTTATAATATATAAATAATATTTTTTAATATTATCTTTTGTTTTTAAATATTATTTTCAGTTAAATTATTCTATTTTAAAAATTAGAAAAATTATTTAAATTCTTAGATAAATATTTTCAAAATAAGAAATATTTTAATAAAGAAAATGAAAATATAAAATTTATTTAGAAAATAAATAGCTTTATTTTATTTTAAATAACATATTTTTTATTTTATCTGTTAAATTTCATCGACTTAATTTTGTGCATTAGAAACTCGTTGAAGCCAAAATACACTTTCGTCTACGGTTTCAGTTAATGGTGAATCTAATTTTCTTAATCCTTTTGGAACTGATAATTGGGCAATTTTTTCTTTACAATTAATTGCCTAAATTATAAAATATAAAATTTATTAATTTCAATTTAATGTATATTAATGTATAGAAAAATATATAATATATTATAAGAATACAATATATAATAAAAATTATGTGAATAAAAATATATTTTTTTAAATACCTGTTGAATTGTTGAAAAATTAATATTTATATTATCAATCATTTCATTCATATTTGATGTTTTTGACCAAGAATTTTGCGGTTCCTTTGAATCAGTGTCGAGATTTTTAAATGATTTTGTAAAATTTTTCAAACTTATTTGACATTTATCACTTTTTATGTCTGGAAGAAATTTCAACTTTTCCTGAAATTAATTTATAATATTTAATAAAAATTATTATTATTATTATTATCATCAAATTAAACAATTAATATAAAATTATATTTAAAAAAATACCTCGTTTAATGTCTCTGGTATATTTTTAAAAGATTTATTTTTCGTATCAAAATTTTTCGTTTCAATATCTTTAACATTTTTTCTAATTTCTTCGATATATTTTTTTGTTTCCACTTGTGTTAATTTTGTATTAAGACTAAAATCATTTGGTAAAATATTCACATCTCTCTCAAAATAGCTCTGGAAAAAAAAATAATTAAAAATGAAATATAAATAAAAAAAAGAATAGTTAAATTAATAAATAAATTAAATTGAAATTATTAATTAATTAACAAATTACTTGTAATGTATCGTTGACAGACGTATCATTTGATTTATCCTCTAGTTTTTGATTTGTATTAATATTTTTTATAAACAATAATAATAATTTAAGCGTACTTTGTTGATTTCTAAATGAACATTTGCCCTAAAAAATAAAGTAAATATTTTTTTAATAATAATTAAAAATTGTATAATATTTATTAAAAATTAATAAACTTACCAATAATTGTTCTTTATCACGGCAAATACCAATTTGTGAATAATATTTAAATAACTCTTCTGAAAATTAATATTTCATTAGAAATAGAATAAATAATAATATTAATAAACTAACCTTCTAGTGCTTCGCCTTTTAATTTATTTAAAAGAGGTAGGGATATTTTCGAATTTTGTTGAAGAAGCCAAGACAATAAACAAATTCGATTGTCACCACTGAGAATTTGTGTTTCAATGTCCTTTGAATTTATTAATGTTATCTTTGGATATTGTAATTGCACTAAAGCATTGTAAATATCCATCATAACTTTTTCATTATTCACTAAAAATATATAATTAATTAAAAAAAACAAACAAATCTTTTTTTTTTAAATTAAACTATTAAAAAAATCACTTACTTGTTATTGTCTATTGTAAAGATTATTTTTTTTTATATATTTATTTGTTTTTAACTATTTTATTAATTTTAAAAAGACAAAAAATAAAAAAGTTAAAAAAAATGTAAACAATCAACTGTTTTTAGGTTAGAAATGTCGATATTTAACAAAAATTTCGATATAACTAGAGACTTGCTTTTTGATTGGTGAATGCAATTTCCAGTAATATTACCAACCAATCAGAAATCAAATTCGAAAAAATTGAATTTTAATCGATATATTGTCGATTTAAATTCTATAAACAATAACAAAACAAAACGTTATTAAGCAAAATAGAAAGAACAAAAGACTGAAGAAAGTGTAAATTAAATTTTGAATTAATTTTGTTTTAAATAAAATACATTTGTGAATGCGTTTAAAAGAGATATTTACTTATTGAACTTAACCTCTATATCAGAACTGAATATCAAAATAAGAGATAAATATCAAAAGGAAATTATATATATTCTGTTAATAAAAATCATATCAAGAGATAAATATAACAGATTTGTAAATATAATGTGAAATATAATTAAAAACATATTCAACAAGTAAGTATTATTTATTTCTATTTTCAATTTTGTATTTTTTTTAATCAATCAAATGAAAAATAATTAACATTATTTATATTTATTAATATAAATAACAGTGAAATACTATTTAAAGATTATATATTTTTTTTTTTTGGAAAATATTTTTGCATTATTAATATTTGTATTTCAGTTTACGAACAATGGCGCTTGTTTAAATTTAAATATTTAAATAAATTTTAATTAATATTTATTACTTTTAAATGATAATAACGATTGCAAACTCATTAGAGAGAGAAAAAAGTGTAATTTTAAAAATTATTCCCAATGAAAAAAAAAAGGGTAAATTATATTCATTGTATTAAAAAGGAAAACCTGTATACAAAATACAATATACCATTTATGGTGTAAAATATAATATACACAAAATATAATAGACATAACCTACATTTTTGACATTCTTTTAAACATTCTCTTCAGTAGAAAGAGTAGAAACGTCAGTCAAGGTCACTGACCTTGTTCATGTTTCTTGAGGCTTGAAAAGAAATATCCAGCTGAAAGTTTTACACACCAGTTCAACATTGACTTCATTCGAAGAATCAAAAACACGTCTCTAGTTTTCGGGGGTTTTTTTTTTTAGAAAGGATTTTTTAAAATTATTTTTCCTGTGAAATAAATGTGTTTTTATGGAGAAATAACAAAAAAACAATGAGTGACAAAAATTTGGAATTTGTAATGAAAAGTTTGCTTGCTGGCGGTAAGTGGTCCATTTTGTTCATCAGTGAAATTTTCACGTGTATTTTATTATTACAGTTATTTCCGTTTTATTATGAAAAAAAAGAGTGTCAGGCTTAACTTTCTAAAAGATTCTCAACTTTCTTATTTTTGAATTTATTCTTAGCAAAAAAAAAATTAATTTCATCAATTTTTGAATAAAAAATATTTATTTTTACAATTTGTTTTTTTATTAAATAAATAAATTTCTTTTATTAAATTAAAATTAATTTCTAATTTTTTTTTGTTTCATTTATTTTATCTTTTTTTGAATATTAATTTTTATTTTCACAATTTGTTTTTGTTTTTTTTCCCTATATTAAATTAAAATTAATTTCTAATTTTTTTTTTTGTTTAATTTAAAAACAAATTTTTATCTTTTTTCGAATAATTTTTATTTATAAAATTTGTTTTTTTTTTTATTAATTTTTTGAAGACAAAAATTCAGTTCAATATTTTATGATTTAATTATCAATTTTTAAATTAATTTTCTTTTCTTTTAAATATTTATAATTTAGGAGTAGCTGGTATGTGTTCGAAAACAACAGTGGCACCACTCGATAGGATAAAAATTTTATTACAAGCACATAATTCACATTATAAACATTTAGGTAAGAAATTTTGCAAAACTAATTGATATGAGAAAACAAAAAAAATAAAAAATTTCTATTTTCTTCTTTAAAGGAGTTTTCTCAGGACTGAGAGAAATTATTCATAAAGAAACTTTTATTGCACTCTATAAAGGGAATTTTGCGCAAATGATTAGAATTTTCCCATATGCAGCTGCACAATTCACATCATTTGAATTTTATAAAAAGGTAATTCTTCCAAGAGAGATTTCTTTCTCTTTTTTTAAGATAATAAATACTTTTTTTTCATCGGAAGCCTTTGTTTATTCTAATTGAATAATTTGAACAGTATTTAGAAACAATATTTGGAAGTAAAAATCAATTTGACAAATTCATAGCCGGATCTGGAGCGGGAATAACGGCTGTTGCTTTAACTTATCCTCTTGATACAATTAGGGCACGATTAGCTTTTCAAGTAACTGGCGAACATGTTTATTCGGGTATTACACATACGGCAGTTACAATATTCAAAGAGGTATTATTTTTCTTTTTATAATGAATTTTTTATTTTTATATTTAATTTATTGTTTTCTTAATTTGTTAAAAATTTTAAAAAGTTAATTTAAAAATTAAATTTACAGGAAGGAGGGGCAAAAGGTCTTTATAGAGGATTTTTACCCACAATTTGTGGAATGATACCCTATGCGGGATTTTCATTTTACAGTTTTGAACAACTTAAATATTTATGTATGAAATATGCACCAACTTATTTTTGTGATGAATGTAACACGAATACTGGTAAGATTTTTTAAAAAAATTTTTTTTAAATATGTAATAATTAATAAATAACACTCATAATAATTAGTAATAATTATTTTGATCCTAGTAATAAAAAAATAATTATTATAAAAATTAGTAATAATTATTGTAATAATTAGAAATAATTATCACAGTAATTAGTAAAAATTATAATAAATTTTTTTTTTATTTATCATTCTTGCAATTTAAAAATATTTATATTTAGTTAACGTATTTTTTTTTTAAATATTTTAAGGTGGATTGGTTTTAAAATTACCGGCAAAATTATTGTGTGGTGGAATTGCAGGTGCAATTGCACAAAGTTTCTCTTATCCTCTAGACGTTACTCGCAGACGAATGCAGTTGGCGATGATGAATCCAGAAACACACAAATACGGGTATTTTTATCACGCTAATATAAATTGCAAAATAATTTTTTTTAGCAATTTCTAATTTTTCTATTTTTAAGAAATATAAATTTTTTTCTACTATTTAGTATTTATAATAATAATAATTATTATTATAATTACAACAACAACAATAATAATAATTATAATTACAATAATAATAGTTATTATTATTATTATAATTTCTAAATACAAATATTTTATTTAAACAGTAATTTTTTTTATCTTGAATTTATTTTTATTTAAAAAAAAACAAAATAATTGTTTAGATCCGGCATGTTATCAACGATGAAGATTATTTACCTTGAAAATGGATTGACAAAAGGTCTTTATCGAGGAATGTCGATAAATTATCTTCGTGCAATTCCGATGGTGGCAGTGAGTTTCACAACTTATGAAGTAATGAAGCAATTACTTCACTTAGATACAGGAATGAAAATTTAATTAGCATAACAAAAAAAAGAGAAGAAAAAAAATTAGACATTTTAAAGGAACTGCTTTTTTTTTGCAGTATCATACAATTTTTAAAAGGACCATAGTAAATATTTTCACAAAATGTACATATAAAATAATTTTTTTTAAACTTCAATATCAATTTTTAAAATACGAGGTTAACTATTTTTTTATGCAGAAATTTTTTAATAATGAAATTATTGATTAAAAATGTTTATTTTTCTTTCTTTTTTAGAGATGAAATGATAATTTTTTTTTAAATATTATCATAATCACGAGGCTCTTAAAATTTGTTTGGTACAATATTATTAATTTTTAATTGTTATTTAGTAAATAATAATTAACACGTCTCAGGAAAATTGTTATTAAAAGAAAACTTTAACATTGTTATTATAATTATTATTACTATTATTGAAATAACAATAATTATTCTAATTGTTATTTAATAATGGTAAATATAATAATTATTCAAAAAAAAAATAGTACAATTCTTCATTAATTATTCAATATTAGTACAATTTTTCATTTAATAATTAGATAATAGTGTATATAAAATACATCAATTAATTATTTAATGATATGTACTCGCAAAACAATTTTTAAACAAAAAAATTTACTAGAACATCTAAAACTTTTTCTTTTTAAATTCTCAAAATTCTTAGATACTACAGTAAAAATTTTTAGTCGTTTTATATTGAAAAAAATTTTTTGCGTGTAGAATAATTAATTGATAAAATTGACTGAAAGGATAATCAAAATAAGAATTATAAACAAAAACTTGTATATCAAATAGAATATCAAAAAAAAAAAAAAAAAAAAAAAAACTATTTTATCGTGTAAAAGAATTTCTATATTTTTTATATATTTTTCTATCACTATAAATATACTAGATATTTGTGTAATAATGGGCCAGTTATTAAAAATCATTGAAATTGCGCAACAAAAAACGTGTATAGATTCTGATGTCACCAGATTTTATCTGCGATAAGTCAAAGGTGACAAATAAGTTAAAAAAAATCGATAAAACATTTTTTTCGAAAATTTTTACGTGAAAATATCATGGCAATTTTTCTATAAATAATTTTTTAATTATTATTTTTTTTTTTAAAAAAGTGAAAAATAACTCTGTACAATCGAAATAAAATATTTTCAGAATTTCTTTATTTTTAATTTTCAATCGATTACTTATAGATATTGTAAATTAATTAAAATTGAATTAAATTTCTTTTAAAAAAAATTGAAATATAAAAAAAAACATTATTATACAATATACACATTTTTCTTTTGAGGAAAAAAAAAATAATCACTTTTATTTATATGGGCTTAAAAATGTCTATACTTTCATAATGTGGAGCTGGTTTAATATAATCAATTGATAATTCTTGATTGTTAAAATTGAGTTTTCCATTTTTTTCTTCCTTTGGAATGAATACAAAAACATTGTAAGTTTTCATTGGATTCGGATGACTGTAATATGCAAATGAATCTTTAAAAGGACCATCTATAATTTCTACCAATTGTCCAGGATAATATATAGGATCCTTTCTAATATCCGATCCTATAAAACAAAAAACAAAAAAAGAAAATGTTAAAATTTTTTTGCAAATTAAAAAAAGAATCTAAATTAAATAATTTCTATTTTTTTTTCGAAATTTTAAATTAATTTTTTTTCACGTTTTGGAAAAGAAAGAAATTAAAATTTATTACCTGATATTTTAATCACGAGAATAATAATAATAATAAAAGTGGCACTGATAAAAAATTTCATATTCACTATTAAATGTTAAACTTTATATGTTCAAAAAGTGAATTAGTTCCAGCAAAGTCGAAGAATATCTGTCGAATTGAACGCTAACGCTTCCTAACAGTTAAAAATTTGCTGACTTTTTTAATGACAAAGCAAATAGTTTAGAAATCGACAAAGCTATAGAAATAAAATAAAATTTTAATTACGAAAGTTAAATCTATTTTTAAATACTCACCGCAGTGTAAAATTTTCTTTTTTCCTAAACTTAAATAATTATTTTTTAATTATGTTAATTAAAACAACAATTGTTGAGAATAAAAATTAATCAAAGTCCGAGTACAACAGCTTTCTTTTATTTTTTTTTTTTTAATCATTTTGTTTCATTTCGGCAAAGTGACAATAATTCTAAGCTCAAAAAACAATGTGAAAGTTTTTTTTTTTTTTTTTTGTTTTTCTCCATAAAATTGAAACTATTACAAATTTGACGAAAAGACACGCGTTTATAAGAAAATGTATATTAATTAACAAAGTAATTAAAGAACTGAGAAAAAAAAAATACATTCAATTTTTCATTATTTTTTTTTTTCAAATATGAAAATTTCCCATATTTATTTTTTCAAGTTCTTTTTTAGAAAATTTTACCTTGTAAATTGAAATACAACAATAAAATTGTACACTTTTATCTATAATACAATTTTATCAAATTAATTATAGAAATACGAGAAAATCAAAAAACTCACATTTCTTTGTTTCTTTTTTTTTTTTGACAAAAATGTCAAATGAAAATTATTTAAGGAAAAAATTAATAAACGCACGTAAGACACAAAATTTGTTAAGAGTGTCTGAAAAACCGTTTTATATAAAATATGAAAATTATTTTCAAGGCATATTGTTTATGACAAAATAGTTTACCTGCAATAGAAAAATTAATTTTGTTTCTATTTTCAAAAATTGTTTAATTTAAGATTCAAATATTAAGAAAAAATTGTTAATTTTACTTAATTCCCAATTTTTCAATAATTGTTAAATTAAAAAAAATAAATTTTAATTAAAAATAAAAAAAAAAAATTTTGCAGGTGAACTAAGTCAAAAATTAATTTATCACATATTTAATTTCATCTTTTTTTTTTCTTTAGTCACGTTTCATTAATCTTACGTGCGCAAATTTTTTTCACATTCTATTTATATATTTATATATGTATTTATACTAATTATAGCGAAAACGGGTAACAAAAACTTTACAAAGAAAAAGTGTAATATAAAAAAAGGTTTCACAAATTATTTTGTCTATACACGTAAAATTAAACTGAACATTCTTTACGCATTCGATATATATATATATATAACATGTAAAAATTCAAATTTTGTGATAGTGCAAAAATTTAATAAAAAAAAAATTCATGTAAAGTGTAATAATAAATATATAGAGCAAATATAAAATATTATCTATACAATTTCTAATGACTATTTTTTAAACTTCATTCATATTTAAACTATTTTTTTTTTGTCAACTCATTCAAATTTTTATAATAAACTTTTTTTTTTAATCTCTAAAATTATCACGCATTCCAGTCATTAGAATTTATATTTGTATAAACAAAAAAAAAAAAATTTTTAATGGAATTCATTAATGAGTTTAAATTAATAATGACGAGTTTAAATATAGAAAATAAAAAAAAAATGCTCAGTCTGCGTCACTATTGCGTGTATTTGTTTTTTTTTCTATGCCTTTCACGTCCATCTTTTTTTTTTCTTATAATAATCATAATAATAATAATAATAATTATAATAATAATAATAATAAAGATAAGAAAGCCACCGCTCTAGAAATACTACTTGTAATTATTCATTATGCATATAGTCGATTTGCATGCTTTTAAATTTTTTTGTTTTAAATTTTGGTCTAAAAAGAGCCAAACATTTAAGTCCGTGCCTTCTTTAACTATTGTATCAATTTTTTTTTGTTTTTTTTTGTTTTTTTTTTTTTTTTGACACAAAAGAAATTGGGTTTTGGCTTGCATTATACATATGTTTATTCATCAAAGCTTCACTTATACTTAGCAATTAGTAAAAAGTTGATCAGTATCGTCACGAACAATCTATTCTCAATTTTAGGTGCGTATTTTTTCTTTTTTCTTTTTTTTTTTTTTTTAACAAAAGTTCGTCATCTAGGATTGATGCAAAAGTGTTTTGTTTCGATAATATATTATTATTATTATTGTTTCGATAAAATATTATAGTTTTTTTTTTTTTTCTTAAAAAAGTTATTGTTTCATTAGATTGTAAATTACGAGATTTTTTTTATGATTGTATTTTTAGTTATCTTATTTTCTATTTTATGAAAAATTTTTTAGATTTAAAGAAATGTATTTTTTTTTTTTTTTTGATGAAAAATGAAGTTATTCACACCGTTGCATCAACCCATCAATTTTGTTTTTCTTTTTTTTTTGTGAATCAACATGCATTTACGGATTGCGTGCTCCGTTCATATCAATCATATAATGCGAAACGCTCTTAAATATACAAGATTCCAAATCTCGAATGACAAACGTTTTTCCTTGTTTTTCTCACTGGAGAACAACTCGTAAAATGAAAATGAGTATACTCGAATTTTCAATGGATTTTTTTTTTTATGTATGCCTATCCGCGATCGAATTAGAAGCAGTACATTTTGAAAACATTATTAAGACTCAAGTTTTTGTTGTGTAAAATTCATTTAGTGAAACGATTTTTTTTTTCGGTTGGCGTAAATATCTTATTGAGTCTCTACATGTATGGTATGGATTTTTAAACATATTGCACGCGATTATTTTTTTTTTGAATGCTCCCTCGACAATTAAAAAGAGAGGAACGCACCTTTTCGCGAGCCATCATATAATACTTGGTGACTATATTTATATTTATATATATATATATATTTATTTATATATGACGAGTAAGACTCAAGAAGAGTCCTTACACTCATCCCGATTGTTTTATTTATTTTTTTAAATTCTTGTGTCTTAATTGTTTCCATATCATCGCTATAAAATCAGATTTGTTTTTCCTTCTCCTACCTCAAAAAAAATTATCATCGACTGCCATTTTCGATCATTTTACATGAAGTAATCGGGCGTCCTTCTCGTCACGTGTGGTTCACCACGTCTTGGTGCTGGATCAAACTGCAAGCTAAGATGGAGAAAAATTAATTTACATTTTTTAATCTAACAAATTAATAAAAAAAAATTGTTTTTTTTTTTACTTACAATGAATATTTCAATGCATCATCTAGTTCCATAATTGCAGCTTGATTACCACAGCGATAACAATAATTGGGAGCGGAGAATATAGTTACAACGTTTCGATCGTGACACCTGTGGAGATAAAAAAAAAAAAAGATAAAATAAAATAAAAGATAATAGAAAAATAAAAATGAAATTAGAAATACGAATTTTATTTTGATACGTACCAATTATAACCCTCCATAACCAATTGATGCGCTCGTGAAACGAGTGTTAAGCCATTCGAATGATTAAACGTTTCAGAAATATCCTGACCGAATGTGTAACCCGCTCCACGTGGAGAAATACCCCATCCTCCTCTGTCATCGGGATCTGACCACAATAGATCGCACATAGGACCCTGAATATTAAAATAATTATTCTTTACTTTTTCCCTTCTTTTTTTTCACGTTAATTTTGATTATTTACTATCGTTTAAAAATTAATTAATAAAAATTCAGACATCGGATCGACTTTACAGAACAAAAAAAAGTCGATTTACATCCACACAAAAATTTGAAAAAGTAGATTTTTTTATTTCAAATAAATTTAATTAGTTAATAAGTATTTTGTTTTAAATAACGAATGTTATTAGATATTAAATCCATTTTATTAATTTCTCAATTTTAAATAAACAGGACAAATTTCTAAAAAAAAAAAAATTTGAAAACAATTCAATTTTAAAGTTTTCATTGAAACTTTTTTTAAATAATTAAATTTTTAAAAACATATTAAAATTATTAATAATAATTGAAATTTGGAAGAGTTATTTTTTTTTTGGAAATAATTAAATTTCAAAAGATTTTGTTAAATTTCAGACAATAATTAAATTTTACAGAATTGAAAATAATTTATCAAATAATTTTAGATAATTTTTTTTTTTAAAGTAATTGAATTTTCAAATATTTACCATTCAGATTTTTAAAATTAATTGAACTTCAAGTGATTTTAAATTGTAATTTTTTTGGTGATTTCAGGCCTTGGATCGACTTTAAGGAGCGAAAAAGTCGATTTTTTAATGTAATTAGTTAATAAATATTTTACTTTAAATATTTAATGTTATTGTATATTATTTAATTTAATTTTTCATTCCTTAATAAAAATAATCCTACAAGAATATTATCAAGAAAATTTATTTTTAATATTTCAAAACCAAACTAAGATAAATTTTCAAAATTTTAATTTATTAGGACAAATTTCTGCAAAAAAAAATTTTTTTAAAGTTCCATTTAAAAATTTTTTCAAAGTCTGATTTATGCAAATAATTTGAATTCAAAATTTTTGCACAATTTTTAGTTTTAATGAAAAAAAAAAAAAATTTGGGAAAATATTTAAATTTTTTTTAAATAACTGAATTTTTAAAGAAATATTAAAATTAATAATTGAATTTTTGGAAGAGTTACAGTTGAAATTTTTTGGAAATAATTGAATTTCAAAATATTTTGTAAAATTTTACAGAATTGAAAATAATTTATCAAATAATTTTTGCTAACATTTTTTAAAAATAATTGAATTGAAAATAGTTTAAGATAATTAAATTTATTAAGAATTTCATTCAAATTATTTGAAATAATTAATTAAGAAAAAATTTTTTAGTTAAATTAATTTTAATTTAATTTTTTAATTTGTTAATTGAAAAAAATATTCAAAGATATAAAAATTAAGAAATTCAAATAAAAAATTATATTTCAAAAACTATTTAAATGTATAAAAATGAAGTATTAGTTTAATAATTCTTGAAATTGAATATATATATGAGAGATTCTTTTTCAATCGCCCCAGCCCAAAAAGTCAATGTTCTGGGATTGGCTTCATACTTTGGTAAATTGTTGTCCTATATGATAGTAATAAATCCCTAAAATATAAACTCATTAAAAAAATATTTGTAGAAAGTAGAGGGGGTTGAAGTTTTGACGTTAAGGGTAACATTGTCATTTTCAAATCCGTTTAAATATGACAAAAGTTAATGGATTTTAATTTATCTATAATGAATTTTATTGCATTTTTCACGTACTTTTCAAAAATGTATACAAAATTTAAAAAAAAAAAATTTTGACCCCTTTTTTTCAAAATCAACCCTTATTTTTCGATTTTCACCCCTTCGGGAATTTTTTTTTGTTTTTTTTTTATTTTCATTGGAAAGCTGAGGTTTTTTCCCATGAGCTATGTAAATATGAAAATGGGACAACAATAATTTTGTGAGAAACATAATATTAAATTAGGCGGTGCCTATCTAAATCCTCAAAGATGATCTCCAGGTACACCCCTTATCGGCACCGCCTACTTTAATATTCTGTTACTCACAAAATTATTGTTGTCCCATTTTCATATTTACATAGCTCATCGGAAAAAACCTCAGCTTTCCAATGAAAATAAAAAAAAAAAAATACCCGAAGGGGTGAAAATCGAAAAATAAGGGTTGATTTTGAAAAAAAGGGGTTAAAAAATTTTTTTTTTTAAATTTCGTATACATTTTTGAAAAGTACGTGAAAAATGCAATAAAATTCATTATAGATAAATTAAAATCCATTAACTTTTGTCATAGTTAAACGGATTTGAAAATGACAATGTTACCCTTAACGTCAAAACTTCAACCCCCTCTACTTTCTACAAATATTTTTTTAATGAGTTTATATTTTAGGGATTTATTACTATCATATAGGACAACAATTTACCAAAGTATGAAGCCAATCCCAGAACATTGACTGTTTGGGCTGGGGCGATTGAAAAAGAATCTCTCATATATATATATATATTTACCTCGTGAGGAACTTCTTGAAGACGATCTAATGCACGAATGTGATCCAGCGTGTCGATCGAGGGCGAAAGACCACCATGTAAGCAGAAGATTTGTCCATCCACCAAGGCCGTCAATGGCAGATAATCAAAAAGATCCGTGAAGAATTTCCATACATTTGCATTGCCATACTTTCGTAAACATTCATCATAAAATCCATAAACTTGTGTGATTTGTCTTGACTCATGATTCCCACGTAAAATCGTTATTCTCTCGCGATATCTCACCTACACATATAAAAAAAAACAAAAAAATTAAAAAAAAAAGCAATTTGTAAATTTGTAAATTAAAAATTTTAATTTTACAAAAGGCATAATTTAAAAAAAAAATAATTAAATTTCCTATCAATTTATTAGTAAAATACCAGCAAATTTTTGAATAAACAATTTAAGGACTTATCAAAGTTTTTCAAGGTCTAAAATAACTTTTTTTTCAATCTTCACTTGAAACTATGAAAATATTTTTTTATACAACAATTTTTACATAACAAAATTACTATAGAATTTTTGTTCGTGAGAATTTTTATTTTAATCATTTAATTAACATGATTTTTTTTATTTAAAAGAATTTTAATTAGAATTTTAATTTAATAGAATTCACATTTAATTGAATTTCAGGTGATTTTGAATTTTTAAATGAGAGAAATTCTAATTCAGGGTATTTATAATTTGTTCGAACTTTTATTTGTACAAAATTTTTAATTGATAGAATTTTTAAGTAGTCAAATTTTCTTTTATTTCTAAATTATAAATAGCTGAATAAATAATTGACAAAAAAATATTTCGGTGTAATTTTCAAAAATTGATCAATCAGAAATTATCAAAGAAAATCGTAATTGATTTTTAAAATTTCGCCGAAATCTTTCTATCGATTGTTCGGTTATTTGTAATTTCGGACAAATAAAATTGCAATTTCATAAAAATAAAAATTCAGACAAATTAAAATTCGGTGAATTGGAATTTCTGTCAATTAAAAAATTCATTTCAATGAGAATTAAAAATTAAATTTCTTTAAAAATATTTTGTTATGTAAAAATTTGTATAAAAAGAAAATCTGTTAAATTTTAATTGGAATATTAAAAATTCGTCTAAAAAAAAATAATTATCTCCAATAATGTACTTTAAAATAAAAATTATAATTAATGATTTTTATGGGAAATTCATGCGCACCAGAAAAATATCAAGAAAGAAAAATAGGAAATTTGAAAGAAAAATCGAGAATTTTTAGTAATTTACAAAATAAAAGGTGGAGTATTTGTCAGGAAAATTGAAAATTTTGCCCACTTTGTAATTACTAAATAAATTTTAGAACTTTCAAAAAAATTAGAATATGCGAAAAAAATGTTTTAAAAAACGAGAATTTTAAAAACATGAAAGCAAATTAAAAAATTAAGAAATTGAAAGAAAAAATGATAATTTTAGCAAATTTCAATTAAGATAATTTGAAGAATTATTAAAAAAAAAAAAATAAATAAATAAATAAAAAACATGAGAATTTCATAAAAATGAAGAGAAATTTCAATTTCCGCTAAACATCCTGTAATAAGTTTTACATTAATAGATTTTGTTTTTTTTTTTCCTTACCTTAAGAGCTACAAGAAGTGTCACAGTTTCAACCGAATAATAACCACGATCTACATAATCTCCCATAAATAAATAATTTGTGTCAGGAGATTTGCCACCTATTCGAAAGAGTTCCATTAAATCGTGAAACTGTCCATGAACATCTCCGCAAACTGTTACTGGACATTTCACTTCTTGTACATTCGATTCCTTGGCTAAAATTTCTTTCGCCTGAAAAAATGAAAAACGATAAATATAAATTAAAAATTTATACAAACAAATTTCAAATTTTTCCTTTAGAAAAAAAATTATCTTGCATTTGTCAAATAAAATAATTATTTTATTTCGTTTTTATTAATTTTTGACAAATTTGTTTTTTTGAATATTGAAATTTCCAAAAATTATTAAAATTCGCAAAAATTTAACGACTAGAAAATATTTTGCAAATTGTAATAAATGAATTTTAATAAGGAAAAAAAAATTATTTAATTTTTGTTATCCTGGTCTTGAAAAATTAAATTCAAAAAAAAAAAAAAAACCTATTAATATTCTCGATATCAAAAAAAATAAATTAGCTATATTCCAATAATAACGTGTTGGCTTAGTGATGCTTTATAGGGAACGGCTATAAATTCTCGATCGTTAACAATCGTAAGTACCTGTTGAAGTTTTTTTTTTTTTTTTATTCACAAAAAAAAAGAAAACACTCGCGAAACATGAAATGCATAATTTTTCTTTTCTTCTTGAAATTGAATAATTTGTTGTAAAATATATATACCTTGTCACAGAGAGTTTTCACTTGGCTTTCTGTCAGTTGTTTGCAGTCATTCAACTGTTCTATCCACTGGTCAAGTTCTTTGAGGGATGCTTTTTCCTCCATTTTATGAATCTGTTAAATTATTAGCTAATAATATAAATTTAACACTAAGCACATGTAATTCGGTACTTGTAGTTTTTTTTTTTTTTTTTTTTGGAGGCTATCGATAAATTTAAATCATTCAATTTTAATCCGGCAGTCCCTCAACTACACAAATATCCCAATTGAGAGTACACTCACAAAATGGCCGCTCGCTGCCGTTTGTGACGTCATGTTTTTTAAATACGCGTGCGCAAAAAAATTTACTAAAAAAAAAAACACCTAGTTAAAAAAAAAACGAGAGAAAATAGTGTGAAATTAATTTGAAAAATGTTTTAATTATCCATGATGATGTGTTGTCGAAAAAAAAAAAATTTGTACTATTTAATTGAATCACGTGGTATTTTGTTAATATCTCTAGAAAAGGATTAAATTACCGGTGAGTTTTTTTTTTTTAAGGAAAATAACTAGATTTGATTGTTTTTGATTGGTTAACAATAATTCCGGAATTTACTATCCAATAGAATGATTTTTATTTAAATGTGTTTTGTAAACTAAAAATTTTTAGGTTATGAATGACAAGTTTCAGAAAAAAATATATATATAGAATTAATTTACATAAATGTGATATTTTTTTTTATTAAAATGTTTTTAGTTTATTGTAAAGAAAAAGTTGTTTTAATTATTGATAGTATATTTTTGAATTTTTACCTATTATGAGATTTTTAAACAATTTTCTTTTAAATATAATTAAAAAACAAGAATCTAATTTCTACGTGTGACAAAACAAAAATGATTTTTTTTTTAAATTGAAAAACTAAAAAGGTAATAGTATTTTTATTTTATTTAATGTGGAATTTATATAACCTATTTCCGAATTTTCACATTATGGCATTTTTAAACAATTTTTTTCTAAATGCAATTAAAAAAAAAACAAGAATATAATTTTCTTCATAATTACGTAACAAAAATTCATTTTTTTTTTAAATTGAAAAAGTAATACAGTATTTTTATTTTATTTAATATGGAAGTTTATTTGATTACAATATTAATATTATTTTAATAATAAAATATTTTTAAAAAGTATATAGGAAACATTAAATGTAGCTTTAGTTATATAAAGTTTGTCATTAAAAAAAAAAAATGATTGTGACCGTACTGAAAAAATTGTTATTACAAAGATTCAGTTCTTAATTTCTAGAATAAAAATATTAAAATGACAGAAATACAATTAGAAATTAGTATTTGACTATTTTTACATAAATTTTCACTTTAATTATCACATTATCAATCAAAAAATTTGTTTCTTGTTAAATATACGAAATGTTATTTTTGTTAGTTTGGAAAAAAACATTCAACATCGAAATAACATCAAATTCTGTTCATTCAATATTTTTATAAAGTTGTTCTTAATGTAAGAACATTGATCCTGAAACAAAAAATTAATTAATTTAAATTTATAAATTAAACGAAATTATTTAAATAATAAATTTAAACAAAAAAGGAAATTAATTTAAATTTAAAAATTAAACGAAATTATTTAAATAATAAATTTAAACAAAAAAGAAATTAATTTAAATTTAAAAATTTATACAAAATTATTTAAATAATAAATTTAAACATACTTTGAAATTTCAATTTAGTGTTTTTGTTCATCTACACAAAGTAGCATCCAATTGCGATAACCAGGGTAAAATTAATTTAATTTTTCTTCGATAATTAGCATCTTTTGCAATTGGATTATTCTCCAAATAAACAGTTTGCAATAATTTGTTTTTTGCTAAATTTTCCACTGTTGGCCAATCTTCAATTAAATTATTATTTGCCTGAAATTTAGATAATTTTATAAATAATAATAATTGTTAAAAAAATATATAATTAACAATTAATAATTGATAAAAAAAAAATATATATTACCCAAAATTCCTCTAATTTATCGAGATGATCGATATTTTGAATTTTCTTGATTTTATTATTTGCCAAATCTAATGTTAATAAATTTGGACAATTTTCTAAACCTTCAATTAATGTTATTCCATTTTCCGATAAATAAAGTTGATCTAAATTTTTTAATTCAATTAAATTTTCTATTTCTGTAATACGATTACTTTGTAGACTTAATAATTGAAGATTAATAAGTGATTCGAGTTTTTGAATTTTATTTATTTTATTTTTTCCCAAATAAAGATTTTGAAGATTATTTAAACCATCTAAATTTTCAATTTCACGTATTTTATTGTCACCCAATTCTAAGGTATTCAAATTTTTTAAATGTGAAACATTTTCCATTTGTGTTATTTTATTAGTTGAGAGGAATAATTTTTTTAAATTATGTAAATTATCGAGACCTTCAATTTTTTTGATACGATTGGAAGATAAATCGAGAACCCTAGAAAATTTAGAAAAATTTAATTATATTTAGCGAAAAAAAAAAAAAATAGTAACATTTACTTACTGCAAATTGACTAAAGAATCCAAATTTTCAATAATTGTTATTTGATTGTCACGTAATTCCAATTCTTTTAGAGTAACAAGTGTATTAAGATTTTCTATCTTTGTTATCAGATTCCATGTGAAGCATAATTTTTCAATTTTTGTCAATGGTTCCAAATTCTCTAATTTTGTTACCCGCGAATGATTGAAATCCAATTCCTAAATTTATCATTTATATTTAAATTCTGAATTAAGAAAAATATTTTCAATTATTATTAAAAAAAATACCAACTTCACTGTCAGGATCTATAACGGTGATTTTTTCAGAATCTTCTGTGGCTTCAATTTCTTTTTCACCTTGAATTTCCACTGTTTCCATTCCATTTTTATCACATGTTTCTATTTAGAAAAAAATAAATCGAAGTTGAAATAAAGCAAAAATCATTTAATTTTAATTTTTTTCTTTTAAATTCACCTACCGAAGCTCGCCATTTTGCACTTTGTAATTTTCAATTTAAATATAGACAAAGAAAATTATTTAATACTCTTACAATTTTTTTAAAATTGTTTTGTTTGGCTTTGTTATTCAATTATAGATAAAACAAACACTTAACAACACTCAATAGTAAATTCCTCGGTTTTTTTTTTTTTTTTTGTTATAAATTTGTATTTGTGAATTGTGTTTATGTTTATATAGTATATTTCTAAAGGTGAATACATAGTGTATGCATTATTTGCAATTATCATCATCTGATTGGTTGATTAATAATTTTCGGAAAATTTATATATTTTATTATTTCTACTTGCTTTAATTAACATAATTTTTATTATTAATGAAAAAATAGTTATTTTTGAGAAATATTAAGTCCTTACGTAATTTGCGTAATTACGTAAAAATACTGTATATTTGGTTGAGAATTTTGATTTGCTCTTTTAAAAATTTACCGCCAGTTAAGCTTATACTTTTGACCGCCAGACGGCAGACCAATCGGTTTCTTACGTTTATCATGTTGGCAATCTGTTTTTCATTGTTGCGCTCCAGTCAGTTTGTTTAAAAGTTCTGTGCTCTTTTTCTTTTTTGTTAATCCGACAGTATTTTAATAACGTTTTACATAAAATAACATTAACAATTACAATCTGCTGATACAGGTAATTTTATTATTACAATTGTCGATTAAAAAGTTATTTTTCCATATATCCACGAAGTAGTATAAGGAGTCCCCACTATGCACAATGAATATGTACCGAGTTTCCCGACTGCCTTTCAATTTGGTAGGTTAAGGCCAACGCAGAATAGAAACGTAACCGGAATCGTAATCGTAAACGCAACCGGAAGAATAAGTTAGAGAAGGACAAACAATCTATCTATCCTTCTCTAACTCATTCTTCCGGTTGCGTTTGCGATTACGATTCCGGTTACGTTTCTATTCTGCTCAGGCCTATAGCGATACTAGCGCGATTACCGGGAAAATTGTTGCAACTCAACTGGATAATGGCGGAAATGTATGTTTCGTGATGATTCGTATCTGCTCGTGAAGAGTCGAGTGCAGACGACAAATCTGTCACAAACATACATTTCCGCCATTATCCAGTTGAGTTGCAACAATTTTCCCGGTAATCGCGCTAGTATCGCTATCCTACCAAATTGAAAGGCAGTCGGAAAACTCAGAACATGTTTTTCCTGAAATTGCCTATGCAGTGGGGGCTCCTTATACTACTTCGTGCATATATCCAAGGCGTCGAAGTTTATTGAAGGTTATGTTTGCCTTAGAGAACATGAATTATTTTTAACTTTTTAATAATTAAAATAGTAGTAAAAAGTTAAAAGAATCTTTTTATAAAAAAAAGAATATTTAATCTTCATTTGCCACAAAAAATTAATTAACAATAATATTTAAATTAATTTTATTTTTTTCTTTCAATTTACAAATTGTATATTAGTTCGGAAGGTTCGGAAAATTAAGTAGAAATAATATTTTCCTCTTTAAATGAAAAAAAAAAAAAAAACTATTGTTAAAAAGAAATTTAATTTATTAATTTTTACTACTTATTAAGACTTTTAACGAACTTTCGGTACAAATAAATAAATTTTTAAACTATAATATAATAAAAAAAATAAATTTTGTAATTACAGTTATATTTTATTTATTAAATAGCAAATAAAAATTTCTTTCGGAAAATTTGAGAAATTTTTGTTTTATAAGAAAAAATTATGTTTACAAAAAAAATAAAATCAATTTTATAATTGATTTTCGCGCTTTATCGTTTATTGTCTGGCGCGAAAAAAAAAAATATTTTCAAATTTTGTGCTTTCAATTTTAATCGTGGAGTATTCCTATCTATATGAAAACACATGTTCAGTGATATATAAATTTTTTGACGTGTGATGTAAACCAATCAGAGGCAACCACGACCAAAATCTTCTGAAGCTTGTCAGAAGTTGTTAAAACGTCTGCTAGAATGGCAGGAATACAATTAACTAGGATATTCTTCCTTAATTTATCATTATGTGTAATTATTTCATTAGCAGGGTAAGTAGATTAGAAAAAAATTAATTATTTATTAACATTTTCATTGAAGGATATTAATTTTTTAAAAAAAAATTATTATCAAACATAACCTTATAACAATTGAAACATCAACAAATTTTTTTATTTTTATTTTTAAATATTATAAAAGTATATAATAAAAAATTTGTAATTTAAAATATATTTGATAAAAAATTTTCTTTTTTATTTAATTTTATATTTTCAATTTTTCATTGCAGGAGAGATTTTTATGATATTTTAGGTGTTAGACGAAGTGCCAGTACACATGAAATTAAAAAGGCTTATAGAAAATTAGCAAAGGAATTGCATCCTGATAAAAATAAAAATGATCCTGATGCATCGCAAAAATTTCAGGATCTTGGCGCTGCTTATGAGGCACTTTCAGATGCTGAAAATCGTAAATTATACGATAGATGTGGTGAGGAGTGTTTGAAAAAAGAAGGTTCAATGAATGGTGCCGATCCATTTGCAAGTTTTTTTGGTGATTTTGGTTTTCATTTTGGTGGTGAACAACAACAACATCAAACACCTAAGGGAGATAATATTGTTATGGAATTATCTGTAACACTCGAAGAATTATATAGTGGTAATTTTATAGAGGTATGTTGTGGATTTAAATTATTATTTACAAATTTTTATTAATAAATCTAAATTATTTTAGTATTTCTTTTTTTTCCAATTTAAAAGAAAATCTTTTTTTTTACAGATTACGAGAAATAAACCTGTGATGAAAGCAGCGAAAGGAACGAGAAAATGTAATTGCAGACAGGAATTAGTAACACGTAATTTAGGTAATGGAAGATTTCAAATGATACAACAAAATGTATGCTCCGATTGTCCAAATGTACAATTGGTTAATGAGGAGCGAATTCTCGAGGTTGAAGTTGAACCCGGAATGATTGATGGGCAAGAAACGAAATTCGTTGCTGAAGGTGAACCACACATTGATGGAGATCCTGGTGATTTAATTATTAAGTAAGTTTCGAAAAAAAAAAATAATTTCTTTTTTTGATTTAAAAAATAAAATTTTTTCTTTTTTTGATTTAAAAAATAAAATTTTTTCTTTTTATTTTGCAGGATTCGAACACAACCTCATGACACATTCGAGCGAATTGGTGACGATTTGTATACAAATGTAACGATATCATTGCAAGATGCTTTAATTGGTTTTAGTGTCGATATTGTTCATTTGGATGGTCATAAAGTAACAATTAAAAGAGACAAAGTAACGAAACATGGTGCTCGAATAAGAAAAAAGGGCGAGGGTATGCCTAATTATGAAAATAATAATCTTTATGGTAATTTGTATATTACATTCGATGTGACTTTCCCCGATAAAGAACTTTCAGAAGAGGATAAAGAAGGTAATTTCTTTTTTTCACTTTTAATTTTATATTTTATATTGATTTTAATTTTTTTTTTTTTCAGCATTTAAAAGTTTATTGGGACAAACATCTGATCATAGGATATACAATGGAATTCGAGGAGAATAAAATTAGATTTAATTATTAATTTTTAATTGTGAAAGGAGAAAAACACTGCGCTAATTGTGCGGTAAAATCTTTGCAACAAGTGCTTCGTTCTTGTTTCTTCCTTGAAACCAGATTTTTTTTTTTAATATCAGTCGTACTTTATACTTTTTCATTTAAAGTTTCAAAAAAAGAAACTTTTAAGGAAGTATACAAAGACTGATACAATAACGTTTCTTGGAGACGTTTTTTTTTTGCAAAGGATCAATCGCGAGTGCATTTATTTGAATTTTTAAATTATTATCGAGTGTGTGATAGTGTAAATGTTTTTCTTTTTTTTTTTTTTTTGCCATGTTTTTTCATACATGCTGTTTTATATTCGAGTTTATATGTATAAATAAAAGAATTTTTAAGATCTTGTTAGAAAAAAAAAAAAAAATAATAAATTGTATTTTCAATTTGAATGAAAACGTATGTATGAGAACTAGATGAAAAATATATCAACGAGAAAGGAGAGTTAATTTTTGTTTTTCAAAAAAAGAAAAAAATTGTTCCTTCTTTTTTTAATTTCATGAAATTTGTTATTATTTTCTTAAAGTGTCCTTATTATAAATGTTTGTTTCGAATTAATACACAATGTAAAAAAAAAATATAAAAATGAACATATCGTAAATTTTAATTTTGTCTGCCTTTTTTTTGACTTTATTTACTGTGTATAAAAAACGAAATTTTCTTTTTTTTTAAAGAAAATTGTCACTTTTTTTATAATGAAGTTTATAAATCTTTTTTTTTTAGTAATTTTATTCAATAGAAAATTGATTTTAATATTTATACATGTCCAAAAAAAAGTATAAAAAAAAGAATATTATATTTTTAAAATTGGTTTAATAAAAAATGATCTATATTGAAAATTTTGTCTTGTTTTCAAATTAATAAAAAGTAATATAATGATGGAAGGAAAAAATTATTATTAAAATTTGTTTTTGAAAATTATATATTTTAGAAGTAAAAGAATTTTATTTATTTCCTTTTAATGGAATACTACAAATATTGAATAAAAATATTATTATAGTTATTTTATCAAATTTGTTTCTATTTTTTTGGATTAATATTTTTTTTATAGAAAAAAAACACGATAGTTAAATTATTTATTAATTTAATTTTTTATTATATTTAATTAATAATAAATTTAAATAAAAAAATCATTATTTAATACAAAATTTTTAATTTTATAATTTTTTAATTTTTCAGTCCATGATTATAAAAAACGAGGGAAAAAGATCTTTGAGAGTATTCCTAAAGTGTTAATTACTATGTCGGATTCATCGAACGGTGAGTCATTTTTCTTATTTTAATTAAAAAAATTTTGATTCAACAAATAATCGACATATTTTTTAAATATACTTTAAACTGAATATAATTGGAAGGTTTTATTTTATTTTTAAATAAAAAAAATGTTTAAAAGTTGTTTTTCAAAATTTTTCATTTTTTGAAACTTTAATAATTTCAGTGAAAAGAAATTTATTTGATTCAAATAATTGATTACTTGACTATTATTAAATAAATATTTACTTAAAACAAATTTATTTGTATTAAATAAATTGTTTTAAATAAATTAAAATTTTTTTTTTAAATTTGTTTTAAATAAACTGTATTTGCAAAAACCAATAATTTCAATCAAATACCATTTAATTGACTCGAATAATAATTATTTACATTGAAAAAAAAAGAATTTATTTGATTCAAATAATTGGTTACTTGACTATTATCAAATAAAATATTTACTTGCACGAAATAATTTTTATTTGAATTAAATAAATTGTAAACCATTAATTTCTGTAATTGAAAAAAATATAATTTAATTGACTCGAATAAAAATTATTTGGTTCAAGTAAATATTTATTTGATAATAGTCAAGTAGCCAATTATTTGAATTAAATAAATTTTTTTTTCAATGTAAAAATATTTATAAATAGATTAATTTAATTAAATTAATTGAAACTTTAAGTGTTTTGTAATTAAAATTTTAGATGATTACACTAAAAATTTATTAGAAAATGCGGATAAAATACAATAATTTGAAAATCATTTTTAATTGAAAAATGGTTTCAGATAGTTGAATTTTCAAAGAATATTATTAAAATAGTTAAAAATAATTGAATTTCTTTAGAGTTATAATTGAAATTATTAAATTTCAAAAAAAAAAAAATTTTCGATGGAAAATTTTAGAAATAATTAAATTTTAGATGCTTTTAGATTCAAATTATTGAAAATTCAATTAATTTTAAATTCAAATTTTTGAGAATAATTAAATTTTATTTGATTTTAAATTTGGAAAATAATTGAATTTCAGTTCATTTTGAATTTAAAATTTTGGGAAATAATTGAATTTTAATTGAAATTTTGAATAATAATTTAATATTTAAGTTCATTTTTGATTGAAATTTTGGATAATTAATTTTGAATAGAAATTTTAGAAAATAATTGAATTTTATTTCATTTTAAATTGAAAACTTGGTAAATAATTAAATTTTAAATTGAAAATTTTTGATAATTATTGGATTTTGAATTAAAATTTCGGGTAATAATTGAGTTTTACTTTATTTTGAATTGAAAATTTTGGGAAATAATTGAATTTTAATTGAAAATTTGGATAATAATATAATTTAAGTTCATTTTTGATTGAAAATTTGGATAATTAATTTTGAATAGAAATTTTAGAAAATAATTAAATTTTATTTCACTTTAAATTGAAAACTTGGTAAATAATTAAATTTTAAATTGAAAATTTTGGATAATTATTGGATTTTGAATTAAAATTTCGGATAATAATTGAATTTTAGTTTATTTTGAATTGAAATTTTTAAAAAATAATTCAATTTTATTGTGATATTTTTTTTAAAATTATAAACAATTGTTAAATTTTATAAAAATTTTAATTGAAAAATAATTTAGATATAATTGAATTTGTGATGTATTTTCATTAAAATTATTAAAAATAATTAATTTAGTGAAAAATCATTTTTGTTCAAAATTTGTTAAATAATTGAATTGAAGAAGATCTGAAGAAGATCTGAAGAAGATCTACATTTTATACTAAAAAAATGTATTTTATTTACATTTTTTTTCAAATGTAAAAAAAAATGTCGCATTTTATTAAAATAAGTCGATAAAAGTCGTATTTTTGAAAAATGTCGGAAAAAGTCGTATAATCCGTGGCCTGTAAACGTATCTTATAAATTAAATTATTATTGATAATATTAAACTTTAATTTCTTTATAACAAACAATTAAATACTCAATTTGGCGCGAGTTTAATTTTGCTAGTTTGTTAATAAGTGAAAAAAAAAATTATAAAGAAAAACATTAATTTTTTAAAGATAAGGGCAAAAAAAATTGCAAAAATAAGATAAAAACACATGTTATTCAACAATATATAATCAATTTTATTCCCTATAAAATATCACATATTTTCTCCCAAAAAAGATATGTATCTCTAAATACAATAACAGTACAAACGCATATTAAAATCATCAATGCAGGCACTCTGCTTTCCATAAGCATTTAATCTGCTAATCGTTCCAGTTAATTCCATTTTTTTACTATCATTTCTGTATCTTACTGATCCCTCAAAAATTCCATTACCCGGTATTGTTTCCAATGTTATTGTAAAATCAAACCAAGGTGCTGATGTTTCACTTTTTTTTATTTTACTTCCAATTTTTTCCTTTTCCATTAACATTGTTGCATCAATTAATCGTTTTAACGTTAAATTAGCACATTGGGGAAATTTATCAAGCATTCGATTTAATTCATTGACTATAAATTTTCCACTATTCATTACATTAGAATCAATTAGAGAAACATTTTTATTACCATGACACATACACCAATGTTCTGGAATTTCAGCCATTGAACATGTACGATAATCTGGAATTGGAAGAAACCAACTTATTCCACGTTTTATATTTTTAAAAATTTTTTTCCCACGTTCTCGTATTAATTTTTCATTTAATTCTTCATTATTTAATAAATCCATTAATGTCTCATGTAAATCATATGCTGTTGTTAAACTTTTGGTATTTCTTTTTAAATTAATCCATGCAATTGAATATTTTTCTTTCCACCAATTTGGTAATACAATAAATACAAATGGTAAACTATCTTCAACTCTACCTTGATAAGTTTGACGAAATGAACCCCATCTTAAACCATGATCACTCATAAATATTAATGCCGTTTTATTTAAAAGTTTATTTTTTTCTAAATTCATAATAAATTCATTATATGAATTATCGCCTAATTGTGCATATTCTAAATAATCATGAGTTAGGCTTGTTTGCCAAAAGAAGGCAAAATATGGTTTATCTTTAAATTCCATTGCTGTTTTAAATGAATAATTAAGTAGAACTTGAAAATTTTTTCTACCACCTAAACAAAGATTTGTATTTACTTTATGATGATTACCAATTTCTTTCTCAGCTGCTAAACAAAATGGACGAAGATAATAATCTGTTGGTTGTTGACGAAATCCTGGTTTTAAATAATTAAATGTTGAAATATCACAAGCGTCTTCACCGAATATTGTTAAATAACCAGATGAACTAAAATTTTTCCATATAAATGGACATTTATCAAATGGTGTTTTTTTATTTTTCCAACATATTTTTTCTATTTCCTCACTAGAATATCCAGTTAATGTTGGTATTACATTTGGATATGTATTCTCACCAACTTTATTATAACCAAACATTTCCAAAGCATTAAGATTTTGTAAAGTTTTAACTGTTTTTGGCATCATTCGATGAAAATTAAGTCTTGATACAGAATCTATTCCAATAATTAATAAACTAAGTAATTCTGAATGTGATTTTTTTCTTTTTTCAATTCGTTCCATGATATTTGGTTTTTTAGGCAAAAATGCATGATAATCACGATAAATAGTTTTATTATTTTTTGAGCATTTAACTTTAATGAATTCTTCAGTGATATTTACTGAATCTTGAAATTTATGACATTCTAATTCATGTCTAAAAAAATTAATAAAATTGATAAAGTAATAAAAAATATTTTGTTTTGATTTTTTTTTTTGTTACTCACGTATATGAATTGTCTTCGTTTTCAGTTCGCCAAAATGTTTGCCAACAACAATCGGCAAATTCAGTCTCATTATAGAAACGCTCTTTTGATTTATTATTAATAAAAATTGCAGTATTATTTGATTCTATAAGCGATAAATAATTTTCATTATTACATTTTATAGGCTTAGCGATTTCAATATATTTTTTAATTGCCGAATCATGTGGATCCATTGCTGGAATATGACATCCTTTCTTTTGTACTAGGTACCCCGAATTTTTTAAAACTACAAAATGAGGCCGTGATTCAATATCATTTCCTATAACAGAAATAAAAAAATTTTTTTTAATTAATTTAAATTAACAATTTTTTAATTTCACAGAAAATTAAAAGGCATTAAAATAAGCTTATTCTTATTATTATAAGCTTCTTATTATTTTAATGCCTTTTAATTTTCTGTGTTCAATTTAATTAAATGAATTTTTTTTATTTATTTAAATTTAAATTTTTACCTTGAGATAAATTATTTAAGTACGATTCGAGTCGAAATTGTCGGAATGAAATACTATTAATTGAAAATAAATATCCTAATATAAATATAATTATCACTATCAGCCATTTTTTTAGGCACACAAGTTTTTTTATCTGTTTCTTCATTTGATGATCATTCTGAGTATTACTTGTGCTGACTAAGTGATATTCTAAAATTGAAAATTAAAAAATACATTTATTTTTTATTTATACTCTTTTATTTATAAACAAATTCAATATATATTTGGGTGATTCTCCACGTAGCGCACGATTTGGTGTCTGAAACTTTAAAAATATTTTTTTATCGAAATGATACACGGAATCACAGATAATTAAAAGGCATTAAAAATAAGCTGCAACGCTTATTATTTTAATTCAATTTTGCTTATTTTAATACCAAAATGGATCAAAATAAGCAAAATTGGATTAAAATAATAAGCGTTGCAGCTTATTTTAATGCCTTTTAATTTTCTGTGATGACATTAGTTACTATTTCATTCGTTATTGTTGCATTCGTTACTGTGGCATTATTTACTATATGGCATTAGTTACTGTGGAATTAGTTACTGTGGTAACAGTTAGGTACTATGGCATTAGTTACTATAATAACAGTTAGTTATTATGGCATTAGTTACTATAATAACAGTTAGTTATTATGGCATTAGTTACTGTGGCATTAGTTACTGCGGCATTAGTTACTTTGACATTAGTTACTGCGGCATTAGTTACTATGGCATTAGTTACTATGGCATTAGTTACTGCGGCATTAGTTACTGCGGCATTAGTTACTGCGGCATTAGTTACTGCGGCATTAGTTACTGCGGCATTAGTTACTGTGGCATTAGTTACTGCGGCATTAGTTACTGCGGCATTAGTTACTGCGGCATTAGTTACTGCGGCATTAGTTACTGCGGCATTAGTTACTGCGGCATTAGTTACTGCGGCATTAGTTACTGCGGCATTAGTTACTGCGGCATTAGTTACTGCGGCATTAGTTACTGCGGCATTAGTTACTGTGGCATTAGTTACTGCGGCATTAGTTACTGCGGCATTAGTTACTGCGGCATTAGTTACTGCGGCATTAGTTACTGCGGCATTAGTTACTGCGGCATTAGTTACTGCGGCATTAGTTACTGAGGCATTAGTTACTGTGGCATTAGTTACTATGGCATTAGTTACTGCGGCATTAGTTACTGTATGGCATTAGTTACTATGGTAACAGTTAATAACTATGGCATTAGTTACTGCGGCATTAGTTACTGCGGCATTAGTTACTGCGGCATTAGTTACTGAGGCATTAGTTACTGTGGCATTAGTTACTTTGACATTAGTTACTGCGGCATTAGTTACTATGGCATTAGTTACTATGGCATTAGTTACTGCGGCATTAGTTACTGCGGCATTAGTTACTGCGGCATTAGTTACTGCGGCATTAGTTACTGCGGCATTAGTTACTGTGGCATTAGTTACTGTGGCATTAGTTACTGCGGCATTAGTTACTGCGGCATTAGTTACTGCGGCATTAGTTACTGCGGCATTAGTTACTGCGGCATTAGTTACTGCGGCATTAGTTACTGCGGCATTAGTTACTGCGGCATTAGTTACTGCGGCATTAGTTACTGCGGCATTAGTTACTGTGGCATTAGTTACTGCGGCATTAGTTACTGCGGCATTAGTTACTGCGGCATTAGTTACTGCGGCATTAGTTACTGCGGCATTAGTTACTGCGGCATTAGTTACTGCGGCATTAGTTACTGAGGCATTAATTACTGTGGCATTAGTTACTATGGCATTAGTTACTGCGGCATTAGTTACTGTATGGCATTAGTTACTATGGTAACAGTTAATAACTATGGCATTAGTTACTGCGGTATTAGTTACTGCGGCATTAGTTACTGCGGCATTAGTTACTGTGGGATTGGTTACTATGGTGACAGTTAGTTACTATGGCATTAGTTATTATCACAGAAAATTAAAAGGCATTAAAATAAGCTGCAATGCTTATTATTTTAATCCAATTTTGCTTATTTTAATACCAAAATGGATTAAAATAAGAAAAATTGGATTAAAATAATAAGCGTTGCAGCTTATTTTAATGCCTTTTAATTTTCTGTGATAATAATAGTCAATAAAAAAATTTCTTTTCTAATCAAATTTTAGTTAAAAAAAATATATCAGAGAAAAGTCAGGGAATTTTTTTCTTTAAGTCTTACTGGACATTCTGATTTTAAAATAATTTTTAATTCTGCAATATGAATTAAAAATAATTTTAATTAATATTTAATAATCAAGTAGAGTCAGTTGGGGTAAATGGGGACAAAATCGCTATTTTTCACAAACTACGTAAGTTTTTTCCTTTAAAAGGTAATATTTGCGGGTTTATTTTTTTTAACTTGTTATTTACTGACTGACTGTCCCCATTTACCCCAAAATTTAGAAAATTTCATAAAATTTGGGGGTAAATGGGGACAGCATAGTTTCTAAGAAAGTTTTAAGAAAAAAGTTTCCTTAAGTATATTACTGTATTAAGGGATGAAAAAACTTGAAAAAAATTTGTAGTAAATATATAATAGTTGAACCAATTGAGATTTTTTTATTTTTTTTTTATTTCAGTATTTTGTCTCGCATTTGAAAAAAACAGACTTAAAAATAATACCAAATTTTTTTCTTATTACTTATGACTCCCATAACAGAAATTCACTTGAATTTTTAATTTTTGTTAATTTGGTTAATAATGACAAGCTGTCTCTATTTACCCCCAAAAATTTGAAAACTCAGGGTAAATGGGGACAGCTTGTCATTATTAACCAAATTGACAAAAATCAAAAATTCAAGTGAATTTCTGTTATGGGAGTCATAAGGAATAAGAAAAAAATTTGGTATGATTTTTAAATCTATTTTCTTTGAAATGGGAGACAAAATACTGAAACAGTTTGACTTTGATTTTCAAGTTTTTATGCATTGAAAATAATTGTTTTTTTAATTATTCTATATTTCTTTTTCTAAATATAATTATAGAATATTTGTTATAAGTTTGCTTCTATAATTAAATTAAATGATTTTATGATAAAAATTGTTCTTTGAAAGGTAATAAAATATTTTATTTAAGATGCATGATATTTATATTCACTGAACTAATACTACTACACTTTAGTTGACATAAAATATAATAATAATTAATTAATTCTGAAAGCAGTTTGGGGGACAGGTCATATCATGACGTTTTGGCACCTTAAAACAGCTTTTTAAGTAAAATTATAAATTTTTAAATAAAAACGACTGTGGGCTTTTGTTTAGAAATTAGTTTTTCCCGTTATTGATTTATTGCAATATGTGCAATTGATTTTTTTAAAAAATACGAGGGACATTAAGTTGTGCGCTACGCGGAGAATCACCCATTTATAATTTTTTTATAATTTTTAATTTTATAATTTTAATATTATAATATATATATATATATATATTATAATATATATTTTATAATTCTTATAAAATTTTACTTCGAAATTTTGACCCATTGAAAATTGTTCGATGCACTTTTAGAATTTTTTTTTATTTTATTTAGTCGGTAATTGAAAATTAAATCAAATTAAAATTAGAAAAACTTTGCAAACAATGAAATTATGATTTTTTTTTTTTTTAAATTAGAATCAAAACGCAATAGAAATTTATCGAAAACAGGCGGAACAAGTTATCGCGGGTATATTTGATATACAACTGAGAAAAATTTATAATCTACATTTCCACCAGAAGCTATAAATATTATATTTAATTTGATTTTTCAAATATTCACTGTAAATGTATTATCAATTTTTTAAAATTATACCATTTTATGAAAACTTATTTTTCTGTTATTTAAAACGATAAGAAAAAATAGTAACATTGTTACGTAAATTGAGAAATTTTTCGATTATTAAATAAATAAAAGGAAAACGACTCAAATTACTTCACTTAAAATTTTGTATTTATCCTTCACCGAGCGGTAAGTGAAGGATGATGGGTAGTCCCATTTAAAGAGAGGTCTCACCTAGTTCCTTCTTTGAATTAAATATTAATCGGATTTATTTTAATTTCTTTAATAAAAATTTGAGACAGAGAATTAATAAAATTTAATTTTGATTTATTGATATAGACAATGTTAAATACTTAAAACAGCTCGAAGAGTGTCGAAAGAGGAAACAATTGTTGATTGACCCTAAGGTTTTTTTTTTGGACTCCTGCTCAGAGAGAGAAGCGAACTCCGGCCTAGGCTGGAACTTGAAGGTGAAATTGATGAGTGAATACAGTGTTCTACCCCGCGATGAGACCAAGGTACATCCAGGGTGAAGAGCTTAGAAAAGACTGTCTGATTGTTTTCCTGGTGAAAACTTGGAAGCTACCGGTGACGTGTCCCGGGGAAAAAAAAGGCAGAACTGTCCCCTCTTTTTGAATTTTCCACTCCCACAATTTGCCAAATTTCATCCCTCCTTGAATGGTGGTGGGGGATGTGTAAGAATGAGTCTGTGTTGGTGAGTCTCATTTAGGAGGCTCTAATTGCTTCTTTAGACCTTCTAAGATTTTATTGCAGTGGCGACAACCCAAATTTTATTGATGTTGATTTAGGCCAGGGCGATGTACTTTCGGAGGTGCTGTACTATTTCCCTTCCGAATCCATTCGCATTATCTCTCAGAGCAATCGTCCGTTCACCCAGATTAACAATATGTAAAACTATTTTATGGTTATCCTCTAACGAAAAACTCGAACTGAAATAGGCATAAGTTTTTTTCTTTTATTACATTTTGGAGATTTAGAAAAAATACGGATTAAGAGTTTGAAGCTTAAGTTACAATTTTATGTTTTTACAATTTTACGGCCCTTGCACCATTTGCGAGTTTAACAATTTGTTGTTTATTAAAGTTGAACATGTTTTATAAATTTAACCATGATTATTACAAAAAAAAAATAAAATAAAAAGATTCGTAACTAATTCTAATTAACACTCTCTCTAACGATTACTGATATATATGTACATATATAAAGAATAATAATAAATGAGAGTTGACATAAAGGTATTATATATTTTATCCGGACACAAAAAAAAAGATGTTAATTAATAATACTAATGGTTTAACCTAAGGTTCCTCTCTGATTCCGATACTCCATACTTTAATAAAAATAAAAAAATTAAGA